CCCAGCCAGCTCGTGTTCCCGGGAAATCTCCAGGGAACCAAGCCTCGCCTGCTTCGAAAGCAAGCTGCTGTTGTTGCTTCAAACCGCCAAGCAATGGGTTTCCTCCGCTGGATAGTGGGTAGAACATGATTGAATACCAGACCGGGACAACACATTTCCATGGCAATAATACGGTCCAGGAGCCCGGGGCATTGCTGCGTTTGGCCTGAGCTTGTGGTTTGTTTGCGAGTATCATGATTGGGATTTGAGGATCTGACGACTGAGAGGGTGGAAAATTACCAGGACCAGCCAGAGTGCGGCGTCGGTTGATAGCCTTCTGGCTCGGGAGCTGACGGGCCGCTGTTAGCCGAGTGGATCGGTCGAACAGCTTAGAGGGACCTTGTGTTTTGTCTGGATGCCATGTAGAGAGTAAGATGGCAAGGTCATTCATGTAGGATTCGTTTTGGGGGACGTGAAGTGTGCGAGGCGGGAAGTGCAGGCGAGGATCAGAAATAGCAAAAGAGAGCAGGGCATTATGTGGCAGTGAGCACGGATTCGACACCCCCAGAAGAGATGGCCAGACGGATTCTGGACTCTGTGCCGACGGAGCATTACCGTCTGACCCAAGAATCGGTTTCAATGCCGCTAACAAGGCCTCGGTAGACCCCGGTCCTGTGATTTCAATACTGCCAATTTCGAATCGCAGGTCTTCGACCATCACAGGAGGGCTTTGTGATTTGGATATTTCAAGAATATCTGTCCACAGCTGGAGGAACGCCGAGGGATGGACTCTAATCCAGAGTTTTCGGTGATCTTTTTTAGATGACTTGGGCTGAGGTTCGTTGGCATCAACCATCTCAACGTCTTCCTGCTTAGCACACCATATCAATGTCACTGGTGCAGTTGGACGCTTCGGGTGATCTTTTTCAAAAGTCCAGGCCGGTAGAGACCGAGTCCCGGCTCTCCATTTCTTTCCCTTGGTGCCCCATGCGTTGTCCCCGTCGACACCCACTCCCATTAGGACAGCCTGAATAGCTGGTTCTGTTCCTTCCAACTGAATAGTAGACATATAGCTCATATCCCATGCCACGGCACCCCGGGCGCCTCGAGCCCGGTGCGTAGGCCGATAGCATTTCTCGGTGGGGGACAAGGGAACAGCAAAGCGCCAAATCGGGTCTTTGGTTGTGGCCATATGAGCTCGCTTTGCATGATACAAATGAGTAGGTAGCCACGTCTTGCATTGTTGGCGCTTGCGGTACTTGGGCTCTGCTGGAACAGGCCTCGATAGCTTGTTCTTCTTGATTTTGGGGACTCGTGGTGCAATATCGAAGGCATGGCTTCCCTCCTTCTCCAAAGAAGTTTGGTTCTCTTGGTCCCGCTTTAGTTTCGTGGCTGCCCGTCGGGCCTTTGTTTTGGAGTTGATAGCCTGCAGCCGCCGAGCGGTATCAAGTCGAATGCGCATCATCTGGGATGGCTTGCGTCTGCGCGCTGTAACAGTAGGTGTATTATCCTCGGCCATCTAACATGATTGAAATAACGGGTTAGCCAAATGCTATTCGCAAATTCGTAGAGCATTGTCAATGAATACTTCTCGCTTGGCTCGAGCCCTCAACCTCCGCGGAACTCGCTTCACATTATGACTCGCCGTCCGCCGCCGCAGTGTACGGGGAACTTTTTGAAAGGCTCGCGTCGTGAGGGCATTTTTAGATCGCTGCATCCCCTCCTCCAGAGCCTGGATCTCAAATGCCCGAGCTGCAGAATAGGCGGCGACATCGAGCTCGCCAGTTGCGGAGAGGGCGGCGTCGGCCGACTGCACAGCCAAGGTGCGCGCATCAAAGGTTTTAGCGCGTTTGCGAGATGCCCCGGCTGCGCCATGAGGACCCGAGGGAGTTAAAGGTTTCCGCTTCGCGGAAGGGTTGGACGCCATGGCTGCTGATTGAAGTTGTGTGTATCGACGTTTGCGAGTAAAAAAGTTCCCGGGCTTGGCGCGTCATGATCGGCAGCCCTAGGATAGCCTTATTTACCGGTCTTCTACTATTCGCCTCTACTTTCTTGAATATTTCCGATCACATTTCTGATACATTGTTCTTAGACACATCCCCTGTAAGCGAACACATGTGCAAGAAAGTCTGCCTGAATATTGGGATACGCCCTCACATTACCACGGCGACATGATCTGTCATATATTTCTGGATGTTTCCCAAGAAACAGGCAGCCACAATAGAGACGGCACCGAATGCAATACTAACATAGTATACCCATTTATATCCCTCAGCGTATGCAATTTGACCAGCTTCTACGACCATTTGATATGCAGTCTCGTTGCCAGCAATACCAGGAATCGTACGCAGCTCACTCAGCAACGAGGCACCTGTTAGCTCGATTGCTTCGCCAATCAGTTTGATGTCGGTGATATTGAGTTCTTTCATCATCACTCCACCGATATAGTGTGTTGCCGCGGGGACAAACTTAGAAATGAAGACATTGTAGTAAATGGTATAGCCGATGCCACCGCCTACCACGCGAATAGAGAGGGTGAGCGCAGAGATAGTGGCAATGAGATCCTAGCAAAATCCAATGTCAGCAGTCAAACCACCTCCCTTATAGCAGCAACGTACGTCGGGACAAATGATTGTGGTAATAATTGAGGCTGGCACCACAATACCTCCAATTCCAAGACCAGCAAGGATGAGAATACCCCAGAGTTGATACAGGTTATCGGCGCGGCCGATAGACATGGCACCGCATCCTGTTTTTGGAACAAAAATTTAGCTTGGCGGGGACTCTTAAACGCACAAAGAAGACTCACCTGCAGTCATCAGAACGCTACTAACAATCAAAAGCTCTTTGTTATGCCCACGAAGAACACTTAGTAGTGCAAGCACAATACATGCTCCTGCCATGATTCCAAAGCCAATAGGGAGACTGCGAACACCCACGTCCACTGGGTTATGGCCGTAGACATTGAATGATTCCGTGGGCCAGAACATAAGCACGGAGAAGAAGTTAGCACCGGAGATGAAAGTAATGACGAGGGTGAGACCCAGAGTCCGAGGCTCTTGCTTCAAGCGAGATGGAAAAATGGGGTATTTGGCTCCGTAGATTTCCCAGAAACTAAAAGCAACAAGCAGAAGGAATCCGATGATCAAGGGTGCCAGAACATGTGCAGATGTCCATGGATACTAAATTGATATGTCAGTAAGATATGTAGCCCTGCACATGATATCTTCAAGCCTACCATATATCCACCCCATTGCAAACCGGCCAAGAAAACAATTAGACCAGTGATGCTGAGTAACCCACCAATAAAGTCGATCCGTCCAATTATCTCTTTTCGGCTCAAATCAACTGAGTTGACTCGTGGGGGAGGGAAGTAGAACAAAATCGTGATCAACAGACCAAAGGCGCCCCACGCAGCACAGAACGCACCGACATAGCGCCAATGGCTGTGATACGCGACAAGCTGAGCCCATAGCACGGACGGGCAGAATGGTACGATGGTGAAGATAAGAACCGCCACATAGACTCCTCTCTTTCGAATCGGTGCCATCTCGGAGGTTGCAGCCAGTGCTGTCAGTTCATTGATCCCGGCACCAGCGCCAGCGATGGCCATGCCCGCTGTGTCCATGTCAGCGAATGTCTATTTCGATATCTGAGCAAGCACAAACCGATGAAGTTGTTCATTGTGTGCACTGTACTACAGATTATCATGCCTATAACTATCAGGGATGCTCCAATAATAGCCACTGTGCGGCGTCCGATTAAATCCGATAGAGATCCAACAAAAGGGCATACACCAGCAAGGCCAAGCAAGTTTGCAAGAACCTAAACAGAAGCCCGTTAGTCAATGGCCTTATACTTCAATGAGTATACACTCACAAACCAGACCCATCGGTCTGCTCCACCAATGTCTCCATAGATGTAGGGAGGGATGCCACCTGGAGAAAAGGTATCAGAATTGTATTATAGCTTTCATGTTGGTTTTTGACGTACCAAACAGGTAGACTGGAATCTGACTTCCAGTCCACAAGAAAGCCATGGCAGTAAAGCCCATGAAGCGACGGAAGGTCATCTTTCAATGGTCAGTATTGTCGCAACCGCAAGTTGAACAGCTGGATCATACTGGGATATCCTTCTCAGACTCATGGATGGCTTCCTCTGAACCCGGTCGAGCCACTTCCTGGTGACTATGCTGTGAAGTGTCACTATTTTCATGATGCTGAGTTACAGCCTTTTCGTCGACCGGTCGATTCGATTGAAGGATTGAATCCGCCATGACGAGCACAGTTGTAAACAAGAGAAGTACAAACGAAGTAGTGACCTTGGCCGCAACTCAAACAAAAATGGTTATAATTGAAATTCGACTGAGCGAAATGCGGATGATATTCAAATTAAATCCAGAGTCTCGAAGAAAAGACAAGGGATACAAATTCATTTTAACTCTGTCACTGAACCGGTGGAATGCCAGCTTCGGAATGTAATGGATTAGGAGTGGGGAAATGAAGACAAGCTCATGCTGAATCAGGTAGGCGCAATGATGCTTGAACTCTAGAGAATACCGAGGCAGCTTGGCAATTCCCAGTGCGTGCGCTGTTAATTCTGGGCATAGGGAAATGCGGGGGAGAAAACGTGGAGAAAAAGTGGATGCATCATATCAGGATTATACCTCCGGAGGCCTATGCCAGAATGGGGATCAGCCCCGATAAAATCAGAAAACAAATACGGAGCAGAGGTTAATTATTGAATTTATAACCTGGTTACATGTACAAGAGACACTGATTGTATCTTTTAGAAGTCATCAGGTAGCATATATTTGTACAGAAGTGGTTCATATATGAGGTCTATTTTTCCCTTACTAACCTCCTGATTTTGATTTGACTTCGTACAAAATGGCCAGAAGGCCGGGGCTGAGTTTATTACAGCCTAGGCCGAAGTTTCGAAGAAGTCACACGATCGACAAAAGCCGCCCCGTATAGATATCAAGCCATCTAGCGCGAGGAAAGTGTGGATAGTTCCAACGTTCAAAAATACTCCCCAACCATGCTCAGCTTGAATGACTTGGGAACAACGAAAAGTCCCGTTGCTTCGACACATAGTTGGCCTGCCATATCACGGACCTCACACTTGGCATATGCCTTGGCGTCCGTGCTCTGTTCCTGATCTAGAGTAGTATGCAGGGCATAGAAATTGTCCGAGTAGACTGGCGCTCGGTAGTTCAGTTTGAGGTTGGCAGTGACCCCTGTTCGCGCTGGGAAATGCCGAATGGCTGCGCGCCCCAGGTTCTCATCGATCACAGTAGCTAGCGCGCCCCCGTGGACCATGGTTGGCCAGCCTTCAAGGCCTGGTCCCAAAAAGACCACGCTAATGAGTTTCTTCTCTTTATCATTCCAAAAGACTTTCTGTTATATACGAGAATCGTTAGACAAAGCGGGATCCCGAGGTTCGGCAGTCAAAAGGTTTCGGCATTCATATATGGACATGCCTCGGACCTCAATGAGAAAACGAGAGACCAACCTGAAATCCAAAGCCCCTACTACCAGCCAAGGAGCCAGATGTCAGCCGATGGATTTTGTGCTTGTCCGCAAAATTTTCGTAGACATCCTTTTCCACATAATCGGGATTATGGCGCAGCTCCTGCACAATGGGGAGTCCAATATCGAACACCCGCTGGATTTCCTGAAGCTCCATTTGGTCCTCTAATGACCCAGGAGCCGGTGGCGCCGCAATTTTGTTGTCCAGCCATTTCCCTGTACTGACGCCAAGTGTCCCAAAAATGCCGGCGTAGATCAGGCGGCGCGTCCAACTTGATGGTTTTCGTGAGGCATTTGCTTGTGCCGCGGTGCTGACGTTTCGGACCGTTGATCGCCAAAAACTTCGTGTCTGTATCGAAGACCCACGAAGGGTCGACTGTATGATGCTGCGATAATGTATCATGGTGGTCACATTGCCATTCTTCTAGAACTAGAATGTTGATTCAATTGGAGCTTTGGACAATTTGGGCCGAGGCTCAACAAAGTCACGTGTGTATCACCCTTAGTCATTTACATATGTCCCGATGTCGTTTCCACCGAAAGAAATCTAAATATGTATGTATGCAGAATTACAGAATGTAGATAATAGTAATGCATTAAGACAATCAATCAATTGGTAACACTTAAGGCATGGCAGACGAGCATCATTCATGTTCATCGTTTCTATTCATCTAGAGGCAACATTTGCAGGTTTCTTTCTCATGTGAACGGATGCCAAGGGAAACCCATTTACTCGGATTTGGGCAGGTCAATCGCGCGATAGAGGCAAATGAGGGCAGAGTGTGACTCACCTAGATCTGTGATTAGCCATGGCTCTTGGATTGTAGAATGTATTTCACTCACCACCACCCGAAAGGGTCTCGATCTTCTGTGCCTCCACCTCAGTCACTGTGTCGTCGTTGAACCACCACCACTTGTTATCTGCCTCGCGGCGCTTGCTGCCTGCCTGAGGCTCATCCCGCTCCTGTTTCTTGACATATGCAGTGTAGTGACCGCTGTCGGCGCTAGCACCCTGGTGGGTAATAACGGCGCGAAGCTCATACAGACCAGACTGGTTGGTTCCGCTGTCTCCAGCACCCCGTTGGTTGATAAGTTCCTGGAGCTCTTTCTTAGCAACGCGGATAGATTCCGCTTTTTCTGCTTCGTACTCGGCATCGGTTTTGAAAGTTTCCTCCATTTGGCTATCGCCGTCCTTGTCGTTGGCTTTGGACTTGCTCTCCTCAGTGGCCTTCTTCTTCTGCATTGGCTCTACGCTTTCGCCAAGGTCTGTCTCTTTCTTCTGACGCTCTGTACGCTCTTCGGCAATTCTTTGACGTTTCTGAGCACGTTCAACCTCTAGCTCTTCCTTACGGATCTCGCGAACCTTGTCACGAATAGGGATGAGCTGCTTTCGGAGGTTCTCGGTACAGAACTCCACAACATCCAACTCAGTAGGGAAAGTCACTTTGCGCATAATCTTAGCCTTCTTCTGTGTCTCGCGTTTCCAGTAAAATCGGACAAAATGCACCGTGAGGTACTTGGGCAGTCGCGCAATGCGAGAACGCTTTTTGTACACAGAATTGCGGTCCAAAAGAGGAGAGTTTTTCTCAATTTCCTCTTCGAGACCGGCCAAAATTCCATCCTGCAGGTGGTTCGTTTCTTTTCCGATATGACAATCAAGTTTGTAGAACACATCAGAACTTTGACTCGGTTGCTCGCCGAGTTCCTTGGCAGCGGGGTCCTGACATTCGGTGACAGATTCGAATTGCCCCGCGAGATATTTATCAACAAATGAGGTGGCAGTGGCAGACTCTCCCTCACCTTCAGTGATTGTCAACTTGGCCCGCAATTGATTCAAGATCTGGGAGAAAGCCTCCTCGGCATCCTGTTGGGAATATCCTTGGCCATTTCGGTCACGTTGGGCGAATTGAGGGAAGACAGCTCGGAGAGCATTGAGGAACATCAGTGGAGGAATACCCTCCTGGGTCTCGGACATTTGCTTGAACAGATCTCGCAGAGAAGCGGCCAAATCCCGAGAACCTCCAAGGCCACCAATACCAAAGCTGCTGAGGTCTGACAGACTCGATTGTCCAGCTCCTCCGCTTGGTCGATACCGCTTGAGCTCCTCCTGGAGCTCCGGGACACTCCGCAAGATTTGTAGGGAAGAGTTGAGGTAGCATGTATTCCCTAGGTTCTGCAAACCGGCAGGGGTGGCACCTTCCTGCCGTGCTACCTCGGCCTCGGTCATATCTTCCAGGAATTTGACGGTCTCCTTTGGCCGACCAAGGTCAACGGAACCTTGACCTCCGGACGGGGTGCCCATCATCATAAACATCTGCCCGGGTTTGGCATTAAGGGACGAAAGGGGTGTATCATCTTTAAGCTGGCCGCCTTTTACCAATACCTTTTGGCGGTCAGGTTCCACGCCAGTCAAAGAAAATAGTTGGTACTTGAGTGTTTCGCCGTTCGACGTAGGATCGAGCTCGACTTCGTGGCGCTTGCCGGCGTGTTTGACAATAACTGTGTATCCGTTAGTAGTGGTCCAATAAGTGTCGATACATCCATACTTACTCGGTATAGCCGCCATTTTTAAGAACTTTTGGCGATGGATAATGTGAGAAGGATAAAGAGCTTGCGATTCCTGGGGCAAATGGTAAACAGCCTGAGATGAGGAAGCGTAGGGGGTCTCTCACCGCCCAACCACTATCATCACCGCCCGCCCCGACGACGTCAACTCCTCTTCTGCCTAGGACAACCTGTTATCCAGAGAACTGCCTTTCGTGCTCACTGCTCTAGGTCGAAGGGTCCTCACAACGGGCTGGTTTCACTTTCTCCTCAACTAGACTCCGACTATATTATTCCGCCTAACAATTGCATCCTTGTGGCCTCAACAAACACCCCTCACCATGGTGGGTACAGCTCCAATCAGCCAGCTCGTTCTATACTAATTGATTATCAGAGTCAATCTCTCCGACCCTACCTTCAGGCGTGAGTTTTGAGCTTGAAAATTATTCAGTGGCAAGCTTCCTCACACTTACTTTACTAGTGTTCGGTCATCTCTAACCGCGGCCCTTACGATCTCCAACTTCGCTTCTCAGACATCCGAACGGCAGTAAGTCGCCCATGCTGCAAATATTAGACATGAAAGATGCTAATATAATCCACTTCACCAGCAACTGCCCGGAGATTGAGGCAAATTCTTCGCCCGAGATCCTACTCAACCCGTACGTTTAATTATCGTTTCTCCCAAAGTCGCATTGGACAAACGTATTGATGGCTTTACAGGCTGCACATCAGCAGGAATGAGAATGAGAAGGTGAAAATTGAGCCAAGCTACAATTCTGTACGCCTAAGTATCAGAATCAAGCAGGCAGATGAGATTGAGCACATTCTTGTCCACAAATTCACTCGGTTCCTCACCCAGCGAGCAGAATCGTTCTTCATTTTGCGCCGGAAGCCAGTGGAGGGATATGACATCAGTTTCCTCATTACCAACTTCCACACGGAAAAGATGCTTACCCACAAGCTAATTGATTTCGTGATTGAATTCATGGAAGAGGTGGATAAGGAGATCTCAGAGATGAAGCTCTTCGTATGTGTAGGGATCCATTGTTTTCGTCACAAGTTACTAACAGCTTATTAGTTGAATGCCCGTGCTCGATTTGTTGCCGAGTCTTTCCTGACACCGGTATGTTCTTATTGAGCTATCTACCATTGACTCAATTGCTGACGATCATCCAGTTCGATTAAATTGCTCAGCGTTTTCTTGTTGATTCCGAATAATGAATGGCCCTGTGTTTCCCACTTTCTACTCCTGTACAGATAGCATAGGCTTGCATTGATTAAGAGAGAACCTTATACCGATGTTCAGCGATAGATGTTTTCTGTCCAGATTCAGTTGGTTTCTTAGTAGTATGGAGGCTATTGCTACCGGTGTAGTTCGTTCCTCGCCGGGTATGCTAGCCTGCTGTTCTCATATGCCCTGGTTCCTCCTCGCTACGACAGAAATTACCTCCGTAGCACTATCCATATAGTATAGTAATCACATAAGCAAGAAGAAGAACCTAGGTATACCAAAGAGCAAAGGTAGGTTGATAACAGTAACACAACATCTCCAAGAGCTTGTAGCTTAGAGAAACCTTACAGGCCAAAGAGCTACCATTGACGTTTATACTAATAAAAGCCTACGACGTAGATCAAAGTCTGTTTACAGTAGCAATCATTTGTGAGTTAAGCATAAGACGAACAATCAGCCACAATATAGAACCTTGGAAGACCTATATAGTATGTCGAAGTAAAGAGTGCGTGAAGAATGAATATTATATAGACCCAGTGCGTGAATAAAGGAATAATGGGACGAATCAGTGCGTGCAGCAAAATGTATGGGCGAAATGGAAATATTTGCGAGGAGTCCGTGGAAATTATTTTTATCCGTCAGAAGTGCGTGGAAATAGAAATCGCCGCGATTGCCTGTGCGTCGTGATAAAACGTACTTCTGAGGCAACTTCGACCGATACAAAATCATTTCTAGCCTCGATGTTCAATGAATTTTTCAATATTACCACAAGCAGCAATCTTGAAGAAAATGAGATATATAGTATCTTACCTCGCTTAATTACAATTAAAAAAATTTCAAAAATTACATCCCATATAAATTTATTGAGAAATGTGAGGTTCAAAGTCGACCATTTTGTGGAGGGGGTTTGCAATACAAGCAATCCCTCGACAACACCTGAAGTACCTTCCTAACAAGACGTACTCGAAATCTTGGGCACTTTAATTCCACGCATATAAATAGCTGATTTTTATCTCCACGCACTCTCCCTCGTAAATATTCTTCTCTCCACGCACTATCTAATTCACTTTACGAAGTCAACCCTAAGATGAGTGAACCATACGGGCATTTGCCCGAGCTTACCCCCGAGCTTGACGACTGGTCGACAACTGTGCGCAAGTTGGTCGCCTCTCTTAGTACGTTAACTATCAATGAGACAGCACGCACAGAGTCACAGATCGTGACTGACAGCACTGTGACTGACTCGGACAATCACAAACATCCATCTTCCCAAATTGGCAATGGTGATTCTCTCAGGAAGGTGTCCTCTGACCCTACTTTAGGCTCCCAGGCCTCTGGTAATCTTCCTGCTTCCTCGTCTTATCCTTCTCTTTCTTCGGTCCCATCCTCTTTTATCTCCTCCCATCACCGAAGTTCATATTCTTCTTCTACCATCCATCCTCCAGTATCTTCCTCTTTACCCCTTCATCTTCCTGCAAAATCTATTGACCCAGCACCTGGGCCCTATCCAAATCCTCTCAAATTCAGACCCCAGGTCGACTCAGCTCTCGACCATCAGACTCAAGTCAATCAGTCTCAAGCTTATCATATTCCTTTGGAGTCGATACCTCCTCGGATTTACCACAATCCTCTGGGCCTTGCTCCTCAGTGGTACAAAAGTAAGTAACTTCTTTTTCCTTTCGTCGTGACTGGTCGACCAGCTGCACCATCACCATAAGACCTGTTGGACCCCACTAATAACAGTCGCACTACAGCAAGGATCCTCGAACCCGATTTCTCTACATTCGACGGCATCAACATGGGTTGGCCATTTCAGCCGGGTGAGGTCCCCAATAATGGGGATTTTGAACGGTTTGAAAGTTCTTCGATTGAAGAGCTCTTGCAGCCTTGTTCAATTCCTTTCGGTAGCATCGCCGAGATGCACACACCTTCTCGAAATGGTGTGTTGATGATTTCTAATGTGAGTTTCTTTGAACCATATGATTTCTGCTTCCTGTGATTTTGTTAAATATTCCGCTACTAACGATTGTTATACTCAGATCCCTTACACTGTGACTCGCCAAGAGGTGACTTCGTTCATTGGACGCAGTGCCAACCTGCTCCCATCCTCTCAAGGATGTCCGATTCACATCATCATGGAACGATCCACCGGTAAGACCATGGACTGCTATGTTGAATTCCGAAACATCAAAGATGCCGAAGACACCGTCAAGCGTATCAATCACACATATGACGCTGGCAGCACCCCACGTATGGGCAATCGCCATGTTGACATCGAGCTCAGCACCCCGGCCAAGCTGCATAAGGCTATCTTTCCCCGGGCAAAGTGCATTTCATGGGAGAATGGAAAGCCTGTTCAGCTCGTCAACAAAGATGAGTGGTCCACTGGATTTGATGGCTTCCTCACCGACGAGGAACTGTTTTGCCTTGTTCGTCACGCAGAGCAACCTCACCGTGTACGTCTCACTTCCTTTTTATATTCTCCACTTCTATGTCATTGATCTTCTAACGCATTGCAGAGTGTATTTGCCAGTAAGGTTCCACAGCGTTGTTACGAATCTTTCATCACTACCGTCTGGAAGGTAAGTTAATCATTGTCCTTTCATATGCGTTTGCCCTTCGATGTCATACTGATACTCTTTGTCTTCTGTTATAGTTCCCGTGGCACGCAACTCATCTTTACACTGTGCATCACCGCAATGCGATTTTCAAGACCCTTGGTACTTTGATCAAGACTCTCGCGGACCGTATGCAAAAGTCAAACACAGTTGGTCTTGATGTCCGCCTCCTTAGCGAGTTGGTGCATGCAGGAATTCATTGCCCTGGTTTCAATCCTCGCATGAAATATTGCTTCGCTTGGTGGTCGCGCGATATTAACGCGATTGCGATAATGGACCATGACTGGTGCCTTTATTTCCCCTTTGACAGCTTGGTCTACATTCCTGGACACGGTCCTGCAGCCATCCAGGTAAGTAACTTGGTTGAGAGTTTGTTTTCTTTTGAAAGATTGCTAATTCATTTTTGAATTCGGTATAGTTCTATGCTTACATCATGTCTAACGGATCTGTTCTGCGCACTGAGAGTGACGGTCTCATCAACAAGCATACTCACCCCGAGATCGAGCAGATCTTCGGAAAGTTCTGGTTTGAGTGGGATGACAACGTTGCCCGCAACAAGGTCTTCAGGGATGCGATCAATTACGAAGCGACTGTTCTTCGGAAGTTCATCATTACTGGATTTCAACAGCTACATAAGAGAAAATCCAGCATCTCGACCATTGGAACTGCTCCTGGCTCCTCACCAACCCACAGTGTGACCTCTGTTGATAGTGAGCGCACTATTTCGGCATCTCGCGGTGCCTCCGTGGACCCCAGCCGTGCCTCTCGGGAGACCTCGATTGGCCAAGCTGGCAACAACCGGAATGTCCCTGGTACCTCTCGCGTTAGCTCTCAACGCATTGATGAATATCCTCCGGACACCCCCACTCCTCGTCCTCGTGCATCGGCCGCTCCCTACCGTCCCCCACACCAGCGTGATCCCTCCGTGGCAACCAAGCCTCGCAACTTCAGCTGGCGTTTGTCTCAGTCTGAGGAGGTACCTGTGGCAGGCTCGACTCACGGCCAGTCTCCAATCCGGCCTATCTACCATGCTCCTCACCAGACTGCGCAGAACGTCCGATCGTCCTCGGACCCTTTCGGACCCGTCCCCCCGGTTCCTCGCACTGGCCACCGATCTCGTTCTGACGCTACTCGTCTGTCGAACGTTGATCACAAGGCGTTTGATGAGATTCGGGCTGCCAAACGTTCCGGCAAGAAGTAATCAGGCGTGGTGGATACCCTGGACCTGCAGTCCTTAAGCAAGGACTCCTGGTCTGTCATCATGGCAATGGTCTTGTCTTTCTCTCTTTTTTTGCTTGTTTTGCGTCCTGCTTTTTCTGTCTTCCCTGGGTGGATGTATGGAGACATCCACCCAGTTTTATTCAAAAAAACCCTTGTCTCCGGGGCGCTTGCGCCATTTGCTTTTTCTTCCAGCGAGATCCAGAATCCGCGGCTGCTGCCCTCGGGATAAGCTTGGCCGGTTTTCAGGACTCGCTGGACTAGAAACTCATTTGAGTTTCATTTTTTTCTAGCTTTCATGTCACTTTTAAATTAGTTGACTAGCTAGTTTTGCGTTGCTTTCAATTGTTGTGTATGAGTTTACTTCTGCGTTCTTGTTCTTTTTGCTTCTAGTAGATTTTCTTTAAGCGGGCGTTGGTTTTGGTTGTTTGTAGGCTATGTAGCTCTGCGGCAACATGCATATAGAGGGACATTTGTAAGGCTCATCAGGATTAGGTGGCAGGATGGTCAGGGTTCTTTCAGCATCATCTCCTTATTTCCAGGTGATTGCTGAACTCAGGGCTTTGAGTACATCCCTATCTTCTTGCTGGATTATTATACATCTGGTTTATTTTGTATCTCTTGATCTTGATTTGGGAGTTATGTCTCTATGGCTAAGCTGTGGGAAGTCAACCCTCAGCTATTATTATCACGAGATCAAGCCATCGATCATTAACGGAGATCAGACCACTGCAAGCCACAATCTGCTTGGAGAGACGGAGGCGATACGGCCGAAAAAAGGAAACCAGGCGTGAGGGAGTATGACTGCCACTCAGTCAAGGGCCTATGTCGATACCAGCTGAGTTTTTGGGATCATTTTGAATTAGTAGTGACGTTGAGACACAGCTAACGCTTCATGGTGCGGGATCCAACTGCCTTCAACGTAACGACGAAATACACCGAGATAGTCATGATATGAGCATGCCAGATGCAGTGGATGATCTTCATTTGTTTCAGGCCGCTTACCATCGCTGTATAGTATGCAAAGGCGCCCATCGTACGATTTCGCATACCCAAGTTCACGGATACCAGGATCTCCAGGATGGGACAGTACGAGACAGCATACAAGCGTGTCTGGGGCTCTTTGCGAAGTCAATGACCTTCTGTGATCCTTAAGAGGACGACAATATGTTGAGCACGGCTACTAGTGCTAGTCGTGGCCCAAAACAATCACCGATATCGCATCATGGGTCGGCCCGCTCCACAGATCGAGATCGGAATATACACTCATTGGGACCGGACGGCTGTCCACGACATCTTTTGCATTCTTTACATTCTTTGCATCATTTTTCAAGTAAAATGTCTCTATACATATGATACATCTGATAGGGGGGAAAGGCGGGAAAAAAACGTAAGGGCGCTGGTACTAAAAAGCGGAGCCGTTTATTACAGCCGGTTTGTAAGGCGGGCCCTTTTGATTTTGTTTGACCACTTTTTTTATCTTCATCTACAGCATTTGGCTTCTTTTCTGCTTTTTTTTTTGAAGTTGGTGGATACACAATCAGAAATTTTTAATAAGGATACTCAACACATAGAAGAAGAGCCCAAAAAAAAAAAAAAGGACTCGACCAAGTTCAATCATTTTCATTGAATTCATCTAATTATGCCTCGACGGTCATCTCGGCCTAATCCTGCGTCGCCTGAAGCGCCTGTGGCGTCAAAGCGACGCGCTTCAGCCAGACTGTCCGCCGCCGGACCGGAGGTCAAACGGGTCAAGTCAAACGTCGACCTGTCGCTCCGCCAGGCGAAGTCCACGACCAGCAAGAGCAAGTACTTCGAGCCTCAAGACTCCGACGAGCCTGACGAGCCCGACTCGGATTCTGATGCCTCTTCTGAGGAATCCTCTGGCTCTGTGTACGAGGAAGCGAAGGAGGAATCTCCCGACGATGTGGAGCCGGAAGAACACTCCGACACCGACGAGGACGCGAAGGAATCCAGCGCGAAGGGGAAGCAACGGCAGAGCACCAGTAGCGGAAGTGATCCTATGAAGGGCAAGGAACTATGGCGTGAGGGTGTTAGAGCGGGCCTGGAGCCCGGACAAGAAGTTATCATCGCAAAGCCCAAGGCCCGAGACGCGGGGAAGACCCCATACCAGGATGAGACGCTGCACCCCAATACTAGGCTGTTTTTGATCGATCTAGCTAGCAACAATGACCGCCAGTGGTTCAAAGGTGAGAACTCCAACATATACCTCGGCTATCGAGTGGCTGGCTGACTTGCACAGCGCATGATCCGGATTACCGAGCGGCAAAGAAGGACTTTGAGACATTCGTTGATTCCCTCACGCCGAAGATTGCAGGGGTAGACACTACCATTCCTGAACTTCCTCCGAAGGACCTGGTAGGCTTGCAAATACTTCTGTCTTTTGTTTGTGTCCGGCGCTCACAAACCTTTGTGCCAGGTATTCCGTATCCACAGGGATATTCGCTTCAGCAAGAACCCACTCCCGTACAAGGTAGGCTATCTTCCCTTCCGAGTCACTGTCGCATGTTTGCGTGTGTGGCGGATGTGTGTGTCGTACTGTGGGCTTCGGTTAGCAGGTGCTTGTGCTGACTGAAAATGTATAGACGCATTTCTCTGCTGCTTGGTAAGTGTCAATGTTTGAATGCATTTATTTTTGAAGAGAATCATTGAACATTGTTGCAGGTCTCGGACCGGTAAGAAGGGCCCGTACGCAGCATACTATGTGCACTTCCAGCCAGGCTCTTGTTTTGTTGGTAGGCTTTTTTCCCCCTAACTGGTTTCCACTATCGCCATCGTCATCCTGCCTTTCCTTTTTTTTTATTGATTCCCATCCATTGCGGCTAATACCACGCTGTGTGTAGGCTGCGGCCTGTGGAACCCGGAGTCGGAACCACTTGCACTGCTGCGAGAGGACATCGACGAAAACTCGGCTGGCTTGAAAGAGGTACTCCGGGCGCCGGAGATGCGTCGTGAGTTTCTGAAGGGGGCGGCCGACGATGACGATGCGGTTGTGAACGCTTTTACACATCACAATAGGGAGTCTGCTCTGAAGACCAAGCCCAAGGTAGGAAGATTTCTGTCTATTCCCCCCTCATCCCAATGTGAAGTACGTTTTCCATTTGAGACAGACTTTACTCCTTCCCATCAACACATCGTGCTTTGCATTGTCAGCTGGTTTGTTTATTGTTTATGGGCTGGGATGGTCTTGGTAAGGGGGGCACAAGGTTTGCCATTGAGCGTTGGGCATGTTGCCTCTATCGTCCGACCGTGATTGGTCTTGTCGGAGATGACGGAATTCCCACCCATCTCCATCGAATACCATCTTCAAATCTGGCAATGGCATGAAGACCAGACCTTTCTGGTTGACCCGAAAGGTGTCTTGGTGTGCATAGGCCAGAGAAAGGAAATCTCACATGACCAGAGAACCCAAGACCCCAAGACTTTCTCAAATTGTTCTAAAACATCCAAATGGAACCTTGGAAGGGTTATGGAAGACATTCGCACGTGGTTACGGGAAAGGCCAACCCGTTGGCCAATTTTCACTTCCCGAGATTCAACCATGGAACCCAAAGCAATATTTGGCAGACTTGATCTCAATCGGGCAATGGCCATTTCTTGTTAGGATTGCGTTCTCACGCCGTCGAGTTTGGTTCCATGGTTCACAACGCCCAGGGCTCCACGTCTGAAAAAGGAAAAACAAAAAAAAAGGGATTTTATTCAAAGGCTAACACTCTTTCAGGGTTACTCGGCAGACAACGAGAATATCAAATTACTTCGATTACGCAGTTTCACTATTGGAAAGCCCATTGAAGACCATGATCTCAATGCTCAAGAGAAGATTACTACTTTGGTTGGGATTATGGAGCCTTTCGTAAGTTTTATTTCCCAATTCCCCGATCTTCCTCGGGTTTGTCCCCCTCTTGACTAGTCTGTTTTCCACCTGAGCTAGCCATTTTGGCGGTGTTAGCCGTCCTTTTTTTCTTTTTTTCTCTTGCGTATCCACCGCCAAATCAGCATTGCTGTCTGTTTTTTTTCTGGTTTTTTTTTTTTTTTTCCTCCCGCTTTGACAAGACCGGAAAGGGAGACAATAACCTTCTACTCCGGAGTATGACTGACCGCTTCTTTGCTCAACAGGTGACGTATCTGAACAGTGTAGTGATGCCCGATCAGTGAGATTGGGGAAAGCCACCCGCGTCTATTTGACCTTTCGAAGAGTTTCAATGTATCCTTTCACCCTTTTTTTTTCCACTTCTCAACTCTTCTGGCTTCTGATTTCTGATATATATGGAATATATGAGAATATCATATATGAAATATGAAATATGGAAACATTGAAATATATTTTTTATTTTTCTATCGGGTCTTTTGTCTCTTTGCACTGAAACCCGGGATCCCCCACCTTGACGCCTCCTGCACATGGCTTCTTTCGTCGTTTCCTGGATTTCCTGGAATAACGCCTAAACACTGCAATTATCACCCTGCAATATCTGCATACCGCATCGGAACGGGAAATGGTCCAAATCGAGATGTTACTACTGCATTTTCCTCCAAACATGACACAGATACAGTTCTAGACACTTTATACCCGTGTGCGTACTGCAAACCGCCCGCATACAAATATGCAATTTAACCTTTTTACAATCTAACACTCCTGCCCAACCAAAAACACGGGAATGTACAACATAGCTACTGCAGAGAAATTGAATTGGAAAAATTGAAAGTACCAAAGTACTCCAATACTCAAGTTGACGCGCATTATATATCACCGCAAGCGCCCGCGTTCGGCCCGTTGTCGGGCATGTCCGCTAGGCTAACCTTGGGCCTGCAAGCAATGTGGATTGAAAGACCCGGGTGGTTCTGCTCCGTCCCAGATTTTGGTTGGAGAGCACCTTCCTGGTCTGGAATGAACTTCATTTATCTATTTTGACTGAGTATGGGTTTGTTTCTTAGTGTGTATCTGGAATGTTTTTAGTATACAATTGCGGAGTTTAGTGTGTTGGTTCTTGGTTGAAGTTCATTTATGGTGATTTTGGGCAGCGTTCGCGGATATCGGCCCAGTATGCCCCGGTGGTCATGGTGTCAATTTGATACTCTACTATATACGAGACAGATAATTGGGCAATTACATCCTAGTGTTCTGTCTAATATATTGCTATGGATCTTTATCAAAACCAAGGGTTGTTATTCCCACTAGTATCGGGAACCGGGCCCCGAAGACTTTCAGGTCATGCGTTGCTTGCAAATCGCAAAGTAGGCAATAATATATTTACGAAATTGATATGAGGACATGAGAAATGGTATGTTGTACGCTAAGAGAATCATAATTTGACACATATACGGTCTTACAAACAGGGGTACGAAGCTCAAAAGTGGTCTCTGGTAAGTCACTAGATATAGAGACAATATAATTAAAAGATATTGCGAATATATATAAAATTGGCTTTTGGTTCCTGGGGGATCAGGATCTTTAGGGTTGTGAGTTTGCGGCTCCAACCATCGTAGTTCTATATATATATATATATATATATATATATATACTTAGGTACAATTCATCTCACCAATTGCCAACTATATTCATATTCCCTAGATATACTTCCCGGGATCCAAAGTCTAAATTGTCGATGTCGAATCTACATATCAAGCTGACAAGATAGGTATATACTTGACGTTGAACGTGGATTGGAAATAATCACATGTTATAATTTGTCTTGTTTGTTTACAGCCGGTGCACAGGTCTCCATAGACACAATCAACACCAGGGATCAAGGTAGATGCCCGAGCGTGCGGGGATAGACCTTGAAACCCTTGAGTCGGTCAATTTTATGAGGTGCCCGCATTTGAGTAGTTTGGTGATACCGATGCCCTAGGTGCATCTGTATATGCAGATGACACACAGAATTCAATATAACCAAAAAGTATCTAGATGGGTTTCAAATGTGAAAAGTCAAAAGGCAATCCGAAAGAAGCAAAAGGTACTGGAAAAAGCAAATAAACGAATCAGTTAAGCCGCACATATTAAATATGTCAAAGGCACTAGCTCCACGCACGATCCCGAGCAACCAGTTAGCAGCATCCAGAAAAAGCAATATGAGGGATTGACTCGCTTTGTCTCCCGAATGCCCCAAATAGTGCCCCGAATAGAGTTAGGGAGGTCTAGCATGGCGGTCGCAGTGTTGGTATCACCTGTGGGACTGAGTGTATAGACAAGATGGGGACCAATTAGGTACGACTACTACGCGAATCACATAGGATATATATATATATTTTTGAAGCAACATGCTCAAGCCAAGGAGAGAACAAAAGAGCAAAGTTCAAAGACTTTAATGATTTTGCAGATCTCGCTTACAGGTAGTCATCAGGCATTCATCACACGACCTGCATGTTCGAAGTCTTGTACACCGACTAAAGCACTGCCTCGTTCCGGCTCAGAGAAAAAAAAAAAAAAAACCCGCCCCCTCGCCACGTCAGATCACCGGCACGGACCTTAGACTTGTTATTTTGTCCTCATTACTATATGGTGTTCCCGTGACCACAACGACATGCGGGCTGCGCCTATTAGTGCCCGACCCGTCTCCATCCTTGCTGATAGACGCGCTCCCGTGTGGGTAAAGGAGGGGGAGGGGGATTGTTGGCTAATAGGAATTCCAAGGTTGGAAAACCTAAGAAAATTAAATTTTTAAAAAAAGATAGAAACATTAGAAAAAAATCAATTACAAATGAAAAGTTGAAACGAGAAAAAGAAAAGTACAAAAATATTATGACATTTAAAAAAAAAATAAAAACCTTAGGAAACTTCGCCTGCAAAAAGGCCCGGTGAGAATTTTCCTTAGCGTTGGGCTTTTGGTTTCAACAAGGAGCGCTCAGTCCCTGTTTGAAAGGACTAGTTTTGAGGACAGCTAGCGCGTCCCCGGGACAAACAGCATCGAGTGGCCAGCATCTTTGGATAGGGTGGATCTTAGAGAGTCTCCCGGGAAAGTACGCTAGAAGAGAGGGACAAAGCTGAACAGGCCACGCCAGAAAGTGGGGAACGGAAAGACGCGGACGGCAATGCAGTCGATTGGGTTCGAAAAACGTGGCCTGAAAGTATTTTATCTTGGTACACTATTTTACGCCCATCTGTACTCCGTATTACCTTATAGTGTATACATGTATTAACCTTGGAAAACGGAAACATGAACCAAACACCGTATACATGTACCTACCTAGATATTCTGGTTAATATGCTTATAATCACATCATAGATATAATAAAACCATGTCAATATATAATCCATTCCTAGGATGATGGACTAGAACACTTGGCTTTTGAGGTGCAGACAAATACTGTACTGTAACAACGGGGGTATTTTTGACAGATGGCACACATGCATAGATCGGCGGGAAGGCCGGAGCGGCCCGTGGGACAAGTACCCCGAAACTTGATTGATTAATCCTGCGCAATAGTACTCGTATTATTACAATTATTTACTCGATATATTATGCGATCCATGGTTGGGAGAGTGGACTATTTTTTTTTTCTTTCCTTATGACCATCTACTATTACTCATATTATATATCTCAAAAATCCACATTCTAATGGATGTACTATATATTTTTATAGATGATTTTAGGGGGAAACTACCAAGGATTGGCGGTGACGGGCGTACGCTAAATGGCCCCCCCCCCGTACAACGTGGTTGTGGCTCTTGGACAAGGAACCCGCCCTGTCAGCGCAACGCTAATGCAGGTTACCTTGGCTCATGGGCTTTCCAGATCCAGTGCTACAGCCCTGGGAACTTAGGGCAACTCCACCTCCTAATGTTTCTCTCATTCTTTCCCTCCATAGCCTGGTTCATCTAGAAAAGAAAGGGATCCGCTGTCACCACCAATTCTTTTTTTTTTTTTTTTTAAAAAAAAAACCACAGATTTCGTGCCGGACTTCCTATATCCAATCGTATTTCGATGGGATACTCTTCATGAAGAGTGGCGAGTGGTCCGGCTGAACCCCACTCCCTCAGCTGAAGTCTGATCGCCACACTTTCACCGCTTGAATTTTTTCTTTCATAGTATCTACATGCAGTAGCTTCATGTACTTTGATGGACTAGGTAGTGAGATTAAGACAAGGGAATCCGCAATGTATATAATACTAATAACAAGATTGAATGAAATAGTATTGAAATATAATAAAATACAATCAAAACCAACCCCGATATGCATGGAAATGTGTCGCCCCGACCCGAGCCCATCGCCATGGAAAATGATCCTGGTTCCGCGGGGCCGGTTGCGGTTGTGCGACTACGGTCCGAGGCGGTCGTTCGTCCATGGACGGTTACGCAGCAAGGGTCACTCGGAGGAATTGCTCAACATACGTGCATGGCTCAATCCATGTAAAATGAGAGGTCACCTGCCACATTACTGATGATGTCAACTTTTTTGACACTTTTAATTTGGGAGTATTATTCCTGGTAACACTGTCAAAGTGGCGAAACGTGCAAAAAGTTACTCTCGGGCGCTACTACTAGTTTGAAAAAAGAAAAATAAATTGAAAAGAGTAAAAAAAATAAAAATAAAATAAAATAATAAAAGCGGTCGCCGTTCTCGGCTTCATAGCAAAATCTGGTACATTAGATTAGAATCCATGGTTCAAAACACTGTCTCCCATCCATGGATGTTTCAGGTGAGAACGTAAGGTAATGTCATCATATATCCATGCAATGTCTACATAACATATTGTATGTACATGTAGTATTTCTAGTAGATGGTCGACACAAACCTCAAATGTTATAGTACTCAGTACTCAGTAGTACCGTCTAACGTACACTGTATGTAATCCCCCCTCCATGTCTATGGGTCACTGGCGCCGCTTTAGCCCGCGCTGCCCGGGCTCCACCCCGTTCTCTAAAAATTCCCCTGCCCTTTTCCAATCAAATAATTCCTTTCTCTTTTATTTCCTTTTTATTTCCCTTTATTGCTTCCGATCTGAGCTTCTTTTTCTTCTTCTCTTCTGCTTATCTTGTGGGGGGGTTTTTCTGTTTTTACAACTTTTTTTTTACAACTTCCCTTATACACCTGCTCACGTCATAATCGCCGAGGCTCTCTCTTTTTCCTTTCTTTTTTTCTTTTTTTTTTCTTTTTTCTTTCCCTTTCCCCTTCTGCTCTTCCTATTTCCTATTTCCTATTTCCGTTATTTTTGGGATCTTCCTGCATCTGCCCTTCTTCCCCTTCCCCTGCGTGACCGCGCTATGCTCACTTTGTCCTGTGTGATTCAATCCTTTTTTTTAAACAACTCGACGTCACATCCCTGCATCCTTGACTCATCTCGTCTTACTCTTTCCCCAACACAAATGTCGGGCAATCCCAACGACCACGACCCTAACCGTCAGGGTGATCCAAATCGTCAGGATCCTCGAGACCCGAGAGATCCTAGAGATTCAAGAGATCCTCGAGACCCTAGAGCCACCCAGTGGAACAATCCGGAGGATCAGGCTTCCTATCCAGTATGTGCTGTCATTGGAGCCAGTTCACACGGCTCTGTGACCCATGCGGTGACTCCGGTTGCTGATAGCTTCATAGTATCCGCCGACTTCCTATCCTCCGCCACCTGATCAGGATCGTGCCTATCAATATCCACCCCCCGCACAATACGCGCCATCGCAGTATCCTCCTCCTCCGCAGTACGCCCCATCACAATATCCCCCGGCGCAGTATCCGGATCCAAGATACCCTCATCCACAAGCCATGAATGCTATCCACGGAGCCCAAGATCCCTATCGTCTTCCCCCTCCGCCGGGTCCTTATCGCACCGATGCATATGGACCCCAAGCAGGACAAGGGCCTTACCAGGCAGCAGCTCCGCGACAGCGAACGGCCATTGCGTGTCGGTACTGCCGGCGCCGGAAGGTAAGGGATATTCCTCCCCATCTGCGAGTTATCACGCGCTAATTTTTGGTTTTTTTTTTTCTCACCCGATAGATTCGTTGCTCAGGATTCGAGACCTCTGCAGATGGACGATGCAGCAACTGCGTTCGATTCAACCAAGACTGCATGTTCACTCCAGTCTCTTCTCAAACTCAAGCCTTTGTGCCTGCACACACCGCCTACCCCCATCTACGACCTGGACAGAATGGACCTGGACCAGGGGGTCGCGGTGTACCGCCTGTCCTGTACGGCGCCCATGGACAACCTCTGCCCCCTCAACAGCAGCCACAGGGACCAGAGACCACCCTGCCGCCGCCTCAAGGGATGTACTATCAAAACGGACGACCCCCCATGGATGGTGCCCCGCTTCCCCTTGCGTCAACCATGCCCGATCCGGTAAGGCTACCATTCCCCCTCTAGGAGGAGACAGAGAGAAAGAGAGAGAGAGGCCCGAGCTGATGTTTTGATGCGCAGAGACACCGTCGAGGTTCAAACTCAGGATTTGAGTACCCTGACCCGACTAATCTGGCTCCCGTGACCCCCGCCGGCTCTGCTCCCGGATACCAAACTCACACTACTCCGAGCCCTTACGCATATCCCCCTCCGCCTGCCCACGATCGACGCACATCGCCGCCATCGGCTTATAACTATGATGCACGCCCCTCCTCCTCACCTCACGGCTCGCCCTTCCCACCAATGCAGCCCCACCAGGCGCCTCTGACTCCACACCAGGGCAGCGTACCCCCAGTCCCAGTTCAACAGGGAAGTGCGCCGATCAAGACAAGCGGTACCCCCCAGCCAGGGGGTGTGACACCGCCGCCAACCTCCACCCCCGGCGGCTCGCAACGAGGTGGATTGAACGTGCGCGATATGCTGAATCCCGGTGATTCCCAAGGCCGCTCCAGTACCGATAGTGACATGCTTAATGCGCTGAATCGCCGCGGCCCGCAATAGTAATTTCTATTATGTCATTCGATGACCTAGGAAACTAGGAAAGCATACGAAGAATGCGATACGGGACTGGTGAGGAATGAGGACCATTCGGAATGGAGCGTGTGCTGGCCACACGGTTCGAGAGCCATGTGCCGAGTGCTGGCATTTGAAAGCAAAGATTTGAGGTCTCGTCGGCCCGTTGTGGGACCAGACCGTTGTGGGATCAAACTCTACCAAAAATTAGGCTGCAAGGGGAGTTTCGGAATGATATTCCAGACAATGACGAGTACCTGGATGATGAACGCGAGAAGAACGTCACTCCCTGATCTATTACAAGGTCATAAAACGCGAACCCATGAGCTTCATGAGCACGAATTTGAACTTGATACTGAAACTTCCAGACTTATGGCCTCTGATGTTATCGGCATATGAATATTTTTACTTATTTTCTTTTATCTTATTTTCTCTCGATCTTTTTCTCGGATTCAATATCTGACTAATCGCAAATCCAAGCCCTAATTGGATTTGCCCAAGTGTGTGGTTTGGCATGATTTCTAAGGTGCATGCAGTTCATGTGCTAAGTTGAGCTTGATTCGATTTGCATGCCATGCGAGTCTAGCATGAATGCAACGCATTCTGGACAGACATTATCAAATCGCACTCTTTCTGGCTGTCTTTTCCGTGGAATCCGTTTCACAGCTCTGGCGCCACAGACATTGTTCGCATTGTTATTTGAATTTCGGGTGGCTATCTGCTTTTTATTGCAATTTGTCTCGTTTTTTTTGCACCGTTGTCGGCTTTTGTCCTTTCCTGGGATTCGTGCTTCATTCCATTTTACATTACTGGGAAGGGATCCGTCTCTTTACTACTATTTTACATCTTCTATGATGTATGTGTGGCCATCTGTTTTTTTCGCCTACGCGACTAAAAGACGTGGGTCGGCTGTGTCATATGTTCCTTTTGCCTTGATTTTTTTTTTCTGTCATTGGGCCTGTTTTGATCTTTTTTATATCTGTTTTCTCTCTATTTTGTTACCATTGCCTTGTCTTTTCGTTATCAAATATCTGCTTATACTTATATCCGGAGGCTGTTTGATCACTCTTTCTGCTATTCAGTTATTGCCGCATGCTATTCCACCTTTCCGTTGGGATCTTGTATCTCTGAGCGCTTTCTGATGAAATTCTACGATGCGTTTTATACCGAGTATTCCTCCCTAGCTTTGCAGATCCAATCCGATCGATTCGATCCGATCCGATGCGGAATGGGAGTATTTCCTAGTTTTCTCTTCTATTCTAGGGATTTTGCTATTTCCCTTACTTCCCACTTATCCTCATTTCTTTTTCAGAGTGGAGTGTTAGAAGGGTAGACAGCCGCTTTGTCCCTGCGAAGGGGCAAGCAATCTTGGCTGCATAATGGTCCTCGGGTATTGCATTCCTTTCATGCTACATCCCCTGCACCATCATCCAACATGCTGCCTGGACCATGTATGTACGTGGATACAATCTAGACCGGGCAAGGGCCGTTGTACCGTTGTACATATGTAGCGACCTACCTGCATGTGTGAAGGCTGGAGACATACCACGTGACTTACCCTAATCTGGAGAGGGGATGTGAGTACTGTGTAAACGCCGAGGATAGTATAGGCGATGGGTGCAGGGTTACTAGCGCAGCTACTTTAATGGCACTATTCAACTCCATGAGCGTCTTCTTCAAGGCTGCGATAATTGAAAATAGACATCGGCGGGGTACAAATATCCGACTCGCCGAAATTAAGCATTATGCCAAGCTATTGAAGTCTGAAAATGGGAAATGAAGAGAGTAAAAAACAGACGATTGGCGTAACTGTTAGAATCGACAAACGGGCAAGGATCCCAAGAAGGTCAGGAGCATAAATGGAATGGATAATTAACAAGTAAAGGAACTGGCTGACAGAACATGATTGAGGGAGGCGAAAAAAGGACAAAACTATGGATACAGCCTGCAATACTAGGCCTGTGTGAGTTGGGGTCTTGCATGAGACGAAAACGAGTGTGGATGTGGATGGTGAGACGACATGAGATGCAAAGGAAGTGCGTTTGCAGGGCTGGAACGCAGCATGCTAGGGTTTTGCGGGGCGCAATGTCGAGAAGTTGAAGATGGTGGTCGGCTGACAGTATTTGAGGGAGATGGTTGGTAAGATTGGGGGGGATATCAAGAAATGGGTCGTGAAATAACTTATTTGTGGTTAGGAACAGAATCAAGAACGCGCGCCATCTTCTTTGCACGAGCTGGATCCTCAACAACCATTCCACGGCGCATGAGTGTGCTCTGCACAGTCTCCACGACCTTGTTAAAAGACGAAGCAGCGCCACGCTCCTGTTTGAAGCGGACTAAACTGAGATTGGCTTGGTGCCCGTGCTCAAGGACAGTGTAAAATTCAGCAGTGAACTCGACTTCTCGAAGATGAAGGACTAAAGCGCGATTAGTATAAGTGCTGCATCGGACGAAAGAGTGGCTTACAATTTGCTTCGCTAACACGACCGTGAACAATGCTATTGGTCTTGTCCAGGTACACATCCTCCATGCCGAAGTCCCGCCACTCGCGAAGGAGTTTGTAGAGTTCCTTGCGTCCCTTGACCTTCGATGTGTTCAACGCAATGACCTGGGTGGCGGGCTTGATCTGGAAGACACGGGCAAACCAGTTATGGTTGGCAATTGAGCGACGTTTGTGGCGGAATGGATTCGGCGGATCATCAGCTTCGATGGAACTGTCGGTGTCTGCAAGTCCCTTGCACATCAGGGAAGAATGACGATTATCCTTCGTTGGGGTCGTTTGGATGTCTTTCTCCTTGTCTGTAGATTGGTTAGATTATTCAGAAGAAGATACCGATACTGCACTTACCAGGAGGAGGGTCTTGCATGTTCAGGGTGGGCTTTTTCGTCAAAAGTTTCTTGAAAAAGCCACCTCCAAAGCGATCTATAGATGTCTTTCGTCTCTGGATTCGCTCTGTGTCCTCGATCTTGGAAGGAGAAGCAGGCTCGAGGGTAATTGGATTGTGCACGGTGGTGCCCCCACTGGGAATAATGAGGTGGATGTCCTTCGGTGGGAGAGTAGGGGGATTATCTGAGCCCTGAGGGCGATGCTTGAACCATGACCATTTCTTCCCTTCCGGGGCCCGGGCGGTTATTTTCTTGGGGGACAAAGGAACTTCTTCAATGGGAGCCAGCCCACTAGGTTGGGCAATATGGCGAGACCCAATGGAAAAATGCCGATCGCTGCCCTGGGAGTCACTCATAGCAAATTCATGGACATCTGATGAAGTGAGCTTGGTGGAGGGTTTCTTCCGAATGGTCAGGGGTTTAACTTCCTCCATGCAGGGCATTGAGCTGTGAGGGACCATCCGAATACTTGCCTTGACATCGCCGCCCTGGGGTAGAGCAAGCGAAGCCCGTGGTTCTGGCTGACGACGAGGGCTAGCCTCACTGGGCGCGCGCACGGGGCTTGCGCAATTCTCATTGATAACAGGGAGTGAAGTCTCGTTCGGCGAAGTGGAAAAAGGATCTTGGAAAGACGCTACATCCAAGTCTCTCCGTATACCATTTTGTGCCTGGTCTTCTTCAATCAAGCGATTGAGGTGAGTGATGACACCAGAAAGATATGCAGGAACGTTATCCTTTCGGCCCCGGCTGTGTTCGATAAACTTTTGACGTGTCTCAGTAAGCTCCTTGATGTTGTAAGATCGGGATGACTTCTGGGAAGTATTAGATACTGGGATTGTCGGAGTACGCTGAACTTTCTCGGGGCTTGCCATTGAGACTGGAGTCCCCGGTGTTTCATATCCAGATCCACCACTCGCAGTGCGGATGGTTGTACCGGAGCTTCTATTGAATGCCTCCTCGCAGATCTGGCTGAGCTCGTGGGAGACTTTTCGAGTGTCCTCCTTCCATGTGTAGTCTGTATCGCGAACTTTTCTGACCTGCCCAAAGACCTTGACCTTCGGCCCAGTCGCTCGGACTACAGTTGGCTGTGCTGGTAGGGGTGGGCTGCTTGGCATGTCCGGGAGGTCGAGTGCATCTGCCATGAGTTGCAAACTACAAGTGCTTGGTGACCGCTTGAACTCATGGTGCTGATTTTTTGGGGCAATCTTCCTCTTCTTCGCTTTGGTAGATGTAGATCCCTGAGAGCGGTTGCGAGCGTGGCGGAAAGAGACGTTGCGACGATAGCTCATAGAATGTGCTGACAATCCGGGAGCGCGGGAACTGGAATGAGCTATCTTGGAAGAGACGAAGGACTTCATAGAGCTGGGCCCATGCTTGCGCTTTGTCAGAACAGTGAAGGGTGAACCATCTGGTCCATCCGATTCTTCTGGCTCTTCCTCCTCCACAATAGAAGGGGGAGGCTTTACCCTTGGCGACGATGGAATAACTTCAGATTCCTCTGGAGACTCCCGGTGGACCGTAATATGGGCATACTGTGCACCTAACGTCGTGCTACCGTGCTTGGGTGACCGATATGGGTCATAGCTCTCTGTGGTACCGGAGGACATCGGTTCCTTGAAGGAGCTGAGACGACGAGGGAACTCTTTAACCGATGGAAACTGAGCACGACGCTTGGAGCTACCCTGGCCTGTTTGGCTGCGGCCTCGACGAACTCTACCACCGGGACGGGAGATGTGGTGATAGTCACTAGCCGAGTACTCTAGAGGCTGTCCTTGGTAGTTCTCCAACTGCTCATCGCGAAACTTTGCTAACGCATTGTAGAACATTCGCTCATGGGTTGGTCTGACCGGGTTTGTTAGCATCATGCATGTCAGGCTGAGAACTAGAAGGTGGTACTTACTCGATGCATAGAATTCTTTGAATCAGGTCCTCGGCCTGAACATCGTGCCACAAAGTCTGCAAATTTCGAAGGATATCGAGATCGATATCCTGCTGGCAGGACAGGGGTTGGCCACAGTCCTTCACTGACAGCGCAGGAGGCGGGCCAACGTAGTGATCAATCATTGCGTTGTGGAGCTTTTCGTATTTGGTTAATAACGGGTGCAGCCAAATGTTTTTCATTGATATCCGATCCTCTGGGCGCTTTTGGAGGATACGCTGGATAAGGTCGGCTGCTTCATCGCTCAACTCTGGAGGAATGATATAGTCTCCTTTCTTCACAAGCCGCAGGGTATTTCCCAAATCTCCTCCATCAAAGGGCAAGTAGCCGGTCAAAAGGGCGTAGAGGATGATACCGCAACTCCACATATCAGCTCTGTCACCACGATATTTTCTGCCGTAAATGATTTCCGGCGCCGCATAATGAGGGCTACCACAGGAAGTGTTCAGCCAGTGGCCTGCAGGTTGTAGTGCAGCCATACCAAAATCAGCAAGCTTCACGTTGTAGTTTGAGTCGAGTAAGATGTTTTCGGGCTTCAAATCGCGGTGACAAATATTGAAACGATGACAATACCCGAGGGCTGCAATGATCTGTCGGAACAGTCGCACAGCCTCTTCTTCGGGTAGTGGTCCATTGTTAGATACATAATCAAACAACTCTCCACCCTCGACGTGTTCAAGGACAAGATACCTAGCTAGTGTGTTAGTGTATTTTCATAAAAATTCTGAAGGTGTTGGGGACAAACAATTCTCCTCGGTTTTCCCAAACATCATAGAGACTGATCACATTTGGATGTTCGATCAACTTCATGATGACCACTTCACGTTCAATCCCACATGGCATTTGTCGGGTGGCTGAATTGGTAGGGAACTTTCCCATATTACGGTCCATGGCCGCGATACTCTCACTCTGAACCATAGCAGCCGACTTCTTTGAAACAATCTTAATAGCCGCCGTGTGTCCTGTGACAGCATGCTTAGCCAATCTGACCCGTCCAGTGGCCCCCTTGCCCAATGTTCGTCCGAGCTGCCACGGTCCCACATGTGTTTTTCTTTTCCCTTTGGTTGACAGGATCGATGCCGCAGACATGATGGAGTTTCGGGCTGAGTTGGGCTGGAAGTCGGTGGCCACGGAGAGGCGCTCATTTTCCTTGTTCCTTTGCGGGGTTGGGGTCATACAAAAAGACATCCCGTCAGGACTCTTCAGCTGCTCAGATTCTTCGATTCTCAGGCGCGGTGTCTCAACATTTGGCGACTTGGAGTGGTTCATCCGGCTCGACACGTCTCCTAACGGCTGACGCCTCCGTAGAGACTCATTAAAGTCCGACATTCTTTGGTCGAGGCTAGTGGTGTAAAGCCTCAGCAGTTTTGGTGTTTTTCCCACGTGTACTTCAAGCTGCAGAATTAGTCGTCCACCTAGATATTCATTAGCTGAGCATTCATCCAACATCAACCAAGATGTTAGTACCTAACACACAGGAAATCAGGCAAAAGGCACAAGAATACAAATGCTTTCGGCTATTAGCGAGAAGAAGTTTGTTGTAAAGATCGACTCCAGAACTTTCTGGGGAAAAAAACAGAAGAAGCAAACTAAAGAGTGACAAGGACTGGTCAACACCACATCATCGACGAAGATGCAGGCAGGAGACGAAAAGACAGAGGATCCCAAGCGACAAACTCCAACCGACTGGAATTGAGATAAGAACACAAGGAGGGAAAAATATCGGAAGTGTCAATTTTCATGAAGGACAAGAGGTTGGCATGCTTCGGCTGGACTGGAATGAGAGAGATTCCTTCCTTCCCATCGGAATGCTCTTAGCAGTATTGCTGTTTATTATTTACCATTCACTATCTACCATTGTATGTATTTTTTGACTCCAAATATGTTTGAATATCGTACCATGGGATTTGGCCTACCTGGTGACGAGGCAGAACCGTCCATACTGCTATTCCCACTTCACACCTCCCAAGTCCCAGGCTAGCGCCTATATCGATCGATTTACTTTCTTTTTATTTATCTTTTGTTTTCATTATCCTAAGTCTTAGCACAAATAAATATGTATTAAACAGTTTAAGCTCGTATACTCTCATTGTCAACATCAATTGCGATCGACAGGAGAGATGGCATTCCCCCAAAGAAGGGGGATAATAACAAATCAACACTCAACTCCAGGGCTACATAGCCATTTCATTTGCACAGGGGTCTATTTTTGTTGAGCATTCCATACCCACAAGCTCTTCATGTTCTAATATCCAGTCCTTGGGGTCAAATCAAGGGTACAGATGAGACTGCACACATCGTCACCTTCCCGCCTTATATGTACATGATACATATAGACCCCCAATTAATATACCAGTCACATCACAGGTGCAATTCAACTACCGACATTTAAATCACCAATGCTGTTCACTAATAGGTACATCATTCACATTAACCTCATCTGCAAACCATCGCCCCTCGCCATTCCCTTCTGGTCCGATCAGGACATCATTTCCACTCATCATACGCTTTCGCATCTTTCCCGTATCATCGAAAGTCCAGTCCTCCAGCCCATAGCATCGCTTCCAGCGCATTCCATCTTCCACATCCTGAAACTCATACCAAAACTGCACAGCAATGCAATCATCCCGGAAAGCAAAAAGTTCTTTTCGAAGTCGATAACTATGCTCGCGTTTCCATTTCGCTTGCAAGAACGCGACGATAGCTTCTGTCCCAGTAAGGAAATAGTCTCGAACACGCCAGATGCACGTTGGGGTGTATGCCTGAGCAACTCGAACGGGGTCCCTAATCACACATGGTCAGAGCGGGCGATGAAATCACTACATCATCATCCACTTTGCAAATCAGATAACAATATTCCATCTTGAGGACGCAAGATACACCCTCTCCGTTTGAGGTATGTTCGCATCTGTCCAGGACGATCCGCACAGACAAACAATACAAGTCTGCAAGAATGCAAGGGATGAAACCTTCAATGCCCTTCTTTTGACCACACAGTTTATCAAGGGCGATAGAGATAAGAAATCCGAGACGTACTTCGTATTCCACATATCCTGCGCTGCTTTGACTTTTTCCCGCGCAGTCCTTTCATTAAATGGTGGTTTGAGATCTGCCATGGTAGGAATCTTAGGGGATATGAAATCAAATTTGTCTTCAAGTCAGCTTGTGAGGTTCCAAAGTTGAGAAGCTTAACCCCTTCCAAGCCACCTGGGCACCTAGAAAACCCGGGGCCGCCTTAGACAGCTTTAGTCATGCCCACGTAAAGCCCGGGGCTGTGCAATGGGCATTCCCGCGGAGAATTGTCCTGATACTAATCAAAGGTACTACAAGAAAAGTTTCCAACCTTGGAAGATTGTGCATGAAGATAGTTGTATGAATAATTATATATAACAAATTGTGTTTACGCAAAACTTATACCTAGACTGGTAAGTTCGTAACCATTGAACCGGCAGGCATATATAGATCCTAATAATCCAAAAATATATAATTTGACACATAGTATCTAGTATACGTCTGTCGAACGAATAAATAAATATCTTCTCACTATTCATTCTTAAAAGTGTGATATTCCCTTGACTATTTGTTTATAATTGATGATCGGGTTGATCGCTGTAGCAATGTGTGAAATATATATTTGCTTCCTCCATCAAAAAAAATTGTAAGCCTTACACTAAAATTTCATTTGAGCTAGGAGAAACAAATCGATCTTAAAGCACAATAAAATCTTCAGCTAACCATATTTTCATATCTGCTATCGTTTCTATGATCGTTGTAGCTTGAAGCTCTCTAGTAGCGCCAAGCCACAACACCAGATGAACTACAGAGTACGTCTAGGACACAACCCACAAGGCCCCTGAGCAGAAACATAAACCTATTTCAACATTTAGACATATTAGGTTTCTTATCATGATAGTCAAGCCATTGTTGATATAAATACAATCATGTACATACATATTGGCTTTCTTCACATTCTTGGTCGCCGCGAAGTGTGTCCGCCCAAGGGGGTTTCTTGTGTTGTATGGTGTACTCCGTACGGAGCAGGCCAATTCAATATTTTTTAGCAATAAAACTTCATTTCTCTTTACCGAACACGGCATGTTAAATCTAGCCAAGAGACTTACCTACCCACCCTAAAACGCTTGCATGTACTTCATCCATCCAAAGGTCAAACTTGGGGCATGACCAATCCCAGTCACATTCCTCTGGAAAGAAGAAACAGTATCTCAAAAATATCTTTGAAAACATTCCATTTTTTCTACTTATTTATCCACAAATGATCATTCAATATAAGCCATGAAATCTTTTCCCTTGTTGAACTGGTAGTTGTTTTAGGTCTTTGGGCCAGTGGTGAGAAATCTGCATCAGAGGAACGAAACCGAGTTGTTCTCTGATTTGATGCGATTTAAGGAATAATCTTTTTCTGAACTTACCTATTTGTTTTTTTTTCTGCTTCAAGACGCACAGAGAGCACAGAGGATCAGGCATCTAATATCAGGATGAGTAGTTCATCAGGTAGACATTAACTTTTAAGGATCACCTCACTCATAATAGATCGATGTCTGACACAGATATAATCACCCCATATCTTCTGCGGCTAACAGGAAGTCAACATGGCATCTGCGGATAATTTGACTTAATCAAAAATTGACTTGGCCCTATCTGAAGAGAAAACTCAAGGTGAAATCAAGGTCCAAGAGAGCGGAAATATTAATACTGTCCAGTGGTATCGGCAGAATGTGGTTTATAAAATGAAGCATTCTTGTATTAATCGAGCGTTTAAGCTTCTCTGGATAGAACAAGACCTCCGAGACACCGTTTGGAAGAGTAATGCCTGAATAAGAAGCCTGTGGCTATGGGCAGCTGGATACTCTATAGGAATAACATATAAGCGAAGCTTTAGGATTTGAACAAGAGATATTAGTTGCTGGAACGCTAGTGGTGGAAAGTCCAAAACTTGTTTGTGTCGGGGCCTCTGATTCGAGTATTTAACCTATGGCGATCACATCTGCTATGGTATATGCATTAAGTTCTCGTCGAGAATTGTATAAGAAAGGGAGGATACTGTAGCCGTTGGAGTGGATGTTACGCTGATCGCAAGATTGATAAGACAAGATACCTTAGAGCTAGACATTGTACGGTAGAATGTGGATGCTGTTACCAAGCCCGGGGATTTAAGCTTACAAAAGGAGAAAAGAAAGAAATTAACCACGGATTTCCAAGGGGTGGACGATGATAGTTTTTACCACCAGAGGATCAATCGAGCTTCGATATAGGGGTTATCTCTTGATAGTCATGACAGATTTTAATACCCCTAAGATATGAGAATGATGTTTCAGAAGAGCAGTCAAGGAAAGCCAAGTCGGGCAATGTCGATGAACCATTTATTCTTGCTGGGGACAAGGAAGAAGTTGTAATACCTCAAGTGCCAGCTCCTGGCTACATATGCACATAGTTTTTTGTGAGGTTTTTCTTGTCCAATGCAACTCTTTCTTTTTGTTTACGTAGAATTTAGTTGTTCCCCGGGTCCTGAAATCTGACCAATACATACATATGTACTCTGCCTTCCTATTTAGGAAGGGGAACCTTAGAGCCATTCGTGCCTGCCATTCGTGCCTGCCATTATAGTTCTTTCACATGAATCTTCCAAGCTACCAACAGAACTTGATGTTCGTAGAATTTTTGATTCTGTAAAAAATCTCAAACCAACTTCAAACCGGATACCAGTGAAACACTTCACTATTCTTCACAGTGAGTCTTCTCAGTTGTCTTTTTTGAGGTCTTTTTTGCTATAACTATGGCCTACCCCATCTAGATGTCGTCGGCGAACGCCCCACCTCTCTGCGAATGCCCAAACCCCCTCAACGATTACCTCGCCCAGATTGGGACCTTTGTTGAGCGACTGGCAGCCGCGACGACCCCTCGACAGGTGCCGCTCCTTTGGGTCATCATGACCATGTATTTGTTCGCCTTGCTGTCAAGACGCGTCGACGCCTATCTGGACTGGTGGGTTGACCTATCTGCCCTATTTACATTGAACACCATGAGGTTAGATTCTAATAAAAATTCTAGGCTGTTTCCCCTTCCGCCCCGAGCCCGAGCCCGAGCCCGAGCCCGAGCCCGAGCCCGTGGCCATTCCCGTGGCTATGCCCGTGCCCCAAGCCCCAGGGCTGGCTAGGTAAGCCATTGTGCATTTTGCTTGTACTCAATAAAATATGGCTAACAAATCGCGCTGTACGGAGTAGATTGGACCAATTTTTGTTTTTAAACAAATGATAAGGCTGTTTATGCAGCAGACTATCCTTCTATTGTTTACATACACATAGTCATTTATGAAGCTTGAATTACTCCTACTTCAATGAATGATTACTCCTACTTCAATGAATGATTACTTCTACTTCAATGAATAATTACTCCTACTTCAATGAATGATCAGTACCACCAACATTCTTGGCCTGTCTCGTTTGTTTATGTGAACTGTGCATGACTAAAGGAGCTCGCTTCCAACCTTGCATCTTCCAGATCGGGTCTACCAGTTTCCAACTCGAGTATTCACTCACTGAAGAGTTCTGTAGACCTACAGCATCATGTGTAATGGAACAGAATAGAAATCAAGTGGAAGCTGAGGGTCCAGTAGATTATATTTGGAACAAAGATATCAATAATTGCATTATCCTCAATCATAAGTGCACCACACACACAGACCTCTTTGTCTCAAACAAGGTGAAGTTCACAATGAAAGAGATCTAAATCCAATATTGTTCATTTCATTGAGCTCTACAGACCTTTTTAATTTCTCCAGATACAGATATTTTCTTCTCAAATCAATACTCTACCACACAGCCTTTTCCACCCAAGCCTAGTATCACGAGTACGCCCCTGCGCTCCATCATTTTCAACAAGCCCATCATTTATCATGTGCAAGATGCGTTATAAATGGTACCGCGGCCACTGCGGTATTAGTGGTTGTGGGCACACAGAAGCAGTGTGGATCGAGCGCTGTAAAGAAGCTAATGCCCGTGAGAGACGGGTACCTTGCCCCAATCCACGTCCCGTCCTCCGTATCACTGAAGCTTTTGCAATGGGGTTTTGTCGTCCTTGCCTTGGCTGGGCTGTATTAATTCCGGGAGCCCCTGAATTGGCTAATCCTGAGCGGATCGACAGGCCTCGTCGACGACAGTAGATATTGACTCATTGACTTTATTGTTTGACTACTGGCGTCTAACATGATCCATGAATAAAATGCGACTGTCTTAATCTTGAAAGCAGAGTAGATATAGGCTGAATTTTGAAAGTTTGCATGTTTAGAAATAGTTCGATTGTACATCTCAGGCCTCGTTCGGTGCCAAGAAGAGTCCAAGTCAGTTTTGAGGACCGGGAATTATTGGGTGATGGTGAATATGTGGATTTTTTTGGTCCTTGATGAAGCTATTTCACAGCTTAGACAAGGGATGAGGGGAAATCTGCGACACTTTCTGAACCTCTACTGCAGTTTGTTGCGTCGCCTGTAGAAGATCTAGGACTAGTGGTCCCACCAAAGACAACTTGGAGCTTTGTACCGAATTTGCCGATAGCAGTATAACCGAAGAAGATGTTTGTGGCACGTATTTGACAAGGGAATTGGAGTTGGAGTTGGTATAGCAAGAGAGGGGTATGGCCAAGGAGTTAGGCGCATGCGACTGGCCAATTTCAGATGAATCGCTAGCTCCTGCCCCCGCTTCGATAATGACGAGTGAGGAGGGATAAAATCCATTCCTTGTGCGGATACCAGCGCTCTTTTTTCCGGTCAATGTGCTCACGTAGGCTACTTGGTCGACTTGTTTCCCGAGGGAAAATTGTACGCCTGCATCTTGTGCTGCTCGATAGACCTATATTTCAATCGCATATCAGTAATTATTCTATTTCCGATTTTCCTTTTTGAAAAATAAACGATAATTAGGTCTTAGGGAACGCTACATTTGTCAAGTCTCCGGAAGGGATATAATCATCTTTTGCAAACACCGAGACATTTGTGTAGCCTCGTAGGGAAAGATGTAGTGCTACCGAGAGGCCGCGAGCGCCAGCGCCGACAACAATGATAGAATCTGATATAGAAACGCCCATGATGAAAGAAAATCAAATGTATTATTTGTTTATTTGTGGACTACAAAGCTGATATAGTATTCTCCCCGCATTCATACAATCTCCATAGAATTGGAGAAAATTGCCCTCGGAAGATAGGAAAAGGGAAGATGAGGAGTAGCTCGTGAGGGGAAATTCTCGCCGACATCGGGAATCCTCCCGATGTTTCTCCGACTCTATATTACTATACTTCCTTATATTTCCTACATATTTAAACTTGAAAGATGGATGTTTACATTGAAGCGTTTCCCCCCCGGAGATCTTAAACATTCATAAGGTGCTATTAACTCGAACAGCTCGAACACGAACACATATAGTCAATTAACTGGAACGCGATATATCCAGCCACGGAGCATTAGAAGCCTTTGCGCAAGAGAAATGAATGCAATTGAGCATAGCTTTTGAGAGAAAGCACATCGCTTAAAAATATCCTTAAATATGCTGAAACTCATGAAAGCTCATACGTACAGGTTCGATTCGAGCGGGGTTAGATTTCTCCACACTCGGAAGCGCTCCCGATGTGCTTCAAAATACAAAACTTGTTCCCTTTTGCCTTCGCTTCCTTCTAATAACGTCAATTAAACCATGGATATTCAAAACGGAACCCTTTGCATCCTAGGCTGTGGTAAGCACACAAGCCCATAGGCAAAAAAAATCGACTAATGCGTCTAGGAAACTTGGGCATTGCCATTCTAGACGGCTTGGTCAATGCGCCCGTGGAGAAGTCTAAAGAGTTACCGTTTGCTCGATACACTGCATGCGTGCGCAGTGAAAGCTCAGAGAAGAGACTCTTCGAACGATTCACCCAGTCCTTGGACAAAATAAGCATTTCTCGCGGCAACAATGTACAAGCTGTACAAAATGCCGATGTGATTATTCTAGGCGCAGACCCCGCCGATATCGAGACCGTCCTGACGCAGACTGGACTCCGCGAGGCCTTGGTCGACAAGCTTATCATCAGCATTGCAGCCGGCTGGACAAGGCAAAAGCTTGAAGTCACACTATACGGCAGCGAAACTACAACCGATAACACAGCTGGCAGAGCATGGGTGGTACGCACATTGCCGAACATCGCAGCCCAGGTGTCTCAATCACTTACTGCTATTGAAACATCGGAGCCCGCATTGCCAGAACGGTATCTCCAGATAACGACGTCGATCTTCGAACAAATTGGCAAGGCAGTACACATTGATCCGAGGTTGATGAATGCTACTACTGCTGTCGGGGGGTCAACACCGGCTTTCTTCGCTGTGATCTGCGATGCAATGATTGATGCCGCAGTGGCAGTTGGTCTTCCACGAGACCTGGCCCATACCATGATCTTTCAGTCAATGCAAGGGACGGCTATGATGCTTCAGAGCGGTATCCACCCTGCCCTCTTGAAGGATCAAGGGACGTCTCCCGAGGGTTGCACGATTGGTGGTTTGATGGTGATGGAAGAGGCTGGTGTGCGTGGGCATGTTGGACGGGCGCTTCGGGAAGCTGTTACGTTGGCTCGTTTGATGGAGACAACACCCCATGTTAATGATACAAGACATTGATCTGTTATTTTGGGAGTAAATTGGCATAAGAAAAACTCGGGATTGCTGTTTCTTTCGATCATTGAGAGTGAACAAGTGCCGTCTTAGATATCATGCATATATGGATATTAAATATTGGGGCCCTCTTGACCCCTGACTCCTGAGAATATGACCAAATAGCCACAGCCATCTATAACAAAAATATATAGAGAATTTCACTCTTCTTCTCTGTGTAATCCAAACTCTGTATGCAAATCCTCTGTGAGCTCCAGTTGTTTAATAGGTATACAGAGAAGCAACCCAATACCACCAAATGGGATTGAAATCCACCAAACCCATCGTAAACTATCTTGATAAACACTGAGTACTTCCGCCATAAGAGTCGGGCTATCATGCAAAGTACGCATCAACCCTTGGCTGGCCATAGCATATGCACCTCCATTAGCAAGTTTTGTGCGCAGAGACAGATCACTGACGCGATACAACAGCTCCTGGACACGTGCGTTGAAGACAGTGGTTGGAATAACAATACCCCATATACAACCAAAGCTGCGCATAAACGCCCAGGTGGAGGTTGCAGTGGCCACGTCGGACTCGGGTAGTGATGCCTGGATTGGGGGTAGGGTGCTGGAGAAGATCATACCAGAACCAGCGCCAAAGAGTATCTGAAAGCCAGCCCAGTCACGAGCAGGCGAATGGTCATCTAGGAGCGAGAAGAGGCCACTGGCAATAGTGAGAAATATATATCCCAGGAAGTGGAAAATGCGGTATTTGCCAGTCATCGCGATGATAACTCCCGTGATGATGCCAAAAGGCGCGATTGCAGCAGTGATAGGAAGCACGTAGAGCCCTGATTGCGTGGCAGTCGAGCTACGTACAGCCTGGAAGTAGACAGGCAGGAAATATCCAACCCAGTACAGTAGGATCGACTGAAAAAACGCAATCCATAGTGCGCAAGTCCCAGTTCCGCTTGAGAACAGCTGGAGCGGGATCGATGGCTCAGCACAGAATCGTGACATTTGATGGGCGTAGAAAAGGAACAGCCCCCCAACCCCTAGGATAAGAGGTAAAAGAACCCGCCATGAAGACCAAGCGTACGTTGTTCCAGCCCAGGTGAGGGCGAGCAAAATTGAGATAACAGCAGCTGTAAGGATAGAATTACCAACGAGGTCAACGCGCTTGAGCTGGTACCACACAGTACCATTCCTGGGCGGGTGTGTGACTCGAAGGAACAGCACTAACAGCACAAGGGACGCAGCACAAAGTGGCAGGTTGATATAGAATACCCAACGCCATGAGACATACTGGGCGAACGCGCCACCTAGGACGGGGCCGATCACCGTTCCAATTGCCCAAACAGCTGCCATAAGCGCGACATATTTACCTCGCTGGCGGAGGGGGACTAGGTCACAAATGACGATGTCCACGAGTGTGTTGATACCGCCGCCACCGATGCCTTGGATTGTTCGTCCCGCAATAAGAAGTCCAGTGTTCCTTGCACCACCGGCCATGCCACTTCCCAAGGCAAATGTGACAACCGAGATAATCAGCATCCATCGTCGACCGAAGATATTTGCGGTCTGGCCAAACAATGGCAGAACAACCGTCGATGATAGAATATATGAGTTCGTAATCCACATGTACAGCTCGCCAGCATCGATATCAAGCGCTATTGTGGGAAGGGCGGTCGAGAGAATGGATGTATCGAGGGCCGAGAGGAAAGTTGTCATGCATAGTGCAGGGAAAACGGCCCAGAAGCGCCATGTCTTCTTTGAAGTGAGATGGTTATTGTTAGATTGCGTTGGGGCTTCGCATTCTTGATGTTGTTCTTCTACTGGCACGCGAAGAGGCTCTTGGACAACTATTTCGGTTAGCGATGGCTTTTCCCTCGACTGTGAAGTTATTTCTGCCATGGTATGGAATGTGAAATCGTGGTGAAATTAGGGCATGGATATGGAGCTAACACTTAAAAATCCCGAAATCCGGTCCCCAAACCCTGTCCCCAAACCCGCTCCAAGGCTGTTGATCTCTTTCCCAAGAAAGTTAGGGGCACATGGCGTAGGCGCCACTTGATAGAACCTTGGAAGACTAGCGGTGCTAGTTGGACCAATAGTATTTAAGTACTGACACTCGGTGTGGGTGTAAAGGAGTTCAATGAAAGACCACGCCAGATTAACCCGAGACATTATTAACCCTGGAATGCCCCTATAATGCTAAATTTTGGTCGAGCACAACAAAAAGCCTTTGCCGTTGCAGTCAGCTTACCCATCTTTTGATGCATAGGCTTTGAGGCACAGATTTGATTGGTGTTGAAGAGCTACGTGTGTTTGGCCCCTTCCTACATGCATTAATGTCATACGTAGTTTGCCAACAGCCTCCACGGAGTACGTACGTAGCATGTACTTTTGATGTTTAGGAAAACCCCTGGAATAAACAAAATATGCCAAAAGGAGCAAGAGACTACCATAAGTGAAATAGGGGGTTTTCTCCGTCATTTTGTTTCTACGATATCTATTGAGAAATTTTGTCAAATTGGTTTCCAGATAGAAAGTGATCGATTGAAAGATATTAATCTATGTACGTAGTCAAAACAAGCTCCCTCTATTCTTCCTTGATAGAGTCCCTCATGGCTATACATAATATGTACCTACACAGGTATGGGATTTCCAATGGATCAAGGGCAAAGCGGGGTCGGCCGCTCCACAACTCTAGCGGTACCTGAGGTCGTAGGTAGTAACTTGCACCGCAACCTTTCTCCTGTAAACCATCGTAGGCTTCAGGGACAAGCTTGCTGATCTCCAAATCATCAATGCGGTCTATTTCAGACGTTGTTGGTGGCATATTCTCCACTTTTATGCAGATCCAACATGACGCATACATGTTGACCCGATCGATGCGGGCGCCACTTGTACGTGCACCAACTCGGTTGAGAGAAAAGCCATGGGCCCTGAACATCTCCATATCCCAAGGGAAAGGTACCGAGGAATTAAGAGTACACGGGCGCCAATCTTGAGGCTGCAGCTGCGGCGCTCGGGCTGAACCAGTCTATGATCAATGACAACAACGACAGTCAGTGTATCAGGAGGTATGTGATTAAGAACCTCACCCACCTCTTCCATGTGGATGCGCAGACCATCTAGAGCACCTGTGCTGGAGAACTTGGCATGTACCTTCTCAGAAAGATAATCCCGGTGACACTTGCGGGTGAAGGCGCCGGTCAGGCGAACTTGATAGTAGAAATTATCAGCACCGACATGCGTCTGCTCAGCGACTGGATCAAGTGTGTTGACCATGTGTCTCCATATTGCGTGAGAGCGGGTCCTGCGGTCTGTCGGGTTAGGGCCACTGAAAGCTTCGCTTTCAATCATGGCGAGTTGGTTATTGGGGACGCCAAGGGCGGCCCACAGAAGACCTTCTTGGTTGACAACGAGTTTGCATACTAGTTTGGAAAGCAATACCAAACGGATCCTGTCGAGCCAAATATTGCGTTGTTCGTTTAGGGTCTTGGTGGCGAGAAAGTCCCGGAAGGCGCTACAGCAGGCCGAAAATAGGTGAGATCCAACGAATTGCACGAATGGCATGACGCAAATCCCCCATAAAGCATAGGCGTTATCAAGCGAGTACTGAAATGCTCGGCTGGAAAGGTGCGGAGAGAGCTTAGTGAGCAGTAGGTTACGAAAGCTGAAGTGTTTGCCCTTTCCGAATAGTCTCCAAAAGTCCTTATGTGACAAGGTAGTACAAGCTGCAACCTTCAGCCAGAGAAGATGGTCCTATATAGGGATCAAATCGACAGCGTAGATTCTGGCCGGGCTCTTTTTCGCATAAGAGAGTATGTTATCTCCGGCACTGGTAATAGCCAATACTATATCTTCTGCTCCGAGATTGAGCAGGACCTTATCTACTCCAGCATCTTCCCACGTAAAAGCGTAAATGCACTCGTTGTTAAACGTTTTGTGCTTTTAAAGCTTGTCGTTATAGTAGTATATACGCTAGTAGTAGTTCTAATAGAAAAGCCAGGGCAGGGGCGGATTTGTAGAAGTTTGCAACTTTTTATATCGATGACACAAGCGCTGCTAAGGCATTTGATCTCGCTAAATCTATAACTGATGTTTGGACCACAGTTGCCACAGCCGCAAACAGAGCGACATGTGAGACGGACTTCATCCTCAAGGATGGTGTCATCTATATCAGTCGTGTCGTCCCAGATATGGAGCTGAGCGAGTTCACTCTAGATACAGGAACAGGGAGAGATGAACAAAAATTTCCAACTTTTGGCAATATCCAGCTAGCACTGGAGACTCCATGTCTTTTGGTTACTATGTATTTCGGAGAGAAACCAACATGTGACATTGCACTTGGCGCCGATGAGGTTAAGATCGAGGTGAAAGCTGTGGGATTGAATATGAAGGTTTGTTCATGGTATCCTTATTGTAATATTGATACAAACGTCAGATTTGGCTAATAACCATGATAGGACTATGTCATTGCAATGGGCAACTTTGAAAGTCTTAAGTCTAGTAACGAGAGTCCTGGGATTATTTCTAGAGTTGGAGAGAACGTCACTCACCTTCAATCTGGGGACAAGGTCATCTGCCTGGAGCGCGGATACTACAACACTTTCCTTCGCAGCCCGGTTCAGGAGTGTCTGAAGCTTGATGACGATGCCGATCTTGTGGAGATGGCCACCGTTGGGATCACCCATGGAACTGCCATATATGCGCTAGACTACCTAGCACATTTAGAAGCCAACGAAACATTACTGATTCAGGTCGTCACCGGTGGTTTAGGGCTCGCAGCGATCCAATATGCCAAGTATGTGGGAGCTGAAATCTACGCCACAGTAGGAACACAGCCAAAGAAGGACTACCTCATCTCTGAGTGCGGAATCCCTGCAAATCATATCTCCTGGCCCCGAACTCTGGAATTCAAGAATGACCTATTGAAGTAAACACGGGGTCGCAGTGTTGATATTGTCCTTTCAACTATGTCCGGTCCTATGTTCCATGAGAGCTTAAAATGCCTAGCGCCATGCGGAAGGCTTATTGATGTTGGGCGTGGAAACGTCCTGGACAAGGGAAATATGGGATTGTATGCTTTTGATCGGAGCATCAGCTGAAATTCCCGATGATCGCGATGAGGCAGTTATTATGTTGGCAGGTGCTGTTGCACAGCGGCTGGCCAAGCTCATATTCATACCTATTGAGGACATCGATATCGGCCGTCCGTTCTCGCACTTTGGTCTCGATGGTATGTCCGGCAGCGAGCTGATCCATTGATTAAGCCAGAATTTTGGTGTGGGCATGTCATTTTTGCAACTGCTGGCTCCCTGCTGCTCACCCAAGAGTCTGGCAGGGACTATCTTTGATACCCTTAAGACAAAGACCGCTGCGGCAGAAACTGCGACAAATCCGGCTATCGTAGATAGCACATCTCAAAAAACCGCCAACGGATCACTTGATTCCAATGGCGTGAATGGATCCACCGGTGTTAATTGTTCCAATGGTTTCAATGGCATGGATAGCAGTTCGGCTGAATCTCAGATGGAAAAGTTCTCTTGGTCAGTAAGAAGAGCAATTGCCGATTCAAAGCCAGTCATGCATTCTTATGTGTGCTCTGTCATCAGCAACAAGGGTACTTATACAGGATTTCCATCTCAAATGGGGAACATACTAATTACAATTACAGGTGAACAACTCTATACACTGTCTGAGGGCACTCTGTCACAAGATTTCAGTACTAAAGTTGGCTTCGACGCAGTATATGGAATGGCTTCTCTCACCAAACTCATGATCACAGTCGCCATCATGATTTCTTGCAGGAGCAGTTGGTAGGCCCGCTCCACGCATCTCTACTTTGTACGTTCTACAGTTGACATGGACACCGGCCGCATTGAGATCGCGCTAGGTGGCCCGCTGTATCTGGATACCATCCCTGGGAAACGCTCTGCGGGTACACTACAATGGGCCGGTCGGCCGAATCTGTTCTGGTGGATTGACCGGGTCAAGGGGGTAGCAGCGGCGACGTTTACACAGGTTATATCACAGGCTGATACCAGATTTGAGGAGTTGACCAGCGAGTTTGAAATGGCGGTATATGCAGAGTTCACTTGAATGAATAGAATGTGGCTCGAAGGATGGGGGAAAGGAGGAGGAGGGGGGGGTTTATACGTCCGCGTACCTTCCTAAAGTGGATAATTCCCATGCACCTTCCCGATTCATAGATTTTCAGACAAAGTACATATGTAGGTAAAATAGGTCGTTCCTTCAATGTTCCTTCCTGGTGTGTTTTTTATTTCCAAAGATTTGTAATTGGCTAGGCGACCTCGGGAGTTATTCAGGAAATTTTCAATTTCTCAGTTGTTGTACATCCATGGATTATGTATGCGGTGGCGTAGGTATGCACGTATATATCCTAAGGCACTCAGGCACAAATAGATAGTCACATGACCGTATCATCCCACCTTATGCCTTATATATCAGGCATCTTGAACATCATCCCCCACCTCCATGCCTTAATTTTCATCCAATGACAACAATCAATCCGGGTAAAAGAAGCCACAAGAACTGCCAGGAACCAGGAATACTAAATCCGAAGTGCACTTATCTTAATAGCCGACCTGCAGGGGCCAATGATAGCTGAGTCATCCCGATTCGCCATAATAAGAATCAGATAACGGATACAAGTCTCGACGGTCTTTCTTGATAATCCATGTGGTTCGGTATCTTTCTTCTATGGATCACCTCACGTCTGGTAAGGTAAATTCAGGGCCAAGTCCCCACTCCGTCATAAATCCCGATGGGCCGAAATGTGTAAGCCGTAATATTAAATACTCCATGACTTCCTTCAATTCTCTTCCCCCTCTTCCTCTTGTATCCACAATCTTAACTTCAATCCTTCTCTCTCTCTTCAATTAATTCAATCACAATGGCCACCAAGGGTTTCAACGCTGGCGACGCCTTCCCCCAGGACGTTGTCTTCTCGTGAGTCTTGAAAAAAAGTTAAATTCAATTGCGTCTCTAGCTAACAGACAAACAGTTACATCCCCTGGTCTGAGGAGGCTGGCGAGATCACCTCTTGCGGTATCCCCATCAACTACTACGCCTCCAAGGAGTGGGCTGACAAGAAGGTCATCCTCTTCGCTCTTCCCGGTATGTGACCGCTCTTCCACAATTTTTCTAATTTTTTTTCCCTTCCTACTCTGTATCATCTGCAAGGTTCTTGCGCTGACCGCCACTCCGTTCTACAGGTGCTTTCACTCCCGTCTGCTCCGCCAACCACGTTCCCGAGTACATCCAGAAGCTCCCCGAGCTCCGCGCCAAGGGTGTTGACCAGGTCGCTGTCCTTGCCTACAACGATGCCTACGTCATGAGCGCTTGGGGCAAGGCCAATGGTGTCACCGGAGATGATATTGTATGTGATCTATCACCCATCTGCCAATTCCCCAAAACAAATCATGGACCCAATTGACTAACTCCTGCCTCTTTTTTTCAGCTCTTCCTCTCCGACCCCGAGGCCAAGTTCTCCAAGAGCATCGGCTGGGCTGATGAGGAGGGCCGCACCTACCGCTACGTGATCGTCATCGATCACGGTAAGGTCATCTACGCCGCCAAGGAGGTCGCCAAGAACAGCCTTGATCTCTCCAGGGCCGAGTCTGTCCTCAAGCAGCTGTAAATTCGCTCTGTTGAAAATAGATTTGGGTAAATGGGCTGGCGCATTGTTTCATGGGTGATTGGGGAGTCGGACTGCGGTATTTGTGTTCGAATATTTCAAATATCCAGGACTGTTTCTCTTTCCTCTGCTTTCAGCGGTTTTCCGAAGTTTTAGATCGCCCTGTTGCTTGTTCTGTTGCCTGAAGAGTGAAATACTTTTAATGAAGCCACGAGGTCATTCTTTCTATTCCTCTCCATTATCTCTCTGAGTAAATGGTAGTGAAGTTTTCTAGGGTTGATTTGTTGTACAACATAGGCACACAGCTTTGGAACTATACCTTGCCGTTCTGATTGGTGCGCTTTAATAGTACTTGACTAGTGCTGAAGGCCAGTGCCCGTGTCGTCCGTGCTCAACGCCTCGATGAGAAATCTAGATCATCAGCAAGTCAAGTGCCAAGCATCCAAATTTCATAATGTTAAAGCGTAGATAATAAATCACATATTCGGACATAACTACATATGTAGGTACTAGTTTTTTTTTTTTTTTAAGTAGAAGCAATAGACCTCTCTTACGCCAGATCAGTGCGATAATCGTGCGGGGAGAACACCCTTGGATGAATTTTAAACTATAGCGTACTTCACAATGGTAGATTATTTGGATAATGCCAACTGTTGAATTTCATGGATCGTGTTGTCCGTTTAAATATATAAATTGAAATTTCCTCCCAAAAAGCAATGGATATACGCATAATAATACACACAATTCAACGCCAACCTCAAAAAATCAAGAATTCCTCAAATTTGATGCCAAGGCGACAGATTTATTCTTCTTCCCTTCTTTCGTCTGCAAGCCACGACTCAGCCCACCCCCGAGACCACGTGCCAGAGATGCAAAAGGCGATGAATCCTGCCATACATCCAAATCGTGTTCAGGGTGGCCGACACCCTTAGTTTTCAGTGCCTGTTTTGTGCTTGGATTCAAGGCAACGGGCTCAGATTGTCGGCGATGGGAGTGTTTCGCCTGTACAAGGCTGTGCTGGGTGACTGATGCGTACTCCTTGGTACCAGGGGATATTGGTTCCAGCACGGGCATGGGGACATCAACAGTAATGTGCTCGGAACACTGGCAGCCACATCCTGTTGGACAAGTTGGAAGGAGCTTGTTCTGGTCTGGGTGATCGAATGGGCTGTCGAATTTGTCGGCCGGTCGAAGGAACCAGCGCCGATGACAGTCGAAACAGCTTACATGTCCGCAGCTCAGACAGGGGATCAGCATACCGTCGACCACCTCCCCGCAGATGACACAAGGCAGTTTGGTTGGCAGTGGCTGTCGAGGCTTGCAGTTAGGGCATCGGCGGCCTGATGGTTTGCGCTTGTGTCGCTTGGAGGGGGTATTTGGAGCTATAGGTTGTTTATCAAAGATGGAGAGCTGCAACGCGTGACCGCAGCTCGCGCAATGGCGCTGGAAGTCAAGAGCTTGGGAGGTTGGCTCCGGCTGTGGGTCTTTCAATGTGGTCTCTTTAGAAATGGTGCGGTTCCAGTAATGGCTTGATGTCAAGTCGTCCACTCGATCAGCCACGGCTCCAATCTTTGTCACCTCGCTCTGTTGAACAGGAAGGTCCCAAATAGATAATAGATTGGCATAAGCAACGCGGTATGAGCGATACAACAACTCCTCATCTGCGTCAAGAAAAGAGTGTTGCGCTGGTCCGTCGCTTTCAAATGCAGTTTGGTTCTTGTATGTAACCTTGAATCTCGCGGTCGGTGGTGTAGGCTCAGGTGCGTGATCACTTTCAGTGACGGATTGAGCCTGTGACTAGAGAGGAATCGAGGTCAGACAGATCAAATTTTGCAGGCATCTCAAAATAGGATTGGAAATACTCACTACTTGTCCGGCTGTCACGCCCGGGCTGTTCTGAGGAGTCGTCTTTTTCTTGTCCATCCTACTTGTTGGTGGTGACGCGGATGACGGTCCAAATGTAAATGAACGAGATAATGAGGACGCCAACACAGATCCAAACCCAGATCCGCTTCGTGCCTGAGATTGCTGATCAGGCGATGCAGCCATAGAGACATTGTGGCTCGGATTTCTTCGGTCAGCAGCGATGCCTCGTGGACGGGACATGAATGGAGGCGTGGTGCCTGTGGAATACGGGGGAGTGGAATCGAGACGCCAGATCTCACTAGACGAGCGTGCTGAGGTCTCGGGAACAGTCTGGACCTCTTTAAGGACAGAGGAAGCTGGCGTCGCAACTGGTGGCTTTGTTGTGATTGACGATGGGACAGTGGAGAAATCCAATGAGAAATCATCCTTCCCGGGCGTCTTTTTGGCTTGCTGATTCTCCAAATATCCCTCTTGGTTAGCTTCCAGTAGTACGCATGAGATCATTGCCACCATTTGCACATCACCAATGCGCTCAAAGTGTTCGAAGAGAGCAGGGACAAGCCAATGGCTGCCAAGGGGGTGGTCGCCCCAGCGAATAATACTGCCTGCCAAGTCTCTATACAGCCCATCTCTTCCTAGACCACCAATTCCGCCCCTTTTTTCGTGTGTGCGCCTTTGCAACAACCCTACTTCAGGCAAAGGGCCGGGGCTTTTTCGGACGTGCAATATCAACTTGATCAAACCCCAGATTTGGGCCAATTCGTAGCAGCCAGCGTCAAGGGCAACTGCCGCATTATGGGCGCATACATCTGTTCCTTTGCCACAGATGCGATATTGACTCGCCAACTCCCGCTTAACGGGTAACATATCACTCAGATTATGAATAGATACGATATTCTGGGGTGCCTCTGATTTGACTGTGGCCCCGCCTCCAGTCGATCGCTGAGAGTTATCTGTTGATCGCGGACGGTGGATGCCATAGCTGCCGGTACTACGCCATGTTCGAGGTGCTGGGAAACGTGTCGGTAGCCCAGAAAGAACGTCAGAAGAGCCCGAAGAGCTCGATGTGTCTGAGTATGACTCATCCGAATCATCCGAGGCACCATCGTCTGTGCTCGTTATCGTTCCCATTCCGCGTGGGCCAGGTGAATTGGTGTGTAACCGGCCGAAGCCTTCAAACACTTTATCGCCTCTAGACCAACGAGTCATCTCTTTGAAGCCCATGTTCTCGAATAGCTCGGTTGATTTATCTCTCTTTGGTTTCGGCGGGAAGAAACATACGAGGCGGCCGTCATTTGCCCATAGTGCGCCGCATACTTTGGCCACAGGCACCATGACATTGGCATTGACAGGACGGAGTAGCTCAGAACTCATCCCCAGTTCTTGACTTTGGGTCATGCCGACTTCATCCTCGTCGCTGGATTCGCCTTCCATTTCACCGTTGATGGGGGACTTGAGGTTATCGCCAGTTTCACCCAATATCCATGCGATGCTGTCCTCCAAGCTGCTTTCGCCTAAAAGATAACGGACAGCACCTTCCAAGCACCCTCGATTTCGGGACATGTAGGTTTCAGCAATTGTGCGCAGTTCAGCGGTGGTCTTCGCGGCCCATTCATCAGTGACGGCTGCTGTCTTTTGGAATGCAAAGGTTGGGATAGCAGTCTTGGGATAGCTCATTGGGAACTTGATATCTACTTTCAGGAACAAGGAGGCCCCGTCAGCACCCCAGGGCCCGTTCAGAGAGATGGAAATCTTTCTTTGTCGAACATCAACTGAATCAAACGCCACCTTGGTGAATTTTTCGCCGACTTGGCTGATTTCATCTCCTAATGTCTCAATGTCCCAGCCTGATATCTTCACGCCGCGCATCCAAGCAATTGGATTTGTGTCAGCTCTTAAATTTGACCTCGGTTGCATGCCAACTCGATCAACATGGCCTCCCTTTATCCAACCTCGAGCGTGAGGAACAGTAATGGCGTTCATCCCAGTACCTGCCGCAGTATTCTGGTTCTGTTGCCCAACAGAAGAAGCCACTTCAACGTCGTCGAGATCCAAATCTGAGTTCACATCGCGGAAACTCCGGTAAACGGCACCGAGCCGTGTCACAGTTCGTGTGGAAATAAAGGACTTGCCCTTTTCGTACCCGACGCGCGCCAGAATCTCAGGATTAACTTTGTGCAAGCGAAGTTCCCTGTCCGTTCCCCACGTAACAAGTTGGTATTCGCGATGATCAATTCCATCCGCTACCCCTCCGCGTGGTCTCCACAAGAACTCTTTGACTTGTCCCTTGTGTCCAGGAAAACTGTGTACCAAAGGCAGGTCGTCCTCTGGATTTGAGTCCTCTCCAGCTCGCCGGCTGTAAAGATGGAGATCATTGTTGCCTCTCTGTGGCATTGCAAGCATTCCCATTCCAAACGGCGTATTACGTGCCCGCCACACAGGGAATGGTGTGTGAATCTGCTTCTCTGGAACATCTAAATCGGTGGTGTAGTCCCAAAACTTGATTGTTTTATCTAAGGAACATGTGACTAGAGCACCGCGTCGCACACGGTTCCAGTCAACTCCATAGATCTTAGTGTTATGTGCTTCAATCGACTTGATTGGATATGCGCCCATGCGGTCATCCCAAATCCGAAGGAACCGGTCATGAGAGCTTGCAATGACGTGAGGGTCTTGTCGATTCCATTTCACCTGGGTTGCACCAGTAAACCAGTCCGAAAATGAGACCGCTGGCCGCGACGGAGCACGTAGATCCCAGCAGTGCACAAAGCTGTCCACAGAACATGTTGCTAGTATATCTGGATGGAATGCCGAGAAATTGATGTCGGTAATTGCTCGAGTATGAGCGTGAAGTACAATTTCAATAGAGTTCTGCCATGTCTTCATAGCCAAATTCCAGACCAACGCTTTCTGGTTAGATGTACTGACAACCCACTGATCGCGTGCAGCGAATGGCGACCACTGGACATCAGCGACCTCCCACGGTGTATGGTGAGGAAGATACCGCGGTGGAGAATATGGCGAGTCCAGGTCGATGACATGCAGACCTTCTTTGGACGCTAGAACGACATCGCGTCCACAGGGGGATATTGACATAGAACCCACCGGTTGCTCTACATGAAAGGAGCTGTCCTCATCAAACGTCGGGCTCTCCATAGCCGACGTGAGAGGTCTTGGTTCCATCGAGCTAGACATGGTGACTGTGACTGTCGCTCTGTTTAATCTCCGGTGTTCGTCGGGCCGCGATCTTGCAGGAACCGGAGAGTCAAAGGTCTATCCCTGCATAGAATACAAAGCCATATATATTTAGGAGTGATGAAGCTGTTCCCATTTTCCACAATGGCATCTCTTATCCTTATTTCATGGTTGGATATGACTGTTATATCCCCAACTTGTCGCGAAGACTGGCAAGTCGGGTTGCGATAACGCGATAAGGACAAGAGCGTGGCTAGTGTTGTGGCTGTGACTATGGGATTATGACATCACATGATCTCGTATACGGGACGCGAAACAACCCCGCCATGCAGGAGCCCCTCGGCCGGTTACGTCGAGATCTGGATCTGCTTTTTAGTTGACTTCCAAGGTTGCGCTTTACTTTCCTCTGTTGACTTTTCCGAATATATCTTGTGGTTTTACCCAACACCTGCCAGTTCCTGGTTTCCATTAGGAACAGACTCTTCGTCTTACATAATTACTAAACCAGGTCTACACGCGTGTCGATAAGCCGGTTTCGCAATGGCCTTACCCAAAAGAATCATTAAGGAGACGGAACGCCTGATGGCAGAGCCGTAAGCAAATCATCTCGTTCAAAAGATCATTGGCCTAGCAGCTAACATGTGCTTGGATTACAGTGTTCCAGGCATTAATGCAGTGCCCCATGACGATAACCTCCGCTATTTCGACGTCTCAATCCACGGACCTGCGCAATCTCCATATGAGGGTAGGCCCGCGATAGCATTCTCGCGTCAGTTGAAGTCCTAACGTACTTTTTGCAGGTGGTATCTTCCGACTTGAGCTATTCCTGCCAGACGATTATCCCATGACCCCACCTAAAATCCGCTTCCTGACCAAGATCTACCACCCCAATATCGATCGTCTTGGTCGCATCTGTTTGGATGTCTTGAAGAGTAAGGCACCATACTATTCATTCGGAAACTGCGGATATCTAACCATGTTTTTCAGATAATTGGTCTCCAGCTCTCCAAATTCGCACGATTCTACTCTCGATTCAGGCACTACTTGGAGCTCCGAATCCCGATGACCCGCTCGCCAATGACGTTGCTCAGAGGTGGAAGGACGATGAGCCTGCTGCGATCCAAACAGCAAAGGAATGGACTCGGACACATGCTATGACTTAAGTTCGTTGGTGTTATGTGACCATGAAGTGCAGGACAACCCTTTCTATTTGCGATAGCAGGCATTGAATTCCAAGCGTTTGTTATTGGGTAATCTTGTTGCTTTGAGTGGGATTATATTCTCTGCTTCTCCCATTACCCTTGCCCAAAGTTATTCTGGCTTTCTCTAGGAGGTGTTGCAGAGGCGTTGCAAAGGCGTTGCGGAGAACCAGCGTAGTCGAGCGTGTTTTAAATTTCATCAGCCATTCTAAACAACACATTCGCCATCATACATCCAATGTAGTCCAGTCGCTTACAGTCCCTACAATGTACTAATCATAATATCGTTTATTGGACAGCAATGATCCTCACCTTGAGAATCGTATCATACGTATGTCAACTTTATCTACTCCTAATGTGCAACTCTGATAGAAAGGATCATTGAAGAAATGTACTCCAAATGTGTATGTGTAGACTGAGCATAGATGGTGGTATATGACGATCGTACTTGAGTCGCTCTACCATAAACAGCTTCTATCTGAATCTGTACTCTAGTTTCAAAGGAAATTGGAATTCATTGAAGGTTAGGAGTAGTTCGTCAGCAAAAATCCCATGTTCCTTGCGTTTTAGCATAGACTTATTAGCCAAAAAACCGAATTTGATGTCGTTTCATATATTCTACCATTTTCACTCATAGCAAGGTATAACTAGAAGCAAAGTCTAGGTGATAAAATCCATGCTATGCAACAATCCTGATCAGAGATCATGAGTAACTGAAGTAATGGAAGAGAGAAGCATATCATGTGACCTTATCGATAGTCAACCCGGAAAGGGCAGAGGTGGTCACGTGTCGCACTTTAGCGAGCGCCCGCACCACAATTGGGTCATCAGCATCACCGCGATCCACGATTTACGACAACCACTCAACGCCAACCGACACCCGTCAGCGCATCTCCATCCGTCAAGATGCGTACTTACGACGACTCCTTCAGCGGCCAGAAGATCTACCCTGGCAAGGTGCGTTTGCAATTCCCGTCGTTGCTTTTGGGAGGAATTTGTGTGCGAGGGAACAACGGCATCGCGGATTCGACATTCACACTTCGATATTTCAATACTGTCACAATTGTCGCTCTCCGTCTTAGTCGAACTGCCGCACATGAATTCCGCCGTCTTTTTATTGCTGGTGGAAGCTAATATTTGATGTTGAATGTTTTAGGGCAAGCTGTTCGTCCGTGGCGACAGCAAGATCTTCCGCTTCCAGCGTGGAAAGTCCGAGTCCCTTTTCCTCCAGCGCAAGAACCCCCGCCGCATCGCATGGACTGTTCTCTTCCGTCGCCAGCACCGCAAGGGTATCTCTGAGGTCGGTCGCCCCTCCCTTTGGATTATTGTTTGATTGTGTGGAGGGACAAAAGGCCGAATTGAATGGTGACGAAAACCATGATACGGAGCAAGAGGAGGAATTGTCACGTCACCACCATGATTCAGATCATATATATAATGGAGAATGCGACTGCAGATTACTAACCGGGTTATCTTTCTGGATATATAGGAGGTCGCCAAGAAGCGCACTCGCCGTGTTGTCAAGAACCAGCGTGGTATCGTTGGTGCTTCCCTCGATGTGATCAAGGAGCGCCGCTCCCAGCGCCCCGAGGCCCGTGAGGCTGCTCGCAAGCAGGCCATCAAGGAGGCCAAGGAGAAGAAGACTGCTTCCGCCAGCGCCAAGAAGGCCGAGAAGGCCAAGATCGCCGCCTCCAAGGGTGGTGCCCAGCGCATCCAGAGCAAGCAGGGTGCTAAGGGTTCTGCCCCCAAGGTCGCCGCCAAGTCCCGCTAAATTTCTTCATGAAATAGTTGGGAATGGAGGTGTTCGGAAAGGAGCAGCGCTGTGATGGTTGCGATATGATGGAACTTACGGGCACTGGAGCTGGAGTACTGTCTGAGGACTGGCCTTGGGCCTTGACCTTGTTTCTGGAAATACTTTATGCAATACAATTTCATGCAGAAAAATGGGAACAAAGGAATCAAAAATATGAATCCCATGCGAGTATTAAAACTATGTTGTCTCCCTCCAACCTCCAGCAATGGAACGTTTCTTGGTTTTTCCCATGATTCATGTCCACCAGGCCTACTCATGAGTGGTTGGATATTTATATCTGTCTGATCTTGCCAATGAAGTAGATCTGATTCGGCCTTCCGATCTATAATTGAATTTTATGTTTTGAATTTTTCTTAACCTTTTGACATTAAATATACTACGAGGAACAGCCACTTTGATGCATGACCTGGCCTCTTTCTAGCTTTCAGTATAGGTACGTCTTCATAGCAAGAATAACTCAAACTGTCCGATTGAATCTTTCCATTTCAGACCAAAGAATGGGTTTCCAAGCTGAGTAATAATAATATATAATAGCGATGTTCCATGCACATCTATACTTAGACCATCTAGGTCCATCCCCGCAATGCATTGATTTCAAACTCCCGAGAAAGCAGAGATAATACAGGAAACATCAGCAGCGTTACAAGCTAAGATGGAGATCACCGCAATCGCAGAAGCACCATCAGCATGGTCACGGTTTGTAGGCCAAGCGCTCCCTAGCCTTGGGACTCACGGTGTGCAATTGAGTTGCCAAAAGTTAGGGTGGATGCAAAATCCTACAAATGCGCCAGTTGCTCCTTGCCATGTGCCGAGGGGCCATGCTAATCACGATGGATTAGGATCAGATGTCGTTCCTTTCTCTCAAATGCAACAATCGCATGATTCGCACAAGTTTCTCGTGGACAACAGCGCCTCGCCGAAACCTTGCGGGACTAACTGAACCAAATAACCCAAACGCTATGCCTAACAACCGGCGTGAACCAGGAGGGGAAGAAAACCTAGATCAAAAAACGCTCAGTAATAATGCGCCATCTCGAGGCCAGCGCGCTTGAAACCACACTTGACATAGAATCCCTCATTGACTTCCGAGCAATCAAGAATGCTCTGTAAACATCAAGTCAGCTACTAAAATCATAGGCATGATAGATAAGAACACATACCTTGTAGCAGCCAACCTGGGCAGCAACATAATCCAAAGCCTGGATAATTCTCAAACCAAGCTTCTTGCCCTGCTGGTGTTTCTCAACGGCAATGTCTTCAATGTGCCCAACCATACCGAGCGAGTGGATGAACTTGCGCTCAACAATCAGACTACCGGTTCCGACGACTTGGTCCGCACCGTCGCAAATCACGAGCATGTAGTACTCATCATTGCGGGAGGTAATCCAGTCGTACCGCTGGTTCCACGCCTCCTCGGAGATATCTCCAACAGTCGTCAGCACGCGTAGTACGTCCAGGTAGCCGCGGTTGTAGTCTGAGCGGCGCATCGGCCGGATTGTGTAGTCTGTTGGCAGTTGGGAGATCACTTCGGGGGAGATGAGGTTGGAGGGGAAGAGGGGGCCGTCGGTGACGGTATCGATTGTGGCATCCACAGGGGTGACTGTCGAGCTCATGATCGGCTTGGTGGCTTTCGCGATTGTGGTACTTGTAAGAGCGTGTGCAGTCATTTTGATGGTGAGAGAGTTGGAGAATGGGAGTGTTGGAAGAGATTGAGGGTTGAGGGTTGAGGGCGGGTTGTTTATCAGGGGCCGTGGGTCGTAAGAGAGATCGGCAGCCTTGGATTTGAGTAAATTAATTTGTTTGAGTGAGCTTTGGTATATAATACTTCAGAAGAGATACAATGGTCATGTGTAAAAGAAGTTTTTCATGTAAATAAGTACATAAATGTACTTGGGGGTTCAGGCACAGGTACAGCTGAGACACCGCCACCAAGGGGGCTTTTCTATTAATACTCTCCATACGGAGTACCAAGGGACAAGTAGTGGGATATTTTTTGGATTTCTCTTAGGGTTGTTTTTGGCTATAACCGCTTATTTCTGCATTGAAAAATTCGAAGGCTATTGACAGTACTTATGTACTCCGTACTCCGTATATTAAAATGATCTCGGCAACTCCGATTCACTAGTGTCCTTGATCGGCTTTGCGATCGATGCTATTTATAACCTCAAAAGAATTTAAAATCTACAATTTACAAAAAAAAAATGCGTAGCACCACAACACAAAATGATTAAACATAAAATTCTTTTCAGTGTACATATCCTATCGGAAATGGTCTATAATATCACAGGATGGCATTTCTGCTCATCTATTTGAATTCCTTGGGAGCCAACATGAGCTCGGGACGGACATACTGGTCGAACTCCTCTGAGGTGAGAGCCTTGAGCTCCATAGCGCTCTCCTTCAGAGTAAGGTTCTTCTTGTGAGCATTCTTGGCCACCTTGGAGGCCATGTCGTAACCAATGATAGGGTTCAGGCAAGTCACAAGCATCAGACTATCACACAGTTAGAATTTGGCATCAAAAGTTAGGAGTGTAAGCAATTAGGAGTGTAAGCACATACCTCTCGTTGAGAAGGGAGTTAATCCGTCCCTCGTTAGCCTCCAGACCCTCCACCAGGTGGGAGCGGAAGCTGTTCATGCCATCAGAGAGGATGCGCACGCTGTGGAGCAGGTTGGCGATCATCACGGGCTTGAAGACGTTAAGCTCGAACTGGCCGTTCATGCCACCGATGGTGGCGGCGACATGGTTACCCATAACCTGAGCGCAGACCATGGTGAGGGACTCGCACTGGGTGGGGTTGACCTTTCCGGGCATGATAGAAGAGCCAGGCTCGTTCTCGGGAAGGCTCAGCTCCCCCAAGCCGCAGCGAGGGCCGGAGCCAAGGTAACGCACATCCTGGGCGATCTTGAACAGGGAGGCGGCCAGAGTGTTCAGGGACCCGGAGGCCTCGATGATGGAATCGTGGGCAGCCAGTACCTCAAACTTGTTGGGGGCGGTCTTGAACTCGGTGCCGGTCAGCTTGGTGATCTCGGCAGCGATGGCCTCGTCGAAACCCTTGAAGGTGTTGAGACCAGTGCCGACAGCGGTACCACCCTGAGCCAAAAAGCGCAGGTGGGGGAGAGTAGCCTGAACACGTTCGATGTTACGGTCGAGCTGGGCGACGTAGCCAGAGAACTCCTGGCCAAGAGTAAGGGGAGTGGCGTCCTGCAAGTGGGTGCGGCCAATCTTGATGATGTGCTCGAACTTGTCGACCTTCACCTGGAGGGCATCACGGAGGCCCTTGAGCGAAGGCAGAAGGGACTGCTCGAGCTCGACAACGGCAGCGATGTGCATAACGGTGGGGAATGAGTCGTTGGAGGAGGCGGACATGTTAACGTGGTCGTTAGGGTGGACGGGCTTCTTGGAGCCCATGGTGCCACCGAGAATCTCAATAGCACGGTTGGAGATGACCTCGTTGGAGTTCATGTTGGACTGGGTGCCGGAACCAGTCTGCCAGACTACCAAAGGGAAGTGGTCCAGCAGCTTGCCCTCGGCGACTTCAGCGGCTGCCTGCTTGATAGCTTCGCCAATCTTGGGGTCTTATGGAAGTCAATAACCTGATGATATGTAATTTCCGCAAGATTTTCACATACCAAGGCCGTACTTCATGTTCACTTCAGCAGCAGCACCTTTCAAGATACCGAAGGCCTTGATCAGAGGGGCGGGCATGCGGTCCTGGGGCTGGTTGATGTCGAAGTTTCCCAGGGAGCTGTATCTATCAGCAACCTTGTTCTTTTTTCCATTGAACGTATCGATTTGACGAGGCGTCTTACCGCTGGGTCTGCGCACCCCAGTACTTGTCTCCGGGGACCTTTTGCAAACTCCATTAGCTCTATGCAAGACCATTGCTCCGTTAATATCCACTCACCTGGATTTCACCAAAGGCATCGCTCTCGGTACGATTATCAACAGACTAGATCCATCAGTTTGTCTGAATTTATTTTTCAACCGCGCTCTCGAAACAGCATACCATCCTGACGGTAGTTCCAAAGGCTCGCTTGTTGGAGAAAGTGTTCAATGATTGAAGGCGGGGGAACTGAGCGAATTGGCGGGTATTAGAGCTCAGAGACCGGGTAGCAAAGACCGACAGAAGGTTGCGAGCTGCGGGGGTGGCTCTGGCCGCATGTGTCAGGGTGGCCATAGAGCGCACCGCGGCTCGGGTGGAAGTAGGATTCATTGTGTGACAATTGGGTTTGTAGCTGTACCAAAGAGAGTATACGAAGGCTCACACCAAGCTCCTGAATCTTCTATGGGAAGTGAAATCGAGGATCGGTCTCCTTTAAAGAAAAGTAGCAAATTTGAGGTCAGATCAACTCCCCGAGTCCTCAGCCGAAATTTCCCGGTATCGGCAGGACCAAAGGGAGACCAGTTCTTCGGCAGTGAAGCTCGTAATATTCGGTAATATTGGGTAATATTTGGTATTGTCCGCTTTGGTACTATAGTATATATTTGTTTACGGGTTGAACTCTCATCCCTTGAAGCTGCCGCTTCATTGTCGCAATCACCTTTTCGTTATATCGCCGACCTCCCTCCAGAATTCCATCGAGTCCAGCGACCAAATGCGGAGCACCTACAATTCGGTCTACCTCTACAGATACCCCAGCAGCTTGAAGCTTAGCGGCATATGCCTCCCCTTCATCACGCAGCGGATCCAATTCCGCCGTAGATACCAACGCAGGGGCCAAGTTCTGGAAGTTTGATGCTAGAATAGGCGATATCTTCCAATCCTAGAAAAATGAGCATCACATTCATAATTACTTCATGACCAAACTTACCTCGTCCGACTCCGCCGGTCGAGGAACCCCTAGAAATTGTCGGTGGAAATATGCCATGCGCGCCGCCGGTAGCGCTGGCGCAAACTCCATCTCCCGGTATGATTCGTATGGACAACCTTCGCGGTCAAACTCGCCCTCGGGAGTGAAAACACTGTGTAAGTCTGTCACTGGCACGGTTAAGATTTGCAAACGCAGAGGTATGTTTGCATCACGGCAGAGATGGCTGATGACAGCTGAAAGCTGGCCGCCAGCTGACGCGCCGCCCACTGCGAACCTATCTGGGTCTAGATTGAACTCGGTCGCTTTGTGGGAGCGAATCTAGACGTTGTCTCGTCAGCACTTAGTTCTCATCTAAGGTCTTAGGCCGAGAGGTTCCTACCCAATTGAAAGCAGCCCAACAATCATTCACAGGAATAGGATACTTATGCTCTGGGGCCAGTCGGTAATCCACATCAAATGCGACCAGGTCCCCATCAAGACCATGGACAACTCGCTTGCAGAAATCGTGGTCGTAGGCTAGTCCACCAAACACCCACCCACCACCATGAAAGTTGACATAGGCTGCTCTCCTCTTTGGCTGGCCCTGGTTTTCAAGCTGGGGTGCTGGCTCGAATATTCGTATGGTGATTTCACCGCCATCAACAGGACACTTCTGTTATGTGATACGGAAAATATCAGGGCCGGGAGCTCGGCCATAGGAAATGGTATAACGGGCAGAGTTTTTACGGAACTCTTCGATCGGGACTTCGTGTGTGTGCAGTCGCCCGGCATTGAATGCATTATAGTATGCGACATAAACTGGGTCATACCGAGGGAGCAGCTCTGGGGGAATGCTATTGTGAAGTGGCTGGGTGACAACTGGAAGCCGAAACTTGTGCAAAGTATAATCGCCAGCTACAGTTCGAGAGGCCATGTCGATAACAAAAACGCACAATGTCTAATCTGTCGGACGGATTGCGTTTAAGAATGAAGTTGATTTGGTGAGGGGTACAGAAGAAGATGTGGTTCAGAGCGAGCTATCAACCTCGGAGTTTCAAGTAGTACAATATACAAATGTCTCGCGCGGGGTATCATCCGGGCACATATGTACCAACTTCGGTCTATATCACGTAGATATGCACATAATGTCAGTGTTGGTGTATACCTGTATCTCGGTACGGAGACAAGCTGAGTGGTTGTGTAGTAGAATCTCGAGTCTAAGCTTCTGTATTCTCATCGGCTGCAACCCAATATATGTCAAAGGAGGGATTGTAATAAGAGCTCAAACAGAATCTGGCAAGTTATGGCTAGTTCAACAGGTTTCACCTTTTGGAATCCTTCATTTTCGGGTACATTTCCTAAATGTTCATCTTGATATAATCGGAGGCGGATGAAGCACACCATACAATAAAGGATTTATCTGTAGCTAGGCTTTTACAAATTGGAATATTGAAGAACGATAGAGACATTGGAGACATTGGGAATATATATCTGTAAAGCCAAAGGTAATATAGGAACCAAAAAGAAAGATTTATAAATGTTGTTGTAGAGATGTCCCATGTTAGCATATATCCCCGCCCATTATATATCGTCGCGCAGCCTCCTCTTCCAAGTATTCCCAACAACACACCACGAACCCTCATCCACCATCCTTAAATGGAGTGCTACACAAGAAAAACTGACATTTATCCTCTTGAGAATAAAGTGCGTTCATAATGCGCGTCACCAGACCTCTGATGACGTTTCATGCTGATCTTTAGAGTTTAGTTGCTCCAGAGATCAATAACCTATCTCACTTTCTATCAACCAGCACATGGCCAAATATAGAAGGCTATTGACGGCTATCTCTTTCTTTGAATAAAACGAAGATGAAGGAATTGCAATTTGCATTTCTTTGCACCCCGGAATCCGCTACTAAGCGGGACTTCCCGCGGGGCAAAAAGACGGCGATATCGGGTTGACTCAGCGGGCGATTTTGATCTTAACTTACTTATACTCGCCGCGGCCTCGCCACATTTTGCCTAAAAGCAATCCCAGGAATCCCAATTGCAGTCTATATACCACAATGAGCAAAACCAACACCCGTCTTAACGTCTCCCCGGTACCCCCGGACGAGATCTTCGCCCTGAACGGCGCCTACGCAGTCGATCCCCACCCGCAGAAGGTTAGCTTGGGTGTAGGTGTCTATCGGACAGATGATGGAAAGCCATGGCCCCTTCCCGTCGTGCAAAAGGCCGAGAAGGAGCTGGTAGTAGACGACGACCTCTTCCGCCACGAATACACTGCGATCGAGGGTGATGTGCCTTTCCTAGGAATTGCGCGGGATCTGATGTTCGGATTTGAGGGCAAACAGGGCGAAGAAGAGGCCAAGGCACGCATTGGTTCCGTGCAGACCGTCGCCGGTACCGGTGCCAACCATCTCGGCGCCCTGTTCCTTGCCCACCACATGAAACCCACCACCGTGTGGCTGTCTAACCCATCCTGGGCCAATCATCAGACCATCTGGGAGCTTGCCGGCGTGCCCCGCAAGACATACCCGTACTACCATGCCGCAACTCGGTCCTTCGACTTCGAGGGCATGATGTCTTCCCTCGAGTCTGAGGCGGAGGAGGGCGATGTTGTGCTGCTGCACGCTTGCGCGCACAACCCCACCGGCCTAGACCCTAACAAGGAGCAGTGGGTTGCCATCGCTGACCTTTGCGAGCGCAAGAAGCTCTTCCCCTTCTTCGATTCGGCCTACCAGGGCTTTGCCTCAGGCTCCGTTGAGGAAGACGCCTGGGCCGTTCGCTACTTCTTCAATAACAAACCGGACATGGAGATGTGTGTGGCACAGAGCTTCTCCAAGAACTTCGGCCTGTACGGTCAGCGCGTTGGTGCGTTCCACTACTGTAATAACCGTGCCTCAGTCTCCCTACGCGATGTTGTTGTGAACAACCTATGCCATCTGATCCGCGGTGAGTTCTCCATGGGCCCGCGTGTTGGCTGCACCATCGTCAAGAAGGTTCTTACCAGCGACGAGCTTACCGCCGACTGGCACGAGGACTTGATGGTCATGAGCTCGCGCATCAAGGCCATGCGTAAGGCTCTGTACAATGAGCTGGTGCGTCTGCAAACCCCTGGCACTTGGGAGCACATTATCCAGCAGGTAAGCTATTTTGGATTTTACTATACGTGTAAGATGCTTCGTACTAATTATTTTCTTAGAACGGCATGTTCTCCTACACCGGTCTTACCCCCAAGCAAGTCTATGCCTTGAAGGACAAATACCACATTTACCTGCTCAAGTCAGGCCGAGCATCTATCAGTGGCCGTAAGCACCCCCAGTCATCAGTACTCATAAACACGAGCTAACATTGTGCACAGTGAGCCAAAAGAATGTCGCCTATGTCGCACAGGCGATTGACGATGTCATTCGCAACGAGAACTAGATTTGAAACGAGTCCGAACTGGATTTGTTTTGAAATTTAATTTTGCTTAGGCTGCGTCGATATCCATGGTAGTCTCTCAAAGGGGGCTGATTTTTTTGGAAGACTACTTACTGATTTTGCATCTGGCGGGCCCATCTGATTTACGACGTTTCACGATAGAATTCCAATTTAGAGAATTATAGCCACACGTGCAGTTTTGGTGTTCTTACCTGTGTACAATGTAACCATCTACATGTAAAACATCCATCCAGGTAAACCGGATCGATCGAGTCAATGAGCAAGGCTGCATTAGGAAAGTTTCGTACTGTACATATAACAGCAAACAGGGAAGACGAAAGAGAAAAATGGGGAAGCAAACTCGGGAGCACGTTCGTAAGAATCCTATGGTTGGTCCGCTCATGCCACTAACCACAACAAGATAAAACTGTACTGGATAAAGTCGTAGACGCTGGTCGACAAGAGTGACAAAAGCAGGGTAGTGATGTCAAGAGATTGACTGAGAAGCAAAGGTAGAGCAGAATAGATCATCAAAGGGCCATTCAGAGAGGCACTTCGTTGAAGTCACCCTCAGCCTCTTTGCCTTTGCCCTTTGCGTCTTCGGGGGTTACTGACTCGGAGTCATCCTCAGGCCTGTGCTGTGGAAGAGTTTGCTCTTTCTCTGTCTCTTTATTGCTCTCCTCTGCAGCTTCAGCTTCAGGCTCCTCGTTCTTCACTTCTGAGGCTTCTGCCTCACCATTCAGAGTAGGTTCATTTACATCTTCAGCTTCATCTTTGTGTGGGGGTGGGGGAGGTGGGAGACCGTCTTCCTCATCTTGTGATTCAACCTCTTTTGCCTGTGTCTGCGCCTGCGCCTGGGGTTGGCTACTTGTCTCACCCCCAGGGAATGGGGTCAGAGGTGGCTCCTCAGGCACCTGCTCTTGTGCAGGGCTCCGTTGGGGCTGAGTGCTAGGTCTTCTCTGATGGGCAGTCGCAGACGAAAGAGTAGAAGTAGTACGCTGGTGGGACGAGCCGTGGATCACGCCGAGTTGACGGGCCTTGGGATCTGCGTTGAGGTAGTAGCCACGCACACCTGCAATGGTCCCCTCTGTCTCGCAAGCATCTACCCACTCCGGCACCACGACAGGAATGTTCATCTCCACAGCCTTCTCCCACTGTGCACCCCGTCCTTCCGTGCAGACAAAATGAGTGGTGTCAATACGGACTGAGTCGATCATTTTGCCTCCAATGCGGTCCAATGCAGCACCGAGAGCCTCCTTCTGCTGCGGATCGAGGACGCCTGTTGTGACAGTGATACCGGACAGGTCGGTCATCTTGTGTGTTCGACACGTCAGCTTCTCCGACTGGTAGGTGCCAGCGGTGGTCCGCAGGACCAGATGGAAGGAGTACTCGGAGTGAATGGCTAGGCCACTGATTTTCGTGCTGCGTGTCTCGAGCGGACGGGGTATCGAGCCGGCCTTGGAGCCATTGCGGTAGAGGGAGAGCGATTTCAGGGATGCAGTGGCTAGGTCGATTGGATCCCACTCGAGAACGAGCGAGGTCTGAGTTGCATTTCGCAGGCGCAGAATTGGTGGCGACGGGGCCTTGACACCGTAGGTATTTAGAATTCGCTTCTGGAGGGATTGGAAGGCAGATGCGCTCGCTGCTTCGGCCGCATGGTTGCGCGAAACGGTGATATCAACGATGCTGCCTGAGCTAATATTGTTCGGAAGGAGGACTGAGGGGAATTCAATCTGCGCGGAAATTTATCAATAAGGTGTCTTTGTTTGCCATTGAAGTTCCGCAGAATCGCAAGTCGTCGATGTCTGGGAAGTAGGGAGCAGGCGACCAGGGGCTTGAGCTTACGAGTCGATTGTCTTGGGTGAGGAGCACCGCGACACCGGCGTCTACCTTGCCAACTGTCAAGGAAACCAACATGGTCAGATACAAGGGGAAGTTTAGGATAGGTGATGGTGGTTGTCAAGTCAGTCCTGGCCTAGAACCCCCGGGTCGTTGATTCCGCCGGATCGGCATTTAGCGAGATACGGGAAGCTAAGATACTCGCGCTTTTATGTTTACATTGGTACCTCGGAGCCAACACCGAACAATTATTTTTAATTTGGATAAAATGAATGGAATAAACAAGAGTTGAGATACATTTAATCTCATATGCAAAATAATCCCCCCCCCCAAAACGCCATAATCGCAATGTGGCCTAAATGATGTACAGCAACAGTCCAACAGGTCGACTGATACGGAGTTTAGTATGATACAAGATGTTGTAGTAATATACATTGAATCCCACGGGGTCGCATGATGTCTTCAACATGCCCTGGCTTCACCTTTTGAGTGTGGCTCATCGACAATAGATCATTTCCGTGGTAATTCATGATCCAGAAGCAAGGATAATAGATGATGTGCATCCTTCTGGATCCTCTCAAAGTCCTGTGTCACACATGGCGGCTGAATGTAGATATCCATGGTTCCTGACAATTTTTTCTCTTGCAAAGGAGATTCAGAAATGAGAGGTTTTCCCAGCTTATCCAATCCTTGCTGCTTCAAAGCCTGCTCGAAAGCAATTCGCACTCTGCGTGCACACCAGGAGCGAACCACCCGCTTGCTTTGTTGGATTTGTGACACCGAAACCCGCCACCATAAAGTTTTTCTTTCGCGATGTGCGCAGAGATCGACGATTTTGGACCGGATCGGATGGGTAGGGACATTCAGGTAGCGTGCAGCAACTGGAGGAGTGTTGCATTTGGGCCAATACCGAAGCACAAAGCTGTTTGTAGATGCAACAAACTTCGTCGGCATTATAAACGGATTATCGGTGGCCGTAAGGATATGCTGGTTTGGACTGTGAAGTATAAGGAGAGTCGTAGCACATTGGTATCATGTCGGATTGAACACCACAAGGTTCATTAAACAGAGCTGGCGAAGTCTTATGAACACTTCAGAGGGAAAATTTGGAGGCTCAGGATACGAGTTCAGAGAGATATCATCGATTCGCCAAGGAAAGAAGTACTACCACGAATGTATTGTGTATGTACTCGAGAGGCGCCGAACGTTCGGAGATTGCGTGAATAAAGAAGTCGTGTGCTCACTTGTCCCGACAGCCACACAGAGGGTAAGACAGCTGTATCGAAATGAACAATCGGATTTACCAAACTTGGCAGACCTGAAAGTATTTTGTCGTAAGACCTCGGAGAAGTTCTTGAAAACGCCCTTCCAAGCTTCCAAGCTTGACATTGTCTTTTGCCTCATCTTTTTCTGCCGATCAAACCAGGCGGTCAAACCTACCCCAAAATCAGGCCAAAAGGCAGAAATTTACCAGAAGGGGCGAAATCACTGACGCCACTGGGCAGCCAGTGCCTGATTACATAAGTAAAAAAGATTTGAATAGGTGCACAGAACCCCCACCTCCTTCTTTCTCCCACCCTCACTTCCCTAATCAACTTCGATTAGGCCTCTCCAGATCTTCGTTGATCTAAGGAAAAAAATACACAACAGAGACATTTCGACCCAGGTGAAGGTCGCTTAACAACAATATGCCCAAGAATAAGGGAAAGGTAAGCGCGCAAAATATCCAACCCCTCCTGTTGGTGATAATTTCCTCGCCACATCCACCGTCTCCCACTCGAGAGTAGCAACCTTGGCAACCCTAGCAACCTACTCTTCGAGCTGGAAACTATTTGGACTCGTGGATAGCTTTTATCCTCGAAAATACCGATATTACTTCATGTGACACATTCTGACAATCAAGTATAGGGCGGTAAGAACCGTCGTCGCGGCAAGAACGAGAACGACAACGAGAAGCGTGAACTCGTCTTCAAGGAGGAGGGCCAGGAGTACGCTCAGGTCGTGAAGATGCTCGGCAACGGTCGTCTAGAGGCACTGTGCTTCGACGGCGAGAAGCGTCTGGCCCACATCCGTGGCAAGCTCCGCAAGAAGGTCTGGATCAATCAGGGTGACATCATTCTCCTCTCTCTCCGTGACTACCAAGACGAGAAAGGTGATGTTATCATGAAGTACACCGCCGACGAGGCCCGTTCTCTGAAGGCTTACGGCGAGCTTCCCGAGCACGCCAAGATCAACGAGACCGATACCTACGGAGGTGAAGGCTTGGACGACAACGTCGAGTTCGACGAGGACCGCGAAAGCGAGGACGAGAAGGAGATCGATGTCGACGAGCTCTAAGCTCATCCCCTGCTACTCCCAGAGTTCGATGCTCTGCCCTGCAAGAATATCCTGGATACATCCCTCCTCGGTATTCTCCATGTTCGCCAAATCCCTCTCCTCCTACTGGTCGCCGTTGGCACAGTGCCGTCGCTCATCTGCTCCGAAACTGCCTTTGACTACTTGCCACGCGAGGCATTTTCGACATCCGATTCCCTCTGTACATTCGTTCGAACGGACCAAGAGCATCAAATCACCTCCCCGGCCTACGACGCTGCTCCTCACTTCGGCTTGCATGAGGATACGGACACCCTCCCTCCACTCTGGCGCTACTGCGACAAATTTTCCGGGCTTGAAGCTATCGAACAGAGGACCCTCGATGTTTGTCCATTGGCGATTTTGGATTTCCAAGGTGGATCGATCATCGATACCATTTTCGTCCTTTTTGCAAATAACTTGGGATTATGACAGAGACCTAAATGATTGCTATGCACACATCATGAACCTGTGTGCTTGTTTTCTTGCATTGCATTGCATGCGGTGTGCTCAACTCTGCTCAGCCTCGACTTGCTTTTCTTTTCGTTCTTTTATGATAGAGTCATGAAATGGGCCACGAGAATTGAAAATATTATTTTTAGATTTGCTTCTAGCAGACATACTTCCTTTGTAGGCCAATTTGAAGAAGTAACTAATCATGCAAAATAAGTATATCAGCCTAACTAAACTCCAGCAAACGTTGCAATGTATGGATATCTTGGATGTGTTTACGTACAATTTCTATCTATAACTATTCTATGTATGTCTTTGAAATATCAATCAGATCAAGAATTCAAACTACCCTTCCCCTTAGTCGATCCCTCTACACACTGCCCACTCCCAAACATAGCCTTCGCTGCAGCCTGCCAAACAGTTTCCCGTTCCAGATAATTCTCCAGCGTATAGAACAACCGGCATTCAGCAGCCTCATAAACAAACTGCAGCGGTGTCTCGCCATCCTCCGGGTCATACTCGTTCCGCAGATTCAGGTTGCCACTCCATTGTAGCGACGCCGTCGTGCTCGGGCTGGATTCATTGAATGCCTTCCACTCGGCGGGTGTCAGAAGTGGCGATCCACTGTTGGCCGAGTCTCTAATCAGCCCGTTTGCTTGCTCGATATATCCGTTGATATAGTTGACCCCAAGTGACTGGCCACCCTTGACGCCGCCGACGCCCTGCATAGGGGCCTTTTGCGGACGGCCGCCGAAGGTGATTGTACGGACGCCCTGGCGTTTCATCAGCTTGACGAAGAACGCGCAAGTTGAGACACAGTCGCCGTCTGTGATCTGTCATTGAAGGTTGTGTCAGCTTGCTTTCTGTTTTCTGTATTATTGGGTGAAAAACAATCACTTACAATAGCAATTTTATCTGCCGAGAAGGGTGATTTGCTTGGGTTCAAGGGAACCGGTCCATAGCCGTTGATGGGAAAGACCTTCGAAGAGGTGGAGGTGTAGTTGAAGTTGGCTAGTAGGCTAGAAGAAGAGCTCCCCATAATTTCGTGTGGCCCGTAGAGATCTTCCCACGAGCTGAAGTCGGTTTTCTGGTCAGGTCGAACCATCTGTCGATACGCGAAAACATTGCTTGTGTCCGTGCTATTGTCGCGCGAATATGCTTTTGTAAGAAATTTGGCTGCATCGTGTGCTCGAAACCGCGTCGCTGTGTATGGGGCGGCATTGGGGAAGAGGATACGGGACAGATCAATACCAATAGACATGTATCCACCAGGGTTGGATGAGAGGTCAATCAAGAGGTTCTTCTTTCCAGCTTCGGTGCTGTTTTGCAAGAAATCGACCACAATATTAGCAACCTCTACTGCACTGGATGAGAAGGTAGGTAGAAAGATGATTGCTGTGTCCTCCAACCCTGGGGATTTGGAGTAGTATCCAGCAACTGAATTAGCTGAGTTGCGCCAAGTAGTGCTGGGAAATCCCGCTATCTCGGAGGAGGCTTTCTCAGCGCCGGACGGGCTACTCGAAGGTGTAGACAAGTCTCGGGGGAGACATTCTATGTCATAGAGATGCGTGCCGTTTTTATAAGAAAAGAACCTTTCGCTTGGTGTGGCTGTTCTCTGAATAATATTTTCAGTGCCATTTCCAAACTTGAGGGACAGTTGAGCACCATCAGTCCAGTCTCCAATGGATGCCCAGATTCCATTCACATTAGTAGGAGTGTTGGTGACACTGCGGGCTGGAGCGGGGAATACTCGATTGTACCTGGACAGTTAGTGTGATTGAACACCGTGGGTAACTGCAGAAGAGTACCTACTGTGCATCGCGATCCTGAAGGTTCTGATGATTGGCATACGATTCAAGGTACGTAGCCACGTTAGTGCCGTTAATAGATACTAGAGGCGAGATGGCGTCTGGATCAACTTTCTGTAGTTTTGCATCACCTGGTACGTTAGCCCAAAGTTTGGTACGGATATCAAGCCAAACATACTTAAGGCGTACACTTGGGGAAGTGCGAGCCCATCTGTTGAGATTGACACTAGAGGCATATCGATTTGATATGTGAAGATTGACTGCGAGCATAACTGAAATGCCAGGTGGCCATCATGTGCCGTTTTGATAAGATGGTTAATTTCCAAATCCATCTCAAATTGGCTGGTATATCTGTTGCTCTTGACCTTGGCAATAATTGTATCGATTTCCCCCATGATATCCGTGGAGGGCATGGTGTACCCCGATGGAGGATCTAGCAATACAAGTTAGCCAGGTTAAACAATTCTTATTCGAACTGATATCACTTACTCTTCAAAATATCGATAGTCGACTGGAATTCCAGGATCTTGCGGACCTGGATCAGGAAATCAACGGCACGATCCGAGTCAAAGGGCATAGAGAGTAGGCACTGATGTGCCAGATCATGAGGTACAAGAGCATTTTCTGCGACCATTAGTTATCAACACCCCGATGATTTTGGGTCCATAACGTACTCTGTTTTTGATTGGCGTCTTCCACCAACTTGCTAACCTGAGCACATGGCTCGACATCACGTATACTTCTGGTAGCACCGACAACAAGTGCCAAAGCGATCGGAGGCAACACAGTCTTGAGATGCATAGTGATAATTTGAAGATGTCAGAAGTCTACCATAATATTTCCGACTTCAAAGGAATATCTCCACTCTTTATCAGGGGGCCCTTCGGTTATTGACTGGGGGGCTGTTCTGTTTTTAGCTGATCTGCACGATCGTCGCCAAGACGAAAAGGTTCTTATGGGGTACGGAGTAGACCAGGTTCAAATTGATTAAGAGCCCAGAACAAGGATCTCTCGGCTGTGTGCATTTAATTCTTCCTTCCTCCTTCCCCCCAACCCCCTTTTAGCTAATTGAGGCAAAATGCGAAGATGTGATAGAACGGACGATGTAGTTAGTTAGTTGTACCGATCACACGTTACCACATTTGTTGACGTACGCAGCTTTTGTGAACCCTCAAACCAAGATGCTTATTTACTTTGCATCGAAGTCATAATTGTATTAAGCATGCACCGGATACTCCAGGCCGAGCTCTCTATTAATCAAATACGCTTTTATGGAAAAAACCAACGATCTTACGTGCAGCTTCTTTGCCAACCAGTGGGTCTAGCTGCTCGACATCCATGTTCGCGATCTCACTGATGTTATCCGTTTCGATGATCAGCCGCTCTAGAGCTTGGGGTGTAACACCCGGGACTGCTCGCAACATGTCTTGTGGAAGTAGATTGAAGGTACGGTGCTCAATCCCAGCGGCAGCCATGACGTCAGCACAGCCAGACGAATTAGATATATCAATATCAAGGCCCAACTGAACTGCCCGGAGTGGATCTGGCTCCTGGGCGTTCTTTTTGAGCTCCGCGAAAATCTCAGCTGTCTGGTAAGGGGATGAAGACCAGACAATCTTTAGGCGTGGGAAAGCGAGAGTGAGGAGCACAAGTAAATGTTGAGCGGACTTTGGATTAGAGGGATTGGCAAGCGAGCTGCTGCTAGTGCTCGTTGCAGTGCCAGAAGATGAGAAACCGTAGTCTGTCATAAACGTTGGGCCTGTTGGGACGGAGGCGAACGCATCAAAAGTGAAAGATTTGTTTTGGTCAAACTCGATCAATAGTAACGGACTCTTGTAATACTGGAGCATTGTCTCGGCCTGGTTGTAGAGACGGCCGTTCTTGAGAGAGCTTATGAGATCACGGATCGATTTCCTTTCGACACAAATGTCCGGAGTGAGAATGTAGTCACCCACGGTGAGCTGGCAGGGGATAACGATCATGTTGTTTCCATGTAACAGAGATGGTAGGGCACTTCGGAATTCCCGCACATCAACTACGACCCGAGGAGGGGATGCTGTAGCTGCCAGTCGTCCTCCTCCAGCAATACGAGTGTTGACTGTCCGGAGGAATTGCTCTTGGGGGTCTTCATCCTTTTTGTCATGTGTCAAGGTGACTGCCATGTTCTGAAAATCACGTTAGCTAGCAATTTGAAGCGTAGAGCTAGATAGCTTACCCCCTTCTCTTTAATCAACTTTGTGAATGAGTCTTTCTCTCGTCGGACGGCACTCAGATACCTCTGTTCCTCGACAGAGCCACCATAATACATAAAGTAAACCTTCACGTTTCGCCCCGAATGGGAACTGCGATATACCTCAACCCTTCGAATGAACGCGGGATCGGGTTCATACATGATAATGTATCGCGGACGTACTTCCTCGAGTATATGCTCGTCCATGTCACCGTCATAAGGGTGTATCATGACCAGATCGTTCATATCATACAGTTCGTAGAAATCTTCCATATCCTCTAGTTCATCGACAATAACCTCCTCTTTCTGCATTTCTTCCACTTCGGTGGGCTGAATCTCACTTAGCAAGCTGACGACCTGGCCAGGCAATTCGACTTCGGTTTGGACACTGCTATTTGGCACGCGACCTGCAGCCGAGGTGACTGCACCACCGCCACGTACTCGACGACGTTTATTTGGGGGAGGCCGTCCTTGGTGCGCACTCTGGGCTGTTAATGACTCAGAATGTTTCCCAGATCTATCGTCCTCTCCTGACTGAGACAAATTTTTATTGACGTTTGAGAGAGACCTCTTCCAATTGAGATAATCTCGCAGCCGACGCCGCATCAAAAGCTCTGCAGAAGGCGAGTCTTCGCTCAGATCATCATTTTTTTTGGATTCAGAACCCTGGGCAATTTTAGCATCCATAGTACCAATGTACTCGCGAAGCTGGCGGCATATGCGTTGATCACTACACATAATCAATATGGTACTATTTGATTGATCCATTCTCGTGGGATGGAGGTAAGCATCGTGTTCGATCTCTGTAAGGATCTCTGATAGGACACCCCACTTTGGGAGTTCCTCTAGAGCCGGGTTCAACTCCGAAGAAAATGTAGTTGAGGATGAAAGGCGGGTCAGCTCGTTGGTCATTTTGCCTTCGTAAACTCGTGATTTCGCTGTCTGGAAAAGAACGTGGGCAGCATCAAGGAAAAGCCACGGAGAGTAATTATGTCTGTTGGAGCCGGGGGGTGGAGCATGCGCAGACACAATAGTATCAAGGTACTTGACAAAAGACACCGCATCGTAGCTGAGTAAAGCACTGGGTAACTGTTAGTATGAAGCAATGGAAAGAAACTTGGGAGACACACTGAAGGACTGCTCGTAGTTCTGTCAGGTCGCTGACGATTTGTCTTGTCCTGAAGCTCACACGATGCCAGATTGGATCTAGTTGACGTCTGATAATCATATCAAAATTCCTGTGCAAAGCACTGTCTAACGTCCACTCTTCCATATCCAGCCCGGTATTACTCTTCCGGAGTTCAGTGATACTGATCTCTACACATTCCAGAACAGCATTCTGAATTTCCCTCATTTTGTCGCTCATAGGAACTTCCAACTCGATCACTTCTGCCTTGCGATTTCCTTCTAGGGACTCAGCAACAGACACATGGAATCTAGGCCACAGTGATGCCTTGCGTAGGAAAAGGTTCCGCAGCATATTGGCCAACGGGGCAAAGCCCGTAGTAAATGGTTCCGGAGAGTCCGAGAATGCTTTCAAGAAGCCACGCTTATTCGATTGCCGGTATACACGGACAATAAATGCTTCGAGAGACGTCGCCATAACCTTATCAGCATGCAAAATGACCATCCCAGTGACTTTCTCTGGATCAAGAAGTTCTAGAAAGATCAGCGAGTGTCTGAGTCACCATACTAGACATACATACTCGATAACAGGTCGACAACCAATATTCTGGATGTCACACTCAGAATACCCCCTTCGGCATATATACTCTCTCTGGCAATCTGTCAATACACGGTAATCGATATGGCAGAACCGAGAAACCCACCGCATCGACACCGTAGCTTTCTCGGTATTGATCACTTTCAACCCCCTAGCAAGAGGTGACTTGCTGGTAGCATAATGCTCCGCCAATGCTGGTTTCAGGATCATCAGCTTCCAACGTCAGCGTCCGACCTGGGATGTAAACCAATCCACATACCCTCTCCGATCCATTCATTTTCGCGTTCATCTGCACCCACCACTAGGACCAGATTGTTTCCCGCCGCATCGTAAAAATGGAGGAGATTTGTTATTAGGTGCAGAAGCCCTAGGCCTCGTGCAAGGATGACTAGCTCATCTTCGGCGCGTAGTTCGGTGAAGAGCTCCTGCTGGTATTGCTTAATGGGGATTAGTGGTGGGCCTGCATCAAGCCGATAGGGTAATTACCAGTGGTAGAGACAGCTTCACCGGCACATTAGACCTTTCTAGAGGCATTGGAAGCACTTCCTGACGCGTTGAGAGGTGAGGGGTTTGATTAACGAGATGTCACGCGATCACGTGTCAAGGTTCACGGTGCTGTTATGTATGACGTAATTAATTTATAAACACTTGAGCATGGCCTGTGGACCTTTCCAAGGTGAGAAATATGCATAAGCCTTCAAATGAAATGAGCCCGAATTCCAAAGATACACTTATATTTTGCATCCGAATTTTTTTATGGTTCTGAAGTGGCTACTCTCTGTACAAAGGACGTCGGCACCCAGTGAGTATACGCACTTCCTTCCTTGTTTGATCCAAGTCACTGAGATAGGATAGTTTACCGTCTCTGTAGACTAGACCAACCCGTTAACAAGCCTGGGTTTTGCCGCGAGCGGGAAGGAAGTCAACCGGAAGATCCATTACCCGATGCTATAGTATTGGACCAATATCACCGGTCATGGAGGATAACGAGACCACGTACATGATCTTCCAATCGGACAGCAACCTCTATCTCTGGCAGTGGAACGATGATGATTTGTTTGAATTCCCCTGTCAGGATACAAACGAGGTTTCTCTCGAGATTTCTCAGTCGAGATTTAGAGATATACGCATAGAGTTCCTCCTTTCCCTCGTAGGGGCCGATTTACCCGGATTCTTGTTTTCTTTTTTTGTTCCTTTTCTTTTTCCATTTCATGGTCATTCCCTAATACGCCCTCTCACTTTGAGCCCACTAGCAACAATACCTCTTTTAGTCTTGCTTTGAACTTGAACAGCATCAATATTCTGTGATAACCAGCTATAGATACACTCGACGAGGACAAGTTGCCTGGAATAGCAGAAAATGGCATTGAATGAGATACAAATAGATAGATTTTGCGAACCAATGGTCTCTCAGCTGGATGGATTGTTCAGTTCCTTCGCGCGTGCCTCGAGTTCCTCTTTCGAAGCCTTGGGAGGCATATCTACAAAGTGTCAGTTGCGAGCCTGGGTGGGACTGGTGGTCAACTTACTGTCTGGAATCTGGGGTCCCTTCGACAAAAAGTCCGCTGCGGTCGCTTTCTGGGGTTTTTGGCCTGGATTCTTCGCGGCCTCATTGCTTTCATTTTGGGGCGCAGATGGGAAGTCCGACGACTCGGGAATGACCGGCATTATGGAGATATAGAAGGGCTTCTTGTTGAGTTGTCACTAGCTAATACTAGCTCTTGTTCACTGCTAGGTGTATCAAATATATCTGGTACTTTGTTGATGTGAGTTGAAGAACTAGGTCTTGAACGTTGGTTGGATGTCTGTTTTATAGACCTCAAGCGGGATGACGTCGGTGGTCTGTTTGCAACAAATAACGTGATAGGAGTTGCCTAAACATGTTTAGTTGTATACGAAACAAGAAGAAAATGCAAATCCAATTAGATCTACAATTTTTGGTCACATTTTAGGTATTCTGGCGTGCAAGGAGTACAATTCGGGGACATATCGTAATGCCTTTCGAAGTACTCCGTATAACCAGTATAGTAATACGAAGGATTGAAGAGCAAGAAAAAGGAAATTGCTTGTGATTCAAAAGGTAAACTCTACCTAGTACTTGTGACCAATATGATCTATACATATATGTATCCATAGTCAAGGTAGGTAAATTATACTCCTTACAACATATTTATAGATCCTATTTATCTAGTAAGCTATAATCACACACCATATACTGACCTAGAAATGAAGTGAGCTCCAAATGTCATCGATGACTTCAAATACTTGATTGAAATGAGTACACTACATCTCACAATCCTCGTCAGTCATCATATTAACAATATTCTATCAATTTGTGTCTTCGAAATGTTTTCAACTTTGAGATATCAAACTATCAAGAAAGAATGCTGAATATAAGTACATGTACGGAGTAGTGACCTGACACTTTCAATAGTGCAAGAAAAGTACTATGTGCCGTTAGCGGTGATGCGGCAGGCCCAGGTCACTCCGGCGTATTGGGTCCGCCCCGCCTACGTCTTCTCCGGTTCATCCTCTCCAACCTCAAGGCAACCGCCGGTCGGCTCCTCTCTAACCTCGAATCTAATCAATCGATCACAAAGAAAATCTTGTACCTTCCGCTGCTACCGTATCAGTCGGTGTGTTGAGGGCGCTATTCCATCCTTCGAATATACCCGCCCGGCTGCAATGTGTGCTCAACTCACGTAACCACCTTTCAAACTATCACCTTCCCCCTCTCTATTTAGTGAAGGACCACCTCGATTCACCATGCCCTCAATACTGAGCGATGTCGACAAGGAAACCGTTAAGCGGAACGTCCCTAAACCCGCCAACAAGATCCTCGCCGTAGCTGTCGCGCGACTCTACGTCGCCTACCCGGATCCACAGAAATGGACATATACCGGAATTCAAGGCGCTGTTGTCCTCTGCAATGACCTTGTGGGAAGAACTTTTTGGCTCAAAATAGTTGATGTCTCGGTAGGCGGTCTGTACTGGTACTGGGGATATAAGTGCTGACAATACGTTGTTTTATGTAGCCCGCTGGCAGAGGCGTGCTCTGGGACCAGGAGATCTATGATAACTTCGCTTACAACCAGGACCGAACCTTCTTTCATACATTCGAGCTCGAAGCCTGCCTCGCCGGTCTATCGTTTGTTGACGAGAAGGAGGCCAAGACATTTATCAAAAAGGTGCAGGAGCGCGAGAAACATGCAAGCAAAGAGACCGCCAAGACTCCTTTTGCATCTAGTCGAGGCCAGGGACCTGCTCCAGTCACCAATGGGAAAATAGGACGGTCTTTGTTTGGCAGCTTGCTGCATCGTTCGAGTCCAGCTCCAAGTGCACCGCCGCCGACAGCACCTGCGCCCGCGCCTTCAATACAGGTTGCTCCTCCACCTCCGACGCTGTCCCCAATCGCACCACCAGCTAAGCCAGATTTGCCATTTGATACAAGTGATCCCTCTTGGAAAGGACTGCTGGATGAGCTTAAGGGGATGGGAATTACCGAAGACCAAATCGCGGAGAATTCCGAATTCATCAAAGCTTGGATTGACCAGAAGCAGGCGGCGGCGGTTGAGGATCAAAATAAGCCAAAGGCTGCTCCTCCACCGCCACCTTCTGCACCTCCCGCCCCGAAAGTGACTTCAATCAGTCCTCAAGACACGGGTTCCAGCTCAACAAGCAGACGGGGACCGCCGCCGCCGCCTCCGTCACGGAAAACACGGTCTGAAGCACCAGAAGAACCGGTTTCCCTACCCCCTCGTGAGCCATCTCCGCCTGCGCGAAGATTCAATGCACCGCCTCCATTTGCAGATGCAGGAAAATTCGCTGAGCCCGTCGGTCCTGTACCACCGCGTCGTCCACGCGCAATTTCGAACGTCAATGCCGGGCCCCCGCCGCCCCCGCGACCACCAAAGACACCGATGGATGATGGTCAATATACTCAATCAAGTCAATCTCGATTTGGGGTACCACCGCCTTTCTCTGGTGATCGCAAGGTATCTGCGCCACCGGCACCCCCCAGCCGTGGCCCTACATTAGGTGGCCCCCCCCCCTCCGCCGCCTCGTACAGCGAGCCCAGCAGCACCACCCCAGCTGCCTCCCAAAGTGCCGCCTATGACCACTACAACTGGACCTCCTCCACCACCCGCCAGAGGCCCCGTTTCACCCCCACTTCCACCCCCGCCAGCGCCTCGACCTGTGCCAGCTGCACCGTCTTCTCCTGCGGCAGCTCCTCCTCCTCCTCCACCACCAAGAGGACCGGTATCGCCTCCCCCCGTCCCGCCCTCGGCGCCTGCATATTCTCCTAGCATTCCTCCACCACCGCCTCCACCGCCTGGCTCTGCAGCATCCGGTGGCCCCCCGCCCCCTCCCCCTCCGGGCCGTGGTGGACCCTCAATGCCTCCCCCTCCACCTCCCCCGGCGCCTGTTTCGGGGGCACCAGGTGGACCGCCGCCGCCGCCTCCACCCCCTGGACCGCCTGGAGGTGGTGCTCCTCCTCCTCCACCCCCACCGCCTGGTGGTGCTGCACCACCCTTGCCAAAACCCACCGGTGGGCACGACAATCTGCTAGCATCCATCCGAGCTTCTGGTGGCCATAAAGGTGGAGTCTTGCGCAAGGTCAAAGACAGCGAAAAGAAAGATCGAAGTCATGCCATGGTACCCGGTGGTGCTAGCGAGTCTTCAGCTACAACTCCCAATGCAGGAGGCGCCCCACAAGGTGGTTTGGCCGGCGCATTGCAAGATGCTCTCAACAAGCGAAAACAGAGAGTCAGCGGAAGTGGTATGCCAACTCTAACACCTAAACGCGGATCTACATGCTAACTATATCTTGGTAGATGACGAGAAAGACAACGACGACGATTGGTGAGTGGTTCGTTTTCGGTGGGATTGTTCAATTATTTCAAGATACCAATGGCTTTTGCGCATTCTTGCGAGGATTGAGCATTATGTTTCTTGGTCCAACGTTTTGCCTAAAAGTTTGGCTTTAAGTGTTGACAAAAGAGGGGCAATGCACTTTGTATATAGCTTTCAATGGTAGATACAGTGGATGCGAGAGATAGTCTTAAGTCGATGTTTGTTTTTTTCCTCTTAGTCCAATGCCACCGCGAGCCTACATATACCGGCAAGCCCTTAGTTTAGCTGACACCGCCCCATAATCGTGCCAAGCGCCCAACACACCTCTACTGTGTTGGTGTGCCCCAGTCAACGATAATTTTCGGTCAACGATGAATGTTCAACACAGTAGAGGTGTGTTGGGCGCTTGGCACGATTACTAGCAGTATCTAGATATAATTACTATTTCAGATTTCAGAGTATGAGACATTTGAGAAATAGCAAGCGGTATTTTTATACACCAATTATTGGTATACAACATACTAGTTCTGATAAACGGGTCAACATTATTCCGGGAAAAGGGAAAAAAGCGTTATCTTGATCCGATCGGGAGAACTTGATTACAGCTCAATAATCCAGAGACATGCTGTCTCCGAGGCTGTCTGCGCCGTCTACCTCTTTATTGCGCTTCCTACGATCACAATCTGGGTTCTCAGCCGCACCGTCAGCATGCGCTTATCCGAAGCGTCTTGCCAGCCGCGATAAAGGCTTCTCGACAGGGCCATCCCCGGAATTATCAAGCTGGACGCGTCCCAATACTCTCCATGGCTCCGCAACACTTGGTATCACTAGAGCAAGAGGCTCGCCGCCATTGATACCTGCACAGCTGGAATTCTCGCGACACGCGTCAACAAAAAGCCGACCTTTTCTTCGACGACTTTTTGGCCCCAAGCGGAATAATGCTTCCGACTATAAGAATCAAGACCCGGCTGGCGCCGGGCCTATAGATGAAGGGACTGAGGGAATGTTCAATATCGGCCGCAGCCTATCTGCCAAGGCATCAAATGAGCTGCGAATTCGATGCACGGAATTTGATATCAATGGAGACGTTACACTCGTGAACGGAGAGTTCCGGAAGCAGGAGCTGATTGCCAAGGTTAGTGAATAGGATTTGGGTATGCGAACTCAACATTTGCTGACCATTGAATCGCGATACACTGTAGTATGGCCTTCTTCCTCGAGATCTACGCAAGATCGATTCGTCGACTCTCCCTCATATTCTGGTGCGACCTAGAGCAATTCTCATCAATCTCTTGCACCTACGAGTCCTCATTAAAGCGGACCGGGTACTCGTGTTCGACGCGTACGGATCAACAGACTCGTATATGCAATCGCTGTTCATCTACGATCTGGAAGGAAAGCTCCGCCAGAGACAATCCCAAGGTGCATCTCAACCTAGTCAGTCGCTGCCATACGAGTTTCGTGCGCTGGAAGCCGTTCTCATTAGTGTCACAAGTGGATTGGAGGAGGAGTTCAATGGAGTGAGAGATCCCGTCGTGCGCGTTCTTCGTGCACTTGAGGAGGACATTGACCGAGATAAGCTCCGGCATCTCTTGATTTACTCCAAGAAACTGGGTACATTTGAGCAGAAAGCTCGCCTAGTACGAGATGCTATTGATGATCTGCTGGAGGCCGATGACGATTTGGCAGCGATGTACTTGTCTGAGAGGTCGATCGGCAAAGAGCGAGAAGAGGATGACCACCAAGAAGTGGAAATGCTTTTGGAGTCATATCACAAAGTCTGTGATGAGATTGTCCAGGCCAGTGGTAATTTGGTGACGAATATTCGCAATACGGAAGAAGTGTAAGTTTGATCGTTCATTATCTACGGAAAGCACCTCTAACACAACTCAGAGTCAAGGCCATTCTCGATGCCAACCGCAACTCGCTCATGCTCATGGATCTCAAATTCAGCATTGGAACACTGGGCCTCGCAACAGGAACATTATTCTCTGCTCTCTACGGCATGAACTTGAAGAATTTCATCGAAGAATCAGACTTCGGTTTCGGAGGTGTCTCTGTAATCTGCTTTGGTCTGACTGGTCTCGTCTGTGTCTACGGTCTCTCGAAACTACGCAAGCTTCAACGGGTGCGCATGTGGGGTGAATCCGGCGTGGGAGGCTCCACTTTCGCTCCTCTCTCACCAAAGCGCAGCGCACTCGGTGGAAAGCGCAATAACTGGCGTGCCGATTCGATCGAACCGGTCTGGGGCAGTCTCCCAGGGGAGGGCAGATCTGAGCGCCTGAGGCGTCTCAAAGAGAATTCAGCTGCAGCTGCAGCTCAAGCTGCATCGAGAAACTTGAAACCAACACCTGCCAATTCCCAGCCTACTATGCAGGCATCTGCTACGGCCTCTCACAATGCTCGTGCGGAACGCGGCAACGGTCATGGAAAAGAGACTGTTTATCCTGAAGATCATATTAAGCCTGATGCATGATACGCAGTGATTAAAGTATGTCTGGCGGCTTGATTTCGTTGAATTGGGAGCCTAGGCGTTGTGATTTGGATTTTCAACTAATAACAACGGAGTTGAAAAGGTCTGTAACATTATTGTACATTAACACTCCTCTATTCCCCCACTCTACAGTTCATGTTTTGTTAGCTGTGAATAGATTTAGAACATATCTGATGACATACCAATACCGATTCATCTTTGTTAGTGTTCACCTGTACCTCGTCTATGGCGATTGCTCGCCATGGGCACTCTAGCCACGCTTCTAATTGTTGGACTCCGCCGGGAACCATTTTGGGGCGATGGACTCAGCCTCTCAATAATGGAAACATTGAAGTGGGCCTCAGTGGCTTTTGAAGTACCTATTTTATGTCTTTTCTTTTCTTAAATCACGAAAGGTAGGGCAATAGGTAAGTGACATCTATCTAGAATGCCATTGACAGGTGCTTATCTTCATTTGGGTATATTTAGTTGAATTGGTGTACTGTCCCCTGTTCCTGGTGAAGACTCTTCGTCCGTTCAACCCAAAGTTTAGCAGCTACCCGGATGCCACCATCTTTGGAGCATTCGCGTTCAACCACTTTCATTATATTCTTCAAAATGGCATCCTCTTGGTTGGCTTTCGTCGGAGAACCTCTGGAATTCGGGCTCTTTAGCCACTCTCTTGCGACCGGCTGCCGGCCTCCAATCAATGTCATGTTAATCGCACCCGGAGTACGTAGCCATGTCTTCTCAACATTGAACCCAATTTCCTCGGCAATACTCATTGTTTTTGCAGTGAGAGATCCAATCATTGAATTCAGAAACCCGCTCTCGGTCTTCTCTTTGATCTTAATTGCACGAAGCGCCCTCAAGTCACCAGATGCAGGCTGTAGATTCTGCTCTATGGCATCATCGACTTCCCCTGTGGTAGGATTGCCATTCGCACTCTTCTGTATTGGGTCACCCCCTTTTGGCGGGGGATAGCGATATGAAGAACCAGCAAGTGAACGAGAACAGCACGGAATCACAAAAAATGGCAATGGCGAGGAGGGACTTGATAGAGCAGCCATAATAGGAGTCCATACAGTAAGCTCGTCTGCATGGTCGGATATGATGAAGGTGTTATCCGGGAAATCGCCGGTGTGTATCTTCACGCCAATTTCTTCCACGTCTAGTACATCCACGAAAGGTCGAGGGATGAAAATTCTCTCTTCCAGACATTCTTGTATCTCGACTGGAAACTTTAACCAGGAGGCTCGACGGCAAGCGTCAAAGCCTAACCCATTGTATCCTTCCATGAGAAGTACATACACGAGGATACCATTCCCACAAGCCAGGTCCACGAACCCTGGAAACAGCGCTGTGTTTTTTGATGACTGATCTTGTTCTGTTGCTGGTAGAACGCCGTACATGCTTCTCCATAGTTCGATTAGGCATGCAGCGAGAGATAGCTGCTCAAGGACTTGGTTGGATGATTCGAATTGTTCAACCCAATTCTGGCGCAAATTTTCTGCGTACTGGAGTTTCAGCCGAGCATATGTCTTTTGAATAAGATGTGATGAGACAATTCCCCTATCTTGATCATTTCCCTCTATCCAGTCCAGGCTCACATTCCTAGATGTGACTCGGCGTTCCATATTGGGACATGGTGGTCTGTATATTTGCCTGGCAGAATATTCGACAAATTGGCCTTCTCATTTGATGCAAAGAGTACAAACAAAGCGGAGAGAAAGGCGGTAGACAACATCTATGTGTATTAAGATGGCACGGCATCTGAGCATGCTATAGTCTAAATCAGTCCTTTTCAGTCTGGCCAACATGAACAGATAGCCGTAACATTAATTATAATAAGTGATGGGAGGCCATCACCATATGGCCAAGTTGCTAGGTACCAAGATTACTTGCTGCTAGTAGTAGTCGATTGAAACAAATAACCTCGAGAACATTGAAGCCTATACCGTAGATGTATATGTAGAATCTCTATCATGCAAGACAAATTGAAAAGTACCCCAAGTGTAAGGAACCCGAATGTGCGCGTCAACTCGCGGTCACCCAACTACTGGAGTCATAACTACGCAATCCTAAAAAAAGGCACTATAAACACCTCGACCCCATAGCAGAAAGAGTAAGTCTAGAGTCTATCCTCCCAATTCCTCCCAATCTACATACCCCGGAATAACACAATCAACCCAATCTCAAATGAAGCTGATCCAAGCACCCCTCCTTGCCCTAACCCTCCTACTCCCAGCAATCACAGCTGGCCACCCCACCGCACGTCCTCCCGAAGAACAGCAATCCCACAGACACAACTGGGCCTTTGACCTGTTCCACGACAAGTATTGCATCGGCACTACGGTCAGCTACGCGGGACAGGGATCCTCGGGCTGCCGCACCAACCTTGAGAACGGAGGTGCGGAGGCTTTCATCAACGTCAATGTCGATCCGAGCTGCAAGGTGAAATTGTACAAGGATAAAAATTGTTCACGACGCTCGATGGTTGAAGAGGTGAAGACTGGTATGACTACGAAGTGCAAAGCTCTCTCGCGGAAGAAGACAGTTCACAGCTTTGAGGTATTTTGTCGGTGATATTTTGATATTGTTTTGGCGTTCGGTGGTTGTTCGGAGTCTAGGAGGGATATATGAAAAGAAAAGTTTTGGTCTAATGTTTAATTTCTTGAAAAGCCGAATAGTTCAGATATGTGCACATGTAGTTGGAACTTGTAGAAAAGGTGATAAGCCCTGAGGTCCATCATGGCGCAAAGAGACCCAGCCCTAACTCCGAAGCTGAATATGAACCAGGTTCTCTCTTCATTTCTTCCCCTACTTTTCTTCTTTTCGCTATTCAATCCAAATACTCACATACAATTGTTCCCCGATGCTTTACTATTCGCCACAGCGAGACAGAATGGTCACTCAACGACCGACACACCAGTCTCACCAATCTATCACTGACAGCCAAAGACACCATATCAAACTCGCCCAGGGTCTTGATGCGATTCTTGGCAATGAAATTCAATCAAACATGTTATCAGATATCATTGACACTGAGTTTGTAAATCCTTCCGAAGGGCTTGCTACGAACATTTGAAGGACCCAGTCTTCATCTCGCAAACCTCTTATTCCCAAACCATACTGGATGGTGGAGATGGATCAACACTGCCATCTAAACCACAGGAATCAGTCACTTGCAGCCTGTTTGAATGCTTATACTGCTTCGAGATAATACGTAAGAAAAAAAGACTACAGGGACTCGTCATGTTCCCAATGACCTGATGCCTTATATACATATGTAGATTACCATCGATGGCCAAATTATATATTGTAAATCATTTTTAGATCAAGTCGGATGCCAAGTTATCTTAAAACCTATGTGTTTTTGTAAAAAAAGTGCCCATCTAGAGTCTTGCGCTTGAGACCTGGAAGTGATTTCTCGCTCGTTTCATTCTTTCCGCCCCGAATGACAAGCGTGCGGAGCTTTCCAAGAGACGCATAATCTTTCAACCGGAGCTCCTACCATTTTATCAGTGAGAATTCACCTCCTTAGGGGGGTTGAAATATCCCTACTTCGTGTGACAGATTTGAGTATTTTGGGGAAAGGGTTATACTGAGATATCGATTCAGCGTGCCCCTCGGACACGTGGTGTCTTTTTCTTCCTTGAAAAAATGTCTGTCAGATATGCAATTTGTGTCAGCTGGCTACTCTAAACCATAGAGGTGTCATTTGAAGGTCATCGAAATAATTGAACTCTTGTACTGCTAGAAAATTTGATGAATAGTCGACAAAGGAAGAAACCACCAATAAGCGACGAAAAGAACAGAAGAAAGAAAATGGAAGGAAAGCAGATAAAAGCGCAAAAAATGACAATGAAATTTGCCTCTTGTCAAGACAAAGATTGACCTGTTCAGACCTACCGCTGGGAACTATTGCTTGGTTGGGTGACGGGCACTTTGCTCTCAACTTTGGATTGAGGATTGTCGGAACGGAAAGATGAGAAATGATTTGACTGACTGGAGGAGGGTTTGCTTGGATTGGCACCAGATACACCAGAACTTGAGTCTGGAGTTGTAGCCGATCCGAATGCCGATGATTTAAATGTATTGGAAGTTCCTCCACCTGAAAAGAAAGAGCCAGAGCCAAATAAGCTACGAGACTCAGAATCAAGGCCCTGGGCCCTATCAGTCACGGGTTGTGAACCCTTTTGATTACCAAAAATGCTAAACCCCGTTTTGCCGGTACTCGTGTTTGTGGTGGACCCTACCATAGGGGATGGAGTTTTCGGCGGCCCTGGTTCAAAGAAGTTGAAGCCTGACACAGTACGGGAAGGCTGAGAGTCCAACACCGAACTTCGAGCACTGAGAATGGTCTTTCTGTGGGCTAGTCTATGTCAGCTTATGTTCTCTTCAGTGGAGGACAACAACTTACTTGAGGTACTCTGAGTGGTTGATTTCAAAACAGAGGGTTGTGTGCCAACCTTTCGGATATTGAACTTGCTCAATGCGCGCGAACCAGCTTGCAGCTTTTCCAATTCTCGGGTCAGCCGGTCTCGCTCATCCACGATAGAGGAAGGCTCGGCGGCAAGGTCCTGGATCTGTTTATCTTCCATGTTGTTGACTGTCTGGCTAGTAAGAATACTACCCAGAGGGCCAAGCAGACAATTTTCAATTCCAAGCGTGGCAACATTATCAATGAAAGTGACGATAGCAGTCTGCTGTTATTAGCACTATCTCTTTCTCAATTCGGTGTATGATTGATCGACTGATGAGTTGAGATACGAACTCACATCATAATATGCTTGCATCTGATCGACAATATCTGCCTCTGCAAACTGATTGTTTTTCGATTCTAGCTCACTATTGACTTGTCGAAGCCGCTCAATGGTAGTTGTTTCATCTTCGGAATGAGGTCCTTTTTTCAACGCCTGCTCCAGTCTATCGATTTGGCGATCACTCCTGGCTTTCTGGATTTTTGTGAGAAAGTTTTTCCCTAAAGGCAATGGATGTCCTCGTTTATTGTATGCAGTAAGCTCATCCAGCTTTGTTAGCAGATGATCTTTCATCTTCTCTAGCTCAGGATCAAGGACATCACCCAACAAAAGGTTGCAGGTGTGGTCATTGGCGAGATATTGCAAGAGGGTGCCAACAAAATCTCTGACAGTATCCCAAGACTTAATCAAATGCTCTCGAGCTATTTCTTCCCATGGCTTGGATTGTTCTCGAAACAACTTTCCCACCAGAAGTTGATTGGCACTTCCTGGAAGTTCAACTCCTCGATTTTGACGCGCATGTATACCAACGTCACTTTCGACATCGGCTCTGGCCCTGTATTCCGGTTTTCTGATATTACTGTATGGATTTCCAAGCACGGGTCGCGGAAATGTATCATTATTGAGGTAAATGAACTGACTGCACCCAATTGTGTCCATGGCATCGGCAAAATATTCGTTCAGTTCACGAATAATAGCACGAAGACGTCGAAAATCTTGATCGATAGGCCCTGTATCATCGCCTAGGCCTCCAAAGAAATCATCTGTGTACATGCCATTTAATGCTTCGGCGGTGATGCGCTCGAAGTTGCTGCTGATATTGAGTAGGAATCCCTTCTGTTGCTGTAGAGTGCCTCGAGATTGACCCAATTTGGTCAGTCTTGATTGTCGATCGAGGACTTTCTCATTGATATCAACGATGAGACCCGGAAGGTTGCGTTGAATATGCTTCAGCAGAATAGCACTTAGTCGACGTCGAAGGTTTTCGATTCCCCTATATTCTGCCGCAATAGAACTCCAGTTTCCTTTAGCGAAGAATTCCTTCTCTTTCTCATCTCTTTCATCGTCAGATACCTTACGGGTTTCATAAGATCGATTTCGCAACGCATGCCACCCAAGCTTTAACGGAACTTTCTCGTTCTTAAGAATCTGCAACCAAGACGCTTCTTCGTCTGAATGAGCTTCGGGTATGTCGGGCTGTGTGACTATTCCGATGGTGCGTTCTCGTGATCTATCAAAATTCTCTGCCAGATCTAACACTGGTTGATTGTGGTAGTCGTTCTTTGCCGAAACTACGGCCAGAATGATGCTGCGCTTGTTCCCCATGTAGCGTTTAGTGATATCGTGAACGATCCGAATCCCCTTCTCATCCTGGGATATACTGCGGGACGTGTAGAGACCAGGCAGATCGACGAGTGACAATTCTGGCTTATCAGGTCCCGATATTTCGACTTTAAGAATGTCGTCACTGAATCCTTCGCCGGTAATCCCCATACATTCCTTGGCTTTTTCAATCAGAGACTTTAGCTGATCACTGTTGGTGACCTCGGCTGGTGCAAACGCTTCGATCTTCTGCCGATCTGCGTTACTCGTCCGAGATGGCCCAGGCTCAATAGACACCTTAAATCGGGGTACTGGATGACGGCGCAGAATAACCTCCGTCGGGAATCGAGTACAAACACTGCTCTTCGCCGGGAAACGCACACGAGAAATGGCCTCAAGTACAGAGCTTTTGCCGCTGGATTGGTTTCCACAGACGATGAGCTGCGGCAACCCAACAAGTCCACCAACTCCGATTGCGCGAAGATCGTCGATCTTGTCAAGAAGAGGACCTTGCTCCGTTTGCAGTTGATGGAGGGCGGTATCTACCTCAGTCGAGCCAGACATCGTGATATTCAGATCTTTCTGAGAAAACCTAGGAATAATTCCAAATAGCTCAGCCGAAAGCGAGCAGAAAGCTAGGAATGGGGTCGCTTTTTGAGTCGCTCTTGGACTTGGGGGCCAGTTCCACATATTGCGGCGCAGTCACTTTGCATCACTCTAAGTATCTAGTTTATCTAGCTCAGGGGCGAACACCAATCAAATTGTATCCGGAGAGATTGAACGCAATAAAACCGGAAAAATAATCCTTCGGCCTCGGAAGAAGATGGAGAGCATGAATCTAAGAAATATCGAGGTTCGTGGGCGTGGCCAAGACAAGGTCACCACGCCTTTTTTTCATATGAGGTTTTCCAGGGCTATGTCATTCTATCATGGCAAACTACAAAAGCTCAGAGGTATACAAAACCAAGACAAATAAAGCCCGAATGAACAGGCTATCGACATTAAAAGATACCAAAAAAAGTCAGAATTAATTAGATGCCCAACTCCGATAATGCGCTGATGCTGTTCAAACACGAAAGAGACCAATTCCAACTCAAGGACCAATAAAATTCCATACACGCCACCAACAATGCTCAAATCACACGCGCTCCTCGCGTGATGGGAAAACAAAAATCTCAACAGAAGAATAACAAAGAATATAGCCTAATTTTTGATCGCTTTCCTCCGCAATACACCAAGATGCTCCAGTCTGTCCCACGCTTTATTCATGTCGGAGCACTCGTCGCCTAGTGAGGGCCGAAGGTCTAGTCCGTCGAGTGTGTGGATAGAGCCACTTGTGCCGGCATAGAGCAAGAGTTCTAACACTCTTCGGCGTAGACGTGTGGCTTGATCGAGGTGCCTTAGGTACTTCATATCCGCTTGCGGGTCGGCGAACGGGACTGTGTATGGGTCGTCGACTTCGATTTCTCGCTCGGTCTTCGGCCCATCGCCCGTTGTGGCGCGATGAGAGATCTGATCATCGTTTCCGAGTTCAGATAGCGCATCAGAAAGATTCCTGTGGCTTTTTTGGTGCCGGACGACTGCTTGCTCTTGAGATTTTAAGTTCTTGCGATCGGCATTGCCACTTCCAGTCACCGCTGGGGGTAAAAGCCAATGGTCAAAGGATTCCCACGGAGATCAAGCTTGCGTAAGGAACATGCAGTTCCTTTTCCGGTTTTTCCTAGTCGACCGAGGATTTGACAGACCCTTCTCATCCTTGAGAGACGGTTGCCGACGATCATCAGCCTGGCAAGACAGTTCATTCCAACAAGTGGCTCAACATCATCCACCGAGTTGAAATTCAGATTCAGGACCTTGAGGTTCGGGAAGCTTAAAGCAAAATCGCTCGGGAGACTTTTCAATGAGCATGCAGCTATATCAAGAAGTTGAAGTCGCAGAAGCGGAGCAGAAGGGCAGACACTTTCGCGAGAAAGCTTGTTAGAGGATAAAAAGACTTTGCGAACATCCTTGACAAGTCCCAAATCAATATCCAGCCTGTGTTCAACGTCCTTTTTGGACGGTGTCTGCTCTCGGAGAGATAGTACCTCGAGATTGTGACAAGTCTCAAGGCCAGTAACGGTAGAAAGATGGTTTTGATCGAGGTAGAGAAGGCTCACAGAAGAGAAAGCTCGTGCATCCAAAGCTTCCAATTTATTTTCAGAAAGTTTCAGAGCGCGGAGACTGATAAGTGAAGCAGAGGACTCGAAACGGCTGATCTGATTGGCGCTGACATCAAGAGCGGTAAGTGACGGAAGCCATTCGAGATTCCGAACAGATGTCAGACAGTTATGGCTCAAGTCAAGATCGCGAAGGCGTGTCAACTCGGTCCCTTCAAAATCCACTGCAGTGATAGAGTTGTTGCTCAGCTTTAGGTTTAGCAAGCCATTCAGACCAAGAATCCCATCTATGTTGCGGATCTGATTGTCATTCGCCTTTAATTCCCTGAGATGAATCAAGCTCGCGAAGCCATCCAACGTCTCAATATCATTTCCCGAAACGTCCAAATACTGCAAATTCATCATGTGACCCCAGGGTGTTAGGTTAGAGAGGCAGTTTCTAGGGATCTTGAGGGTTCTCAGGGTCGAGGGAATGCCACTCAATTGGCCAATATCGTTATCGGAAACATCTAACTCCTCTAGTCGGGGGCAGAATTCGTTCAGCTTGTGCAATGTAATCAATCCCTTCCGGCGCAATACAAGGCGGCGCACGTGTTCCCAATAAGGCTCATATGGTTCAACGTCGGTAATATGCTTGATCAAATCTTCGGTTGCCAATGCGAACGTCCCGTGCACTTGTCGCAAAGAGGACGGGTTTGTACGTTGCGCCACATAGGTCATTTCAAGGTTCAAGGGTTTATCACCTTGATTGACGGTAAAGTCCGCAAGTGGACTGAGGTGGAAGCTGTAGCTTGTGTCAGGCCCAGCGCTCTGGAGAGGTATCAAAGAATTCTCTGCTCCAGCTCTAGCAGGCGTTTCTTGAACATGAAGTGAGTCGTTCCTGCGAACGAGGCTTTGGTCATCAACAGTCTCCTCATTCCTCTCCTCAATTCTAGAGATGGGACGTCGAATGAATGGCTGTCCACCGACTGAAGTTTGACGCCCCGTGGGAGGAACAGATGGCCGTATTGGTCCATTTCCGTGGTCTGTATCCTCATCTGGCACAATTCCGAGGTAGGTGTGATTCGCGTTGGGATCAGACTGGGCGGTATCACGCTCACCCCGAGAAGAGGGACGTGAAATAACAGGCGATGAGAGATTGACTGTCGAGACCCGTGCTTGTTTTCCTAGAGATCGAGGGGTCTTCGAAGACAACGGGTCCTCGCGCTGGGCCTCAAGTTTTCGTTGCTCGGAGGTTTTTCTTTCTGCGGTCTCGTCCGTGCCCCATGATGTAGCTCTTGTCCCAGTGTTAGGAACACTGGACGTGAAGCGAGTAATTCTTGATTGGACCGAGCTTGCATCGAGAGATGGTTCTCCATCCCTCGTGTGTGGTCGAGCAGCAGGTTTCTTCGGGGACGTGTTGGCAGCCAAAGGACCGCGGGCCTTGATTTGCTCTCGATCTCGATCAGGTGGAGCGTCGCCCTTTGGGGGAGAACTGAGACCATGAACTCGCATCATCTCCTGGAGCTCGTCTACACTAAGATCTGGAATATCCCTGAATGGATCATCGGCCTCCTCAGGGGCTTCGGCAACTGGCGCCTGTGGTTCTTCCGCCTCATCTTTCACCCATTGGTTCTTTGCACGGTCATACTTGAAGCCGTTGACCTCATTCGGGATCAAGTGGGCTACAAGGTCAGAAGCTAGCATACCCTTCACTTGGGAACTTTGCGAGGAGCCTGTGGGTACAGAGGTGACGCTGAAGCCAGACATTTGCGTGTTGATAGTCATCAGATCCTGGGCGATGTTTTCAGCAGTGTCATCAGTCATGCCACTAGTCTTTCGTTTCCTCGGTCCTTGAATTCGTATATTTTGCGAATTGGATTCACCAAGCTCGGTTTGGCCCTCGTCCTGGCCATGACGAGCATGCAGGGACATTTCGCGATCATTTGGATCATCTTGCTCCTGATATTTTTTCAGGTGACTCAAGATCAACGGATTCAACTCCTTGACCTCTCTCAGCTTCCGGAGATCTGTTCCGTCACGGCTCGGAGGGCGAGAAAAGGCTTCCCGGGTGGATTCGTCGTCGTCGCTGAAGTCGTCGCCTTCACTTTCGACGTCAGACTCCTGTACACTTGTCAATCCAGCTGCACCGCGTCCTTTGGATCTGATGAGATCCATGATCTTCGTAGCCTCATTTAAATAATCCTGAGTGGTAATAGATCCTTTTCGTGAGGTATCACTGGTGCCAGTAATCCTCACTAGTGGAACGTCACCATCAATGGAAAAAGAATCGGAATAATCATTATTGTCGAAATGGGATTCGGAGAAATCTCTGTGCGGTGCCATATTGCTTTCCCCGTCGGTTCGTATTTGGCTGGGTGTGGGTGTTCGAGGTCGTTGCCTTGATTGAGAAAGGCCCGGTGGAGCAAGGTATTCACTATTTTCCAGCTGTACACCATGTTGCATAAGACTTCGTTGCAACAATGACATGCTGTCACCGTACTTTTGAAGCGAACCGCCATTGCCATTGTGATGAGGCTCAGCGCTGTAGTTTCTCATAATTGTCCGACGTCGTTTAGGGGTGGGGTCCATGCCGGGAGCCCGGGGTACTCGCTTGACATCAGGGGCCATATTTTCCTTATTATTCGGACGAGTCCCTTGCCGCATATCATCAAAGAAATCCTGACGCATCCAGGCAGATGGTTTCCTGGTGAAGCCCGAGCTCGCTGATCTGGCGTAATGATACAAGCCTTGCTGTGAGGGGCCACGAAGATATTGCTGCCGGGTTGATGATCGCTTGCGCGAAGACGGGCGGGAGCCAAACCCTCTGGCCTCATCGTATACCAATTTGTGCTCGTAGGGACTGGTGTCTGAGAAATCAAATTTGTCCAACTCGCCACCCCCAAATTGGCTGATCCGATATACAGCATTACGGGAACCAACACGTTCGTTTCGTCTAGGAGAAATCTCCTGTAATGGTTCATTTCTTGCATTTGGAAAGCCGCGGTTTTCGCCTTTTCTTCGCGCTTCTTCTGAGGGCGAAGGGGGCTCCTCTCCTTCTGATGCGTCGCTGAAATTGTCTTCAAACTGGCTCATGCGCCGCAGAAGTCTGTTATTAGTAAATGTGTCATGATTACCGAAAAGCTTCAATGGACTCCCTGATGACGGCATCTTGGACTCACTCTCTGCTCCCGCCGTGGATGGCCGAACATGAGATGAGGAAGGACGCGGTAAACCAGGTGACGCGGTCTTCTGAGGGGGATTGAACAAGGGGGAACTTCGGATTTTAGAGTTGGCGAGGGTTGTGGGGGACAAACGGTGCGAAGGAAAGGGCGAAGGGGAGAATCGCCGAGGGAAGGAACGATTTCCTCGCCGACTGTTAAAGTCCACCGTCCCCATAGACAGGTCCTGGGGTAGAGAATGACTGGTCACGTCCAATAGGCTGTCATCTCGAGGAGACCCATCCGCGTGAGGTTCACTATGGTTATAGAAGAGGAAGCTATCGCTTGCGGGGGAGTCCGGGCGACTGTCATTTTTGATAGACAGGCTTTCCAACTTGTTGGTGACCTGCTTCAGCGCGGACTTGATAACTTCTGAAGTCCCATTGCCATCAACGGTGTTGTTTCGGGAGAAGGTTATGGGTGTAATTCCCTCGTTGCGCAGATCCTCCAGCCCACTAGCTGTCCGTAGTTGTGTATTCCCCGGTTGTGAGAAGCCTTCCTGGTCCCAATCCACATCTAGCTCCCCATTCTTCTCCCAAGGAGTGCGATTGACGGTTCCTTCCGGGAATCGGTCGCCATCTTCCCTTTCATCCTCATTGATGACGCGTTCGGGTTCATTGTCGCGACTGTTATACTCGTCCATATCCTGTCGCGAAGGTGTGTCGCCGAAATCCCACAGATGGTCGTCCTGCTTCGTAAACGGGGTAGAGTCTTGTTGCGCAGTTACAACGCCAGGTGTCGGCGGCTTGAACACGCTTTCCAGTCCCATCGGCGCAAACAGATCCCGTTGCTCGCCAGCGGCAATTTCCCCGCGCACTAGTCGCCTTCGCCATTCTGGTGTACTCTCTTTTGTGTCTTTGTCTTTTTTTGTTTTAATCTGAACTGTCCCGTCGAATTCCGATTGTGAGGAGGCTTTGGAGACATTTGACACCGATCGTAGAGGGGAACGCGTATCCATTGCGGGCTGCCTGCGTGCCGCACCCGGGGTGGGCTTGGGGCTAACCTTATGACTTGCTTTAGGACTAGCCTTGGAGTAGGTCCTTGAGTTGGTCTTGGGAGTATTGGGGGTATTGGATTCCAAAGTACCGGGGAAGGGCGATCGTGGTTTGCGTGTTTTTGGTGTTCGGGGTGTTTTCGGAGTCGGAGGTTCTCTTCTATGGAAATGGCATGGTCGGGTAACCTTGTCTTTTTTGTTGCTTCCTGGGGATCGTTGCTCTAAGGAGCGCCGGGCAGGCACAGGAATGCGGCTAGGAGTTCCTTGCTGACTGGTCTTAGGCGACTCTGGTAAAACAGGTAGAATAGGTGCTGGACTGATCGGCGAAGCTGGAGATGGCCAGTCATCAGACAGACTGTCTAGCCATGGTTGGTTGCTCATTTTCAACCTTTGTTATTATGCAGGTACGCGCAAACAAAAGCGTCAATATCAACATGAAAAGGCATAGATCGGAGCTAATAAAAGATTATAAAATGAGAAGAACGGTGGGTAGGATAGTGCGGAGATGCGGTGTCCAGTCTATCTCCACTTAAGGCAAGCTCCAGGGCTCCCTTGTTTATTATCTTTTGTTTACCTTTTTTTTTGTTCACCCAGTCCAGATCAAGATTCATGTACTCCGTATGTAAATAATATAAAATAATATATAAATTTCTAAGATCTATATACTTAACCCTAGTTTCCATTCTTCTTTATTGTTGGGAAAAATATGGAAAAGAAAATACCTCCAAACCCCCAGATTCAAGCTAAACTATCAAGGCCCTCTAGGGCCTAATGTGTCTGCTTAGTCCTGTTTTATTTTCCCTTGGAAATAAGAAAGTGCTAACTAGTTGAACTGATTAGATTTCATATATGGAGTACTATAATATCTTCCAACGTGGATCGTAGATTAGAAGATATTTCAGGGCTGGTACTCCCAGGACTATAACTACCTAGTCCTAGGTAGTTAGTTGCTCAGTCCCACTTATTAAGTATATATTCTGCAAGGCTTGATCATCAAGATTAGACCCTCCAAAATCCTCATCTTAGTTCGGATATTGATATATTCAGCACACGCAAGGGTGAGGTTGTTCTTCGTTTTATGAAAATGAATAATTGAGATACATGTGTGCTGCGTGGGAACTCCAAATATGTATTGTTCGTGTCTAACTCCTAGGATATTTGTCTCCCTCAAAGATGAATGTTACAGTAATAAACATGAAATGCAAGGTTTTAAATAATCAGTCTCTCGAAAGAGTACTTGCCAGCCGCCTTGCGGCGCAAGTAACCAATCTCACGGCTGGTGCGGTTCTTGACCTCACCCGTAGACTTTTTGGTCTTGGTGCGGGTCACGTCATTGGAGGCGGCCTTGAGTGACAGTGGTAGCATCTTGCCGCCAGCATCACCATCGTAGCCATCCTCACCGGGACGGGTGAAGACAATTAAGTCGGCACCATTGAGTTTCTCGTAGCGGATCAGGTGGGACGGACCCGACGCCTCGGCATCCATCTTGGCTAGAGCATCCTCGGAGGTAGTAGCGGGGGTGTCAACTTGGTCCGCAAAGCGAAGATACTCGCGCAAGACACCCTTAAGATGGGTTGCCTCTTCGACTCCTGCAAGCGCGGCGGAAACTTCAGACTTCATGTCGGCAATCAATTCCATTTCACGACTAGCAGCGGCAGTGGCCGAGTCTGAGTCCTCAAAGTCATCCGCTGCTGGGATGGCCGAGATCCAACCGGACGGACCCACAGCGTCCACGGAGGCAGTGATGAGATCAATGATAACATTGAGAGAAAGGGCGGGGGTAATTTGATCAAGAGTAATAGGTGTAGGCGGATTTTCAGTGAAGCGAGAAGTGTAACCTCCAGTAGCGAGGGAAAGGCGGAGATGATGAACCATGGAAATGAGTTCTGTCCGCGAGAGATTGGAGCGGAGAGAGTGAACAACGACTGACGCAGGCTGCGAGTGAATCTTTTGGAGGGAGATGTTCAGGCCAGCGAAAATATCCTTTAGGGTTGCCGCTTCGCCTCCCAGTTGCTTTGAAAGTTCCTGGGTGGGAGTGGCAAGATCACCGTCTGTGATCGCACGAGCTGTCTCCTCAAGAGTTCCAGAGTGGGAGCGTGCCTGGTTCAAGAAGGACTTGAGCGCGTAGGCCAACTCATCGGAGGAAATCAGAGTGGGTCCCTCGAGCACTTGGTTGACCTGCTTCAACGAGGGATCTGAATCGAGGAGAGCCTGAATGAACGACCCAGTGGGGAATGGCTGCAAAATGCGTGGTTTGTATGCACGACGGAGCGCAATCTCAACGTTGTCGAGTGACAGATGTCCCAAACGAATGAGCCAGTCGCAAGTAGTCGGGGGCCACATGGCAACACGGAGCTGAGACGAAGGCGAGGCTGATACTGTATCATTTGTGGTAGACTCCTCCACGGCGAATATTTTTGATAGCAAGAAAAGAGTTGCTTCGGGGTTGACATACTGCCCGCGGACTGGGAGTGTTGTCGAGGCATCGGAGGTGCTGAAGTACGTCAGAACGGCATTATCGAACAAATCAATACTCTTCGTCTTTGATGCCTTCTCCACCGTTTTTGTGAGCTGGGTCCATTTCTCAACCTGCTCTGGTGATGTGAGCCGAAGGGAGGCCATGTTGTCAGATCGGTGCTTCTTCGATGAGATATCCCACTGCGCACCAGACGAACCAATACCTCTGCCAATGGCATCAATGAGCAGGCTATCTCTGGTCCGCTTCAGCGAAGAACTGGGTGCACTAGAGAGAGAGCTCAAGTCAAAGGCAATAAGAGTGTTGCCCTTAGTTGCGACAGCAATCCCAAGTTTGGCGAAGTAGCTGATGAAGTTTGTGGGAGTCTTTGGGGTAGACCCAGTGCTTGACAAAAGATCACTGGCTGGAATGCTGCGCTGCACAGAATGGTATTGGGTATCATATACAGCCACAAGAGATTGTTGTGCTCCAATCACTGATTGTGGAGAAATGCGCATGACCGAGGAGAATTCTTCATCATCAAGGACGAATTGCGATGTGACACAGGGAGAGTACTGAGAGAGATCAACGTTGATGAAACCCTTTTCGAAAGAAAGGCTCAACCCTGCGGAGCCAGAGTGGAAGTTCCATTGCATAGCATTGCCATTGGTAGTTTCCAGGCCGCTCACATCCGGGATGTGGAAAGTTTGTAGATGGCGCAGGCGCTGACTTTCGTCCAACCGTGACTCTGACTTTGCATGCGCGGGGACCGAGAACATTTGCACAATAATGTCCTTAAGGGGGACTCGATCAGTGTTCTTCGGTTGGGATACCAGAAGCAAGATAGATGGCTCGTCGGTTCCTGAGGTTGCCAGATCGCCCAGCGCCAGCAAAGCCAAATCTTGTCGTCTTTTAAACAAAGCTTTCTTCGCATCATCAAATTCAACCAAAAAGCTGGATTGGACATTGTGAGTAGAGCAAACCTTTGCAATCTCACTATGCTGAATACTCCATCGCTGGGTCTTCAGGTCCGACGATAGCCTACGCACTCGACCGTCCTCATGGACTGCTAGAATATCGAATGGATCTGTCTCTCCTTCATCATTGGCACTAGAGGGAACGATGCCCACAAAAGTTGTGGGGCTGGTCGAGTCGGTCACGGTGGTAGTCGAGGAAGAAATGACCGGAGCACTTGAGCCGCTGCTGCCGATCTCCTCCACGAAGCACTTGATTTGATGTTCTGGCTTAGTGACAGCAGTATAAGTCTGTCTTCGGACTATCGATTTTTTCGACAACTTCCTGCGAACTGAGCATGGGCGGCAAGAGAAAGTGGATTGTGGTGGGACGGCGTAGGAAGTCACGAGCTTAGGTGTTTGAACCTGATGAAGATTAGAGTCAGTTGCAACTATGAGTACACCAGAGAAGTAGAAACACGTACGTTGTAAATGTTCACAGCCTCACCATCTACGGCAACTGCGACTTCATAGCGCTTGCGTTTTTTCGCATCGGCGAGACTGAAGACATCGCCGATACGGGTTTTGCCAGTAGAAGCGTGAAGGGGGCGGGGCAATTGCGCCAGGACAGATGGGGACTGCAAATCCATGACGAACTGAATACCAGGAATCAAAAATGGCTCGAGTTCCTGTCCCTTCAAAGCGTGTGATCTTTTTGATGCAGACCCATCCAATTTGGAAATCTGAAAAATTTTCGGGATTATATCGGGCCGGCATATCCACCCCTAGGCTATATCAGGCCTAGCGTTGGCCCGTGAAGCAATCAGTATGACATAAGCAATTAACGCGCCCTGGGCCTTTCGCGTCCGACGTGTTTGAAGCTATGGAGATCGATCTCGATTTTTGCTTCATGCAATCGCTCCACATTTACCACCAATAGTCTGTCATTTCAATGGTATATCTGAGATACTGCTTGCTTCCTGGTCTCCCCTCAGGGATCAACTGATTGTTCATCATATGAGTATCGTATCCAATCTACCAATGGCTATGGGAACCGACGAACAGCGAGTCATACATCCCTTCTTCCGACAAGGTCAGAATGTGTCCCATAGCTGCAGGTGAATCTGAGCTTACAATGTCTAGAATTTGGTGTCTCCGTCAAATCTACAGCCTCAAATGAACAAATACCGCTAGTGGATACCCACGCACACGAGCTTCAACCGACAAGCAGGCAAAGCTCTACGCATGGGCAGGGGCTACAGGCCCCAGAGAACAATGATTCTAATGTCTCCAACATAAGCAATGAAAATTCCGTGGATCTCGACGAAGACCTAAACGAGGATCGGAGGAAGAGGCGCAGAACGGACAAACCCCAAACCACCGAACCCATTGCTACGTCCAGTGCAGTTCTCTCAGAATGGCTCGGCCACAGCGCAGCCAATAATAACACACCTCCATCAATCGATAATCCCTTCGAGACCAAAATCAATTTGTCCATATCTCATCCCGAGGCTCCGCTGGCGGAGACCCAACTTCCTACAGACGAAGCCCAACCATTGACACCTGACGATAACGAGAAACCAGGAGGTCGAGTTCCAAGGACCTCTGTAAGGCAGAAAACTCTCAGACTGAATTCGAAGGGAGGGTTCCTGTCGTCACCCGCCCCTAGTCCTCCTAGAGAGACACAGAAGAGAGCGACAGGGAAGCGGGGGAGACCGCGAAAAGCCGAGCAGAAGGTGGTGACGATCAAGTATAGTTTAGGCACAGAAAGAAACATCGGGAAGTTGATTGATGACATCCTAGAGGGCCGAGCGATTCAAAAACCTCCTGCTACTATACTCTCTGTTCAGCCACGCAAGACGAAAAGCCAAACCCGAAAGCTGACACACCCATTTTTTAGCAAGAAATCAGCACAGAAGCCCGGGCCCACGAGTCTGACTGGATCCCAATCGGACAATCCAGATACCGGCGTGAGCGTGCCCTCAAGCCAGATCCCAGTCGAGGCCCCGGATAAGAAGCGAATAGTTGTAGCTTCGGGCAGTTCGTTTACTAACTTCCCCCGCCGTGTCTCTAAGTTTCCCGAACTGCTTGATCCACTTTGGCCGCCGCGAGATCTCGTGCACGTCAGAGACGTCCGCCCGCCCCCAGGCGTTAGTGGTCGTCTATGGCATACCACCCAGGACCAAAAGAAGTCGAAGATTGCAGCTATCTCAGTTAGAGACGAAGAAAACGTTCTTCTAGCTGGGACAGCTGAAGCACGGAGGATCGCCCGCCTGTCAAAACAGGACTACGATGCCCTAGCTATTCTTCGACATCCCGTGCGACATGTTGCCAGTAGTCAAGTCTTGCATACGGCAATGGAAAGGCAGATGTCGTGGTTCTCACCAAATCGCCAATTTCCTTGGAATTCTTCTAGTCCGCCCCTTGCCAGACTTCGCTCGGCCCTACTCACGTCAGTTTCGGCCTTCGATTGTGCAACCTACGAACAGCAGCTTTGGACGCACAAGTACGCCCCTCAGTCAGCTGAAGATGTCCTTCAGCTTGGCCGTGAACCACATATGCTTCGAGACTGGCTAAGACACCTCAAGATCACAGCAGTTGACACTGGAAAATTATCGAAAGAGAACGCGAAATCGACATTGAAGCGGGAGAAAAAGGCGAAAAAGCGACAGAAATCCGACAAACTCGATGGTTTCGTTGTCTCGAGCGAAGAGGAGGCATCCGAGATGGACAATCCCTCTGGCTCAGACGATGAATTAGCAGGCGGCGTGACCACAACGCCTCAACGGACTGTCGTCAGGTCGGGTGACGTAGCATCTGTTTTACATGGAGTAGAAAGAAAGACTCCAATGACCAATGCGATTCTCATTAGCGGCCCGGCTGGATGCGGCAAAACCGCTTCTGTCTATGCCGTTGCAAAAGAGCTTGATTTCGAAGTCTTCGAGATAAACGCCGGAAGCCGACGAAGTGCCCGGGATATGCTCGAGCGAGTTGGAGATATGACGCAAAATCATCTTGTTCATCTCCTCAACGAATCCGAGAATCGAACGGACAACGACAAGGATTCTGCCAAGCAAAACAAGCTGAAGAGCTTTTTCAAAGCCCCATCCTCAAAAGCTAGCAAGCCGGTCTATCAGTCCGGCGAACCTAGCCCTAAGCCCGAAACTGCGCCTAAACGCCCCCGGGAGCAAAAACAATCTTTGATCCTGCTAGAAGAAGCCGATGTCCTTTTTGAAGAAGATCGACAGTTCTGGACTGGTGTCTTAACTCTCATAAGCCAATCTAAACGACCGATCATCATTACCTGCAACGATGAGAGTTTAATCCCTACTCAAGATATGTCTCTTCATGCCATACTACGATACCAGAAGCCCGCTTACGACTTCAGCGTCGATTACTTGCTTTTGGTTGCCGCCAATGAGGGACATATGTTGAAGAGAGAGGCCGTCACTAGGCTTTATCAAGGATCCGGAATGGATCTTCGGCAGTCATTGATGGATCTGACATTTTGGTGCCAGATGGGCGTTGGTAGCGAGAAAGCGGGCTTGGATTGGCTGCTTCCTAGCTGGCCACCTGGGTCCAATGTGGATCATGATGGGGACCGACTGCGGGTTTTGAGCCTCAACACCTACGAGCGATATATGGGCTGGTTCAACCGTGATATGATTTTGACGCAAACCTCTTTGGACGAAGAGACCGAAATCATCCGCAACAGCTTCCAATCGTGGGGTCTCGGCCTGCAAGATTCCGAAGACATGGCTGCGAAGAACGAAGTCGAACTCTTGCCCCCTGATCAACTCCAATCTATTCCCAAGACAACGCAAATTGACATGCTGTGCCGGGAAGCGGATTACTATGACATGAGAAGTTCTCTCGACATCCTTTGCTCCGATCTTTCCACGGACGCAAGCAATGTAAGTGTGATCGATACGTGCACAAAAACACTAGCTAATAATCGACCAGGATGTTATTGATATGTCCGCTCCACCGCTGCCACAAGGCTATAGATCGAACTATCTCGACAATTACCCACTCCTACATACGGAGTTGCGAACGGAGTATTCATCACTCAGTGAAGCTGTCAGCAGTACCTTCGATGCGTTGATAAGCAAAACTTTCCGTCCCACAACCGCCGAGGACTTGGAATCCCTATACGCGAACCGAGTCTTGAGCAAGGCCATCGCCTCTGCAATGCCCCCAAAAACGCCTCCATCCACTCTCCCTCAATTCCAGCGTATCTTCGAACCCATCATGCGTGCCAACTACTCAAACCCCACACCAACCGCCCGCCACGCCCCCTCATTCGAGAATGGAATTGCACCGATCACGGAAGACTTGGCCCCGTACATCCGCAGCATCATGGTCTTCGATGGCCGCCTCCAGCAATACCGCGAGAGGCTGTCCGCGCTCACAGCACAGGAGCACGGGCGGGGCGAGAAACGTTCACGTACGACACGTGCTAGTCGTGCGGCCCTCGAAGGAGGCGATAAAGCCTCGACGCGCAAGGAGAGGTGGTTCGCTATAGACACACCTTACTACAAAGTGCAAGGCACTGCAGGTCCAGAGTGGCAGCACGTCTTGTTCCAGATGGGATATTTCCATGTTCAACCTATGGTTGAGACATCCCCCGAGCGCAGTGACCATGGCTTGGATGCCAAGGCTATGGTGAACGCCGAGTGATTGGCCTCGTGTCTCGTGCACGATCCAATGTATTATTTATGAAAACGATCTTAAGATGAATGTAACCTATTCCGGAATCTACGCCTGTACTATTTATCATTTACACCAATCCTGGCTTTCAAAAAATTGAAGAACGCAGTTTACTTTGTTCGAATCCGCTATGGACCTTGTGCACAGAGTGTATGAATAATGATTCGTCATTGAGTCGCTATTAAGTTATGACTGAGACCGCTCGAAAGTCATGAAAAACACTAAGAGAATGAAAAAGTAGCAGCAAGACATTGCTTGGGATCGCCTGCAAACCGAAGAAACCTTGGAACCGTCCCGGCCTGCAGGATCCTTAATGAATGTTAGCATCCACCGAAAGCCATGTTTTGTTTTGATATCGAGCATCAAGAACTTACAGAAAAAAAATATCAAATCCCGCAATTACACAATGACCCGAGAAGCCACAGGCTTTGGCGCCTGGGGCTCATTACTGGGCAACTGAGCAAGGTGATAGGGGCCGTGATCCTGCTTGAAATCATAGATCGAGTCGCCTGAGGTGCGTCGTGAGTGGGAATGATTGGTACGTCCAGTCGATGGTGCTGCTCCCTCAGTGCCGAAGCGCTGGGTCGCATAGTGAGCATAGAAGCCGTCCTCACGTTGGCGATCTTCTAGATCCTCACGGTTGTCGCGGTTCATGCGCTTGCGATAAAGGACTACCAGAACGATACCGGCGATTGCTAGGAGACTGAGATACACATAGTTAGTTCTGGATGGTTGGGTGTTGAGTGGTATGGGGGTATTGATGAGGCGGGGAAGGGCGGTGATGGAGGCGGTGACGGGGGCGGATGTACTTACACTCCTGTGATGGCGGCGGGAATGCCGATAGTCACAGCGGAGCTGGTTGGCTTAGTGCAGCTCGACATAGTCTCGTCGCCATCGCAGTCGCGGCGGAAGATAGAAAGGAGTGAGGGGAGCATGGTGGCTTTGTGATTAACGTTTTTTAAAGAGTGTGTTTGGTGAGAACCGGGGAAAAAAAGGAGCGAAAGAGGTTCTCAGATCAGAAGGGACAAGGGAGTGTGTGTGGAAAAGAAATCTCCCCATAAATCGATAATATGAATTACAGAATGTCTCGCACAGGGAAAGAGAGAGACAAACGGTACAAACGGACTTGCGTATCGCTTCTTATGACCCTCGTTCGATGTGCGGAGTTCTCCGTACAGAATTGAAGCTGTTGATTCGTCCCGATGAAAAGCTGAAAAGGGGGTGGCTGATATTGCTTCCTGGTTGAAATATGGGGTTACATTCCAGATTCTATGCGCATTTCTCTACTTAGTTTCTTTAACGTTAACTAACTAGTATTATAGTGTAAAATGTACGCAATTATATAGATCGATCCGTGGAGACTCTCTAATGAACTTCCTTAACATTGGCCGGAACCTTCAGGGGTTGTCAGTTCCACTATTTTCTGATTGGCTTTGAATACTTTGTTTCATTCCATTGCAATCTTCATATCACGTCACGGTGAATACATAGTACGGAGTACGGAGTACATCGTCTTGATTTCATTACTAGTATAGGTATTGTCGCGCAGGGAAACATTGTAGGGCTGGTCACATGTCGCCACCTGAGAAATAAGGCCAAGTGCGGCACCTCGGACATCAATATATTCTACATATTGCATACACTATACACGATTCTCATTTATCAACAAGCTTAGCAGCATCCAGCTTAGCCAAGATCTCACTCTTAGGTACCTCATCACTCCAACTCTTGCGTGGGTACTCGAAAGTCGACCCAATCCGACCATAAGACATTCCGCCAAGTTGACCTACCGGCCGTAACTTCTCCAAGTCAATATTACTATAATCTTCGTTGGCAGTACCCTCCTTGACCCAGAATCGGGTAGCTTTAATGAGAACAGTAGCAGCGAGGCTCATCCCGGGCTTTTGATGATCCGTGAACTCCTTGATATCAATAACCTTGCCTTCGATGTTGAACACCGACTCAGCGACGCGGGACGGCTTGACAGTACTTGATGGCACCTCATGAAGACCGGATATATCCCACTCTGATACGCCGTACAGAGCATCAATAGAGGCCGCATTCACTGCCTCGATCATGTTCTCCGATACTGTGTTGATGACACACTCTCTAGTCTCTTTGAGGTTGCGGTAAGTGTCTTTGACTCGACCAGGTCGAGACGAGAATCCCACAATGAACATCGGGGGATCGTGGTCGATGACTTGGAAATAACTGAATGGGGAGAGGTTCTTTTCACCCTTCGAATTGACGGTGCTCAGGAATCCCACCGGTCGAGGAGCAATACCTGAAACAAGGAGGCGGTAGTTGTTGATCATCGGGCGATCTGAGGCGTAGGGGTCGATTTCATGATGTTTCTGCGCCAGACTGGCTCCATTATCGGGTACTCCTTGCCCGTACTCCCAGTTGGGATTTGGCGATTTTGTGACTTCGATGGGTTTAGAATGATCAAAGTCCGGGCGTTTGGCTTGAATCTCGTCGAAATTGCCAGAGTCTTGGACAACCTTATAGTTTTTTTGAGCAGCGGCGATTTCAGCCTCTGATGCCACGGCGGTCGTAGAGGAACTCATTCTTAGTTGGTTCAATGAATGAGATCCAGTTCGAGATACAGAAATGGGAGTAAAATTCGAACTTCTGGATTCAAGTTAGACGCTGGTCAGCTTGTGAGCAAAGGTTGACATACTGGTTGGATAAAAAGCGTATAATCATTCTTGTACGAGTCATCTTAGATCAAGGGGAATATTTGGTAGATTGACAAGATTCAATGCGACTGTTTTGCTTGTCTTGAACTGTTTGATATCTCTTTTGAGATATCCATATCACCAGAAAAAAGAGTCGGGTGTATCCTCCGAGAGTCGGGAAATCTCTCCGATATATTCACGATAAAACGATAAGACCTTTAGGGCTTTCCACAAGGGTCCACTGGGCAGCCCTGGAGCCCTGCAAGACCATTACATCATCATATTTGTTGAGACTATCTGATAGATGCCTTATCTCTGAGGCTTTAGCTATTTAGCTAGCGTCCATTTATTTGTAGGAATACAACAAACTTCATCTCTCTTTACCCCTCAACCATATTCAACCATGTTCAGCCGAAACGTGTGCGCTGCTCTCAGGAGAACTCTAATTCTGTCGAATCATCTAGCTCGAAGCTATGCCCGAATCCAGTATATGTCATCCAGGGTGCCGAGGCCCACTATGGTAACCAGCATGCAAACGAACGAGGCATATGCGCGTAGGTTTCCTAACTAAAATTTCTCAGGATTTCAAGACTAACAATATCTTTAGCTTTTGCTCATTATGTATGTACAACCAAGAACAAATGAGGTGGGACTGTCTAACAGCTTGCAGTCGCAAGCGATTAAAGCCGCCGGTCAAGTCTGGCTCTCTGGTCAGATACCCGCAGATGCACAAGGGAATCTAATTAAAGGCACAATGACCGAGCAGACTCAAGCTATAATCAAAAATACTGAAGCTATTCTCAATGCATCGGGTAGTGGGTTAGACAGGGTTGTCAAAGTAGTGGTGAGTATTAGAACACGCAATTTACAGTATCATTCAATGGTTAATATTCTTGCAGGTGTACGTTAAAGATGCCAGTGTGATGCCGGAATTCGCATCTGTTTATGACCCTGCATTCCCGCATCGCCCTGCACGGTCTATGGTTGAAGTGTCAAGGTTGCCCGCCGGGGTGGATATCCAGGTGGATTTTATTGCTGTTATTTAGATCAAAATTACTATTAGATGAAATTAGACTAGAGAGAAAGACTATATACCAATAGAGAGATTCAGGCAAATAAGCGCAAGTTTTTAGGGCTAGGTTGCTTATGTCGTCGCTTATGTCGTCGCTTATGTCGTTGGCCGGCTTTTTGGCAAGACAAGACGCCGAATTCAACGGCAAGAGGGTCCGAATTTTTTTTTCATTCACGCCCTAACAAATTCAAGATAACTTAGGTTGTTATCAATAAAAATGAGCCCATCTTTGTCTCCTCCCAAGTTAGTTTCAATCCACTGTGTGTAATGGCGCTGCGTTAGACATCCCCGCGCGGCCCATGTTGGATAAAACAAGGCTGGAGGGCCCGGAGCCGAAGCCTGATGTGGCACCTCACGAAAAGCCTAAAAATGCTTCATCTGTTGCCCAATCCCATACATCTTGGGGCTTTAGGCCTACTCGCGCAGAAGAAAAGGCAAGTTTACACTGTTCATTCTTGCGATATACATAAACTTCAAGTCCAAGTCAACAATCCCATGGTCAAATAACACCAAATAATCATTATTCAGATCAAAATGGCTCGAACCAACAGCGCGCCGTACAAAGTCTCAAAGAATCACAAGATATCACCGCCTTCCTGATCATCTTTAACAAAGTCGACATGTCGCGGCTAATGAACTTTGAAAGAATAACAAAGAGGCAGTCATGGAAAAGCATGGAATCAAGCTGAGATTCATGGGTCTCATGGCTCAGGCATCCGCACTGATTCTGAAAACGACGATACAATCGCGTATCGGGACTATGTTGACCTTAGAATCGCTAATCCACCCCGAAAGGGCTTGTCACGCCTGTAGTGTAAAATATTGAATCCATGGAGATATTGCAGATTGAGAAAGCATTTGCAGGGATATTGAAGAAAGTCAGTACTTTGGATTCATTCTTAAGGGAGTGACAACTGATATATGGTTCGATCTAGGCTCGGGATAGTAAGCTTACTATAAATGACTTGACCGGTGGAAGCTTTACAATGAGCAACAGTGGGGTATGGGGATCGCTCTTCGGGACCCCGATTATCAATCTACCCCAGACAGCAGTGCTAGGGACATATGATACCATGGATAGACCCACCGCAGTCAATGGCCAAGTCGAGATTTGTTCCATAAGTGCATTTCATTAGAGATATGTATCTGTTTTATTTAATCCTAATTGCATATTTCTCACTAGATAATGTACGTTGCTCTGACTTATGATCACCGGATCATTGATGGACGGGAAGCAGTTCAATTCTTGGTTATGATTAAGTAGTACTTGGGCAATCCAGAAACCATGATACTTGAGCTGTAGATTTGAGAATATTTGATCTGAAGATGAAAGAATCAAGTTACATTTCCGTTCATTTCGTTGTCATGTGAGAGATAACTCGCGGCATGATAACACAGATCATCTTTAGATATTTGCCACAGGCTTGCCATCATCTTCCTGTCGTAAGACCTCGATGGCATTTTCCAAAGACATACGAATCTTAGGATCCTCAATCATCAAGCATTCTGCAACACGGTTTGCTTTCAGGCCAAGCCCATTCCCACCAAGCTTCTTTGCAATGGTCGAAAGTAATTTTCCATAAGCCCATGTATCATTCAGCCGTTGTTTTTCAAATGGCGATTGTGCGGGCTTTGCTTCATGTCCATCATCAACTCTGTCCTGTAACTCTTTTTTCATTTCCGGTGCTAGCCATTCCCATGTGAAACTCCCAGTTCCACTAATATCAATAATAAGCGCATTCCCATCTGCGTCCAGGACTATGTTTGACAACTTGAGGTTAAGGTGGGTCCTTTTGGCTTTGTGCATGCATATCAACGCTTCTCCGATCTGAATAGTTACAGAGCTCCAGCAGACGACTTTGTTCGCTTCGTGTTGTTCAAAAATCAGCTCTAGTGAGCCCATAGGGTAAAATTTGAGTAGAATCCCGGTAATAACTGGAGGATAGTCGCTCGACGGGTCGGTCTGGTAAGGATTGGTGGATGTGATGATTCCTACTGCCTGCACTATATTCGAACATCCCTGGAATATTTCGAGTGCTTCTATTTCTTGTAGGATATTATCCGTGTCGAGTGGAAGGTACCCCATGCGGTTGATCTCTTTGTAAACGAAGGTCTGGCTGGCAAAACACACTTTGAAAACAGCTGTAGAGATTTGAACTTTATCCTGTAGCTGCTCGAGCTTGATTCTTCGTAGAGATGAGGATATACCATCAATTGGATAAACCACTCTCTTGGCGTCTTCTTTGATCTCGCAAGTCATCATGTTCATGCTTGTCATGAAAGCGTTGTCTGCAAACGTGGTTTCATTTTGCACCGTAATTGAGTTGAAATTCTCGTTAGACAATGTGTATTCAATTTCCGTCACAGTGTCAGCTATAAGAGGTAGCGAGGTATAGTCGATTGATAGGGCGAATTGTTTGAATTCATGATGGCGCTCAGGCAAGCTTTTTTTGATAGATCGGAAGCCAAATACAGTGCCAATGACAGTGACCTTGATATGCCATTTACAGCTGTGATTTCGAAATATCAACGTCTGGTGGCGAATTTTGGGCTCCGGCAGATCATCACAGTCGAAATCAATATTCTCACTGTAGGATTGTAGCTCCCATTTAGGAAGCAATGGAGATATCGGAATAGGCATATCTGATTTCTGTGATGATGTTTAGAATGTTTTATCTTTATACTAAAAGTGCAAACTTTTTCAAAAGAAGGGCCCTGCGGGGGGTGCTCAGCACAAACAGAAAGGAAGAAAAAGAGGAGGTCACCCGTGGACGGGTGGCTGGTATGGCTGGAATGACCAAGGAATAAGCATAAACATCAAACTCCAGCTGTTTTCCTCACATGATTTGATTTTCCAACAGTAGTTTGGTTACATAAATCGGCCAAGAAAAAAGAAAAGACAGAAAAAGATTAATTGCATAATTCTTTGGTGCAGCTTTGAAATTAATTAGACTGGCGCCTTCACTCGCTTCTAGGCCGTACCAACAGTGCTGCCATAGCGAAAAGCCCGGCCATTGTTATGGTTGTCGAGTGTTGGCTGACAAAACTATGCAGGCTCAAGGTCACAACCTGATTCTGAGGGTTCGTTTTAGCTGTATCACCAATTGAATCCAATGCCTCAAATAATGAATCTGCACTATGGAACCGAACCCGCCCATCCAACGAAGTTCAATGACAGAATCAAGCCATACATATTTTGTAGATTTTGAAGGCTTCCCCTCGGCGGCCAATGTGACCGACATTCTGCCTTCTGATAGAGATCAACATCGCACTTTTTGCCAGTCACAACCTCATAGAATACAGCCTCAAGGAGACCTTTTGCATAAAGGCCGAACAATTGATGATATGAGAACACAATTGAGCTGACACAGCAGCCTTCATCTTGGATATGACTTCTAGCTCGCCCTTCCGCCTGATCAAACGTTAGACAAAATTATACCTTGAACAATCGCCTGGGATCAACAGCCAAAGCAGTCAACATTGACCGTCAGAGCAAACCGTACGCTTCCATGAGGCGCTAAGGCAGATGATCGATTTATTTCTTGCAATCTCAGCAATATGCAAGTTGTCTACATAACCACTGTGGCAATATGTTCCAGGTACTCAGACGACCGCTACATCAAGAGTTCAGAAGCCTTAGTACTTGCCCTATCTACAGTAGATCTAGTGAAATTTCAAACTTTAAGAATTCTGGTAAAAAGCTGAATATTTTGCTTGAATAGTTGCCAGGCATCAAACCCCGACAGATTGCATGATCCCCTCCACATCTAATTGATCTGCAAGGTCCAATAACTCTCGCGGAGCAATACTGACGGATGAATGAAGTCCCAGTAGATCCCACTCAAACTCTTCTTGATCGAAGGCGTAAGGTTCTTCATTAATTTCATTGCCTTCATCCAGATTGACTTGCGGCAACTGGTGATTTGCCAATTTTGGTGTTATAGGTGCGAGTATTTGTTCCAATTGCCTGAGTTCAAGCCTGCGAAGCGGTGCAGCTAAGTTACCCTTTGAAATGAGTTTATCGAGTACGAGGGCCAGATTGTCGCACCACGTGTCGTTTGAGATCACTGATGGGGCAATTGCACGGATCAGGTAGAGAACAAACGCAGAGGACGACGCGTCTTCGACTTGGAATGGTAAGAAGGCGTCTGTAGGTTTGAATTAGTATCATGAGTCTCTAGGTCTTTAACAGAGCTAGTATATCATACCCAGCAGGTCATCGTCAGCTAAAGTACGAAGAGTCTGGAGAATAGTCTGCGCTGAATCGGCGCAGCATTGCAACAGGGATGCAACAGGTGGTGCTAAAACGATCGTCTGAGATTTTTGTCGTTCTGTTCGTTCAATATGCATGTGAAGTGCGCACATCACTAGCGGCCGTGTTGTAAGTACCACACACTACTAATGTCAGTTCATGGCGAACGAGAGCACTAGTTTGGAGAGGACCCACATGATGATGAGCCAGCATCAATCGGATCGCCATCTTCGAAGCACGGCTAATTAATCCATGGAAATGGGTATTTAAAAAGGCAGTCAGGTCATATGAAAGGTCAGCAATGCTATGAAGAATGGACTGTGTACTTCGAATGAGCGTGTCATCAAAATCATTTCCAACGCCGTAGACGGCTAGGCTTTGTTAGCATTTCATCCAACGCCACTCAATCAAAAAGACTCACTTGTCAGAATAGTGGCCATGAGCCGTGCAAGCCGAACATGCAATGTCAAATTGACATGCTCTACTGAATCATCCATCTCTGCTGGCAATCTAACCGTGATATCTTCATCTCTAATCGAGCTCGGTGCACCAATTAAAGCGGAGAATTCCCGGTCTAACATATAAACCACCCAAAAGATCGTTCTGCATCGTTTGGAGAGCTCTGGTCCACATATCTCTTCAGGTACATGCCTGTGTATTCCTTCGATGATACAGCCTCGTAACGCCTGTCCAATCTGTTCACATAGTTAGATATCTAGTACCAGTGAGCGAAGGATGAACCCACATGCTGAAACGCGGCTCTTCTCATATCTATTGACTGAAGATACACTGCCCCTAGACTGAGTGCTTGGATACAGCCCAAGGGATCTTCGTCAACTCCTGACAAATCAGGCAATAGAGCCATCGCTCGAGATGCGTATTGATGGCCAGGCGGTGTCCCAGAATGGTTCTTCTGTGTCAAGAACGCTTTTCCAAAGGCGAGAACAAGTAAGTATTGACAGTACCAAGGTCTATTGGAAGCAGCTTTCGCTGATGGATCCCGGTAGAATTCATGCAGGTCCTGCAAATAAGCATGTTCATCAATCATAAAAGAAAGAAAGCCAAAATAGAACTTGACTGTGTTGAATAAGAAGAGTGCATAGTCCAACGGTGGCAGATTAGTGACATCAGGTACTTCATCTGGAGGATATGGTCGCCAGTTCAACTTGAAAGCCATGCCATCAATATGAAATGGATCTGGGGGACAATTTGATTCAGGTACCTTTCTCCCTATTAAAGCAAGTACACGACGACAAAAGGACCACGACGATGTAGGCCCCATGTACCCTTTGATATGCGAGTCAGTCACGAGCTAGCGCGAGGCGATAGAGTAAACACTCACAAAATCGGCCATCCGGTGTCTGGGCAAATGATGGATCCCGATCAACCAAAGGATTCCGAGAGAATCTTGATCGGTGATTGTCTTCTTCGGCGCCACCATCAGTCTCGTTCTCTCTGTGAGGGGACCCTGGGGTATGCAGGGGTGGTCCCATTCCTGTAAGCAAATCACGATCAGCACACCAAGCATACATTCAGTGAATGGTTAGAGCATACCAATTGGGATTGAACGCCATCCAATGTCTGCTTGATTGTCTAGCAGTGTGCTAGATGCTTGAGGGGTCGGAGGAACATCAATATTCTCATCAGCTGTAAATATTGTGCCTCCTAAAGGACTGCGATCAAGAGGGGCCGGGTGTCCATGTCGTGTCGAACTTCCGCTTCTGGATATGTGCTCTTCTAGTTCTCGCAAGTACCTATTACGCGTTAGCACATATACCATCCAGCCAGTTGCAGCTACTTACCGTTCCGACACAGAGACCCGCACCTCCTCCACCGGAAAGTGACAATGTTTCTTCTTCCGCGCACATCTTGTGCAAGGACTGACGCCCGAGCATTTGACCTTCATTGATCGACATCGCTCACAGCTTTCTAAACGTTAGTTTGATATTCTACTTTGGGGTCAAGATTCTGACTCACGCCCTCTGGCACTTTTTTGTTCTTGCCTGGCTAGGTGTTGCGGGCATATCGGATTGAGATACCGGCATGATGTATAGAGCAATTGTGAATATAGTCTGTGCTGCCGGGGCAACTCTCCGATATCAATTGCCCTGCAGAGTGCGGGGTAGAGATGTGACAGCTCGTACAATCAGTCCCGAGGTCGGAACGCCATTCCGACTTTTCTTATCGGAGATAACAGCGCAGGCATCCATCCTCTATCACGACCCATCACATGATTTGCGACGCCCTAACGGGATTGACTTCGCCTTGTTCTATTTGGCTTCGTGCATGAACTGTGCATATCTAGTAGGAGTTTATAGTCTGATTGGTTATCTTGTATATTGGGTATCTAGCCACTAAAAATATGATCGGGACTCATCCGACGATCCTTCTCCACAACTCACGACGCAATGCCGTCAGCATGTGTTGTGTTCGTTCCACTGCCCCGCGATTCTCGATTGCTCGACGGTGCAGATAACCCATGCACTCCGCAACTGAGCCCCAAGCCATACACTTGAAAGCCTTTGGCACAGTCAAGTTAGCAGCAGAAGATTGTTCGAGGGCACGTTCGTAGTTTTGCACCAGTTCACAACTGAGTTCGTCAGCCATGCCTTGGATTTGTCCACATTCTAGCATGACTGTAGGTTGGTTGGTGAGAAGCCTGTGCTGGTGTGTGGCAATCGCTTTGGTTGCACTAGCGGCGTTGTGGGTGGCGAGGAAAAGAGCGGCGTTGGGGAATGGAAGGTTCTCCTTCCCAGCAGGCATTCTTCGGCAAAGCATGGTTTCTGCGATCATATCGTATGACCGGTCCGTATCGGCCTGGGTATCATGTATGAGAGAGCGTGTCTCATGCTCAATATATGCCCCTCGGACCAACTTGATACCCAGAGACCAGCCCTCTTGTGCAGCCAAGGCAAGATGGTGGTCAAGATTCGCCTTTGATCCCTTGAGATAGCCCTGGATAGTGTTATAAATAATTGGTGTTTGCGATTTGTTATGCTTGCGCATCGTTTCAATGGCCCAGTCATCAAGGCCCTTTTGCAAGACTTGTTGCTCTGCATCCAACCAGAGACGTGAGCCCTGCTTTTCTGTCTCAAAGCAAATCTCATCCACAGCTTTGATCATAGCCTCTGGCATGGGCTGGCGTGCTGCCATCGCATCCACTGAAATAGGTCCAGCACCTGTCAATCTGGCAAAGAGGTATCAGACTCCATAGGACAAGAATCCAAACCTTCGTACTTACTTCACGGCAAGGAAGTCACCCGGCCCAACCATGCGCAGTGTCTCCAATGTTCCTTCCTTCCACTCCTCAATCATCTGATAGCACTTGTCGCTATATTGTGCTTTGCCAGACTCATCGGCTGAAAGCTTTTCATCATGATTCAACACTATCTCTTTCGAATACCCCAAGATGACGCCCTGGTATCCCATCTTTTTAACGTCTGCCACAGTCTTGGAAACTTCTGTTTTATTCACCCCGGCACAAAAGTGATTGTAAACCGTCCAGCGAAGGATTTTATTCAAAGGGATGTTCCGATCTGGGTTCAATAGTGGAGATTTCGATGTTGCAAGGACACCCATCACAGCTAGAGCAGGTCGTAAGAATACCTTGGATGTCATTAAGGAGGTCAAAATTAAAGATCGTAGCAGTAGTCTGGTCGGAATTCGGGCCATAGATGAGACTTCGACGGGTGGTTTGATTGCTGGCATAGCGGCGGCATCATGGAAGTGGGATTTTGTCGAATGAAGTCGACACATCAAGGCCGGTGAGGTTTGAACTAAGAAACCACGAGGGGGCCTCATAAGTGTAGAACGAGATAACATCTTAGCTTGAGTCAAGAACGTAGACAGACAAGTCTAAAGTTGCAGTTCTTTTTATATGAAAGAGTTCAAGATGGCGGCAGCGTTCATTCAACTCAGGTTGCCACCACAGAATACTATTTGAAGCAAACACTTCTTCGAGTCTCTGTATTACATTACTTTATCCGACTGCTACTACCTACCCAAATATCCGGTCATTTCACCGATAGTCAGCCGGTCTACCATCGGAGTCGTCCTCCGATAGAGGGAGGGGTTCGCGGACCAGGAATCCTGTCCCGCGATGCCAACTCATCGTTTCCTTCATGGGGCTTTGTACAATCATTCAATTTCCGGGAATGAAGGTCCGTGTGTTAACATTGCTCGAGCTCCAGCACCGATTTGACTCGAGGGTTTATATTACGTTTCATAGATAAACGTGGCTAGGTGGGGTTGACCAGTGATGGTTCTATGGGGGCACTATTCGACTTTCAGTACCACCAAGCGTGTATATTGTATGCATCTTTTTCTTCCGTGGTTCGGCTCGGGTGTTAATCTTCAGTGCTACCTGGCGATCTCAAAAGGTGCTTTCACACCCCGGGGCACAATTTTGGAAGTCCCATCACTATGGTATCGGGGTATATTTACGCTCGCTACAATACAGGAGAAGGGGAAAAGATATAAAGATATGCCAAAAGGTTATCAAAGAAAGTAAAACGTAAAAAGACACAGAAGTAGTTTCTTAAATGTTATCTTTCTAATATCATATTCAGATTATCCAATTTCTAGGTCGTCAAGTCTCAATGCCATATAGTAATCCATAGATATACGCCTATGGATCTGCCCCTCCAAACACAACCAGTACCGCACTGCAGCATACGCAGCTACACATGCTAACACTTCCTGGCCCTTCGGGTTTGTGCCAAGGCAAGTTAATCAACAGCATAGTAGCTATACTAGCCGTCGCCAGAGTTGTGACTTGATCTTTGTGCAGAGCCATAAGTAACGTAGGTCCAATAAGCGCCAATCCACCACAAAGTCCTGTTTAAAGCCGATTCCACATCTGCACCGCACCCGACTTAATATGGTAAATATCACGAGAAGACCTTGGATAATACTCTTCCCACTCTTGTACCGCCCACAGTCTTCTGCTCGACTCAGTAACGCTTCCTCTGAAATAAGAAGAGTGTCTTTCGTGGTAACCAAGAATGGGTATCTTTCGCCAATTGCGGCTCTTTGGGTAACCTTTTCAGTCATGAAATCATAATCACGGATTGCGTTGGCTGCACATATGATTTTGATGGTCGTTAGAAATTCGTCAATTTTCAGTGAAAATAGAGCATACTATATTGCGCTGTTTTCATTGAAGCTTCTGTTACTTCGTTATGTTCGGACCATGTCTCTTACGTTTAACACAAATTTTTGTTGTAGCTTATGTATCACCTTTCGCTGCAACGTGATCAATGTAATACTGTAGGAGGATACAACATTCCCAGATTTGGTGGATGTATACAGAGTACATATGTAGGCACCGCGGTGGTAAGCAGTCGATCATAGAAACCCAACCGGGATGATCTAGCATCTTCAATATTTTTTTTCTGTCGGGTACCAGCTTCATCAAGTGTTCTGGTGGGAACGTCAAAGGGTGATAGGTGTCCATTGTTCCTCTGTACATAGATTTAATCTCCCAAAAGAGGATAATACACTGGTCGGTGAGATGATCGAACAGACAAGTCTTCTATATGGACCATAGTTCCGGGACTTGCGAGCTGTGAAATAAATTGGTTTTCCGAATCACCCTTATTGATAGAGTTCGGCCTTTGTGGTATTTTGCGAGGGTTTCAGGGAGCACTAGATCTCAGAAAAGAAGATCAAGAGAAAAGAAGAATATTAGAATCAATCAAGGTAAAATGAGATCAGAATAAAGTATAGAGATGTCTGCCCAGGTGAGACTGGAACCAAATGTTTACGATTTGGCTCTGAGAACTTCCCACTTTGGGTGATTATTCCAACAGGCATGCGCTCTCCAGGGCTGAGAGGCATGAGCTTTGCTGCCAATTATGAGTTGCCACGATATTTTTGCTGTGATTGCTGTGACTGGTGCTTTATTGGTATCAATTTAGCGGTTCAAGACAGTCAATGCAGAGATATGTCTCTAATATAGATAGAGAAGTTCTATTTATATTGTTCAAAGATCATAAGTATTATAGTTATAAATGCTCCTTAAACCTCGTTTGAAGGATATGTGACCTTTTCCAGAGGCACAAACTCTTCCTTGATCGTACGAACGCTAACGAATCGCTGCAGATGTGCCATAGTGCCAGTCTTGTCGTTTGTACCAGAGTCGCGACTACCACCAAACGGCTGCTGAGCCACAGTAGAGCCGGTGCATTTTGTATTCAAATAGAGCATTCCAGCTGCGTGCTTAAGAATAGTCTGTGCCTGGCGGCTGACATAGGGGTCCTTGGCGAAGATACTTCCAGTCAATGCATAACGAGAGGTTGTATCGACCAGCTTCAATGTTTGCTCCCATTCAGCATCTGGGTAAACATAGATTCCAAGAATGGGTCCAAACAGCTCCTCTGATAAAATCTTGTGGTGGGGGTTGGAGGTTCGATAGACGGTGGGATGCACGTAATAGCCCTCTGTTTTAGAAGCCTTTCCGCCAACGATAAGTTCCAGGTCCGAGTCGGTCTTTGCTTCCTCAATAAAGTTGTTAAGCTTATCAAATGAGCGCTCGTGGATAACTGGGTTGATAAAATTGCTATAGTCTTCGACATCTCCCACCTTGAGAGCTGCGGTCTCTTCTGCCAGGACCTTTTGGAACTCGGGCCAGACAGACTCTGCAACGTAAACACGAGAGTTGGCAGAACACTTTTGACCCTGGTATTCAAAGGCTGCTCGAATGGTGTTCAAAGCCGCGCTCCTCACATCTGCGGATGCATGGACGACGCCCCAGTTCTTGCCGCCAGTCTCTCCGACTACTCGAGGGTAGGAGTTGTAGATACCCGCACCAATACCATCGCCGATCTTCTTTTGAATCCCCTTGAATGTAGCAGTGGCCCCAATAAATGAAAGGGCCCCAAACTCGGGTCTCTTAAGAGCAGTGTCGGTGATTTGTTCGGCATCACCGGGCAAAAATTGGACCACATCCTTAGGTAGTCCGGCCTCTAACAAAATCTGATGAAGCAGCCAGCTGGCATGAAGTGCCGAGTCAGAGGGCTTCCAGATAACGACATTTCCAAGTAATGCAGCAGGTCCAATAAGCGTTGCGCCGAGTGCAGTGAAGTTAAAAGGAGCAATGGCGTATGTGAAACCTTCAAGTGGGCGATACTCCATCTTGTTCCAGTGTCCGTCAAGGTGAACCCTAGGTTGCTGGGAGAACAATGCCCATGCCTCTTGGATGTAGTGGCGGAAGAAATCGGCTGTCTCGGCAGCAGCATCGATCTCTGCTTGCCAGATATTCTTTCCTTGGCCAAGCATTGTGGCTGCCACTATCTCTGAACGATATTTGCCAGTGACGAGCTCAGCTGCTCGAAGGAGGATGGCGGCACGATCCTCGAAGGGGGTAGCTTCCCAGGCGGGCTTTGCTTTGAGGGCTGCGTCGATGGAAGCATTGACTTGCTCTGGGATGGCAGATGCGTAGTTTGCGACAACCTCACTGTGCTTTGAAGGGTTTGGTTGAGAGCGGGATTCTTTTGTGGTGATCTACAAATTTATATCAGTTGAACGTCCGTAATCGGTATTCGTAGTTTTCACCACATACCTCTAAGCCATTGATAGTGATAGGAATTGTGAAAGGGAATTTTCCCTTGAGTTTCTTGATAGTCTTGGTTAGTTCGGCCCTTTCTGGAGAGCCTTTCGCATAGTTGAGCTGATTTTTTGTCATGTTAGCCAAAGTTCAGTTATATACTTTGGTATTGCTCACCATTTTCTCATTTTCGAACTTGGGAGGGCTCAACATAGTCAAGTATCGCCTTGAGGGCCCATTTAGAGCGCGAGGCTTGAAGCAATTGAGCCTTCCTCCTTGAGTAATTGTAACAGGACGCATAATGTTTTAGGGGGGTGGGTTCAGAGGTATACAGACTTCGGTCAATGGTAAAGCAAGAACGGTTTGCCAGCATCCATGCAGATAAGCTGTTAAATATGATATTCATGCATGAACTCCGTATCCTATTCACCGGGAGGTCCTTCCGTGTACAACAATGACGGAGAATGGCTTGCAACGATGCTCCAATATCGGAGCTGCCATCCGATGCTCGATGTTCGATAAGAAAGATACGGCATTCTCTACGAGTGTCACAATATTATTGTCACAGAAACCTGTTTCTTTCTTTTAGCCGAGCTTCTTGAATAAGCGTTAAGTTGAAAGTCCATGGACTGCCATTGAAATGTGTAAGTTCAAGAGAAATACATGTCCCACAATGCGCGAGCGATTTGCGATAACGTCAACTTCCTTAAAATATATTACCAGACGCTAATTGCTACAGATTTCTCATTTGAATGAGACGAGGATAAGAATGATGACAACAAGCAAAATTCCAACACACACTCGATCTTCGTAATGCAGTATGTACATATGCAGCTTGAGGTGAAAGTGTTGTAGCTGGTACAACTCACTTGGCCCCGCTAACCCAGTTTGGGGTGGTACCAGTGACATTGAGTCTGTTATCTCTCATCATCTCTCACCTCCTTGAACTTGAATTATTACTGAATTCCCTGTTGCGTGTCATCTTTTTGCAAATCCAATTGTCTCCAGTGCTGTTATTTTTTCTTGAGGCGGAGAGTGGTGCCCGTGTATTTGTGTGACCAACCCCCTCGGGAGCTCCGCTTGATCGCCAACGTCGTCATTGCCATCACCTCCGCACCTGATCCCCCGACAGCTCTCCCGGCGCAAACCACCCCGTCGGTTTCCTGATGTCCTTATTCGGCACATCTCCAGAGGGTCCCTCTGCGAATGATCCTGCCAGGTCCAAGTCATCCCTGTTTGCTGACGAACCGGCTACGGGCGGCTCCTCGCTGTTCGCCGATGACGACGGCGACGACAGCTCCTCTCCTTGGAACATCCAGAATAATACCACCAAAAGAACTGCTCGGCGCGATCTGGTTCGGACATTGCTTCCCAATACAGACGTGCCTGAGAGCTACATCGATGCATACGACCTGATTCTGAACAGCGGGGACAGGGTTGGCTCCGGCATTGGGTTGACCTCTGTTCGGGAGATTCTTTCAACCAGCGGGCTCACTGCAACCGATCAAAGCAAGATCCTGAACCTTGTTGCTTCTGGTGATCGTGAAAGCTTTAGTGGACTTGGTCGTGGCGAGTTCAATGTGCTGTTAGCGCTGGTCGGCTTAGCGCAAGAAGGCGAGGACATATCGTTTGATTCAGTGGACGACCGTCGCAAAAGTGAGTAAATTTTGCGCCATTTGGTATTTCTTTATCTATTGTTCGCAATAATTTCTCTAACGTGAAATCAATACAGAATTACCCCAGGTAAAGACTGGCTACCTCGATCGGCTGCGAACGACCAGCGACGCGAACTCTGAACAACCATATCAGCACCCTGCTACCCCCCTTCACAGCCTCCTCCCTTGCAAACCCACGGCTCTGCACAGTCGCAAATCCCACGACGAGAGTCGTTAGGCGGATTGGAGTCAGACCCATGGGGCAGTCCACAATTACACCGCGGTCACAACCATGAGACAGAAAGCACTGAACCACGTGTATTGAATGGATTCGGTAGTGTGAGATCTACTACGGACCCTTGGTCTAGCAGGCCGGTTGAAGAAACCACGCAAAGCAATGTGGTTCAACGGGAGCATTCCAATGGCCAGACGGAGGCTGCCCCGCCTCGCACTTCTGGGTCTGGATGGGGGAACAATAACTTCAACGGAGCGGGTCCGAGTGATGAAAGCAGTTTTGGAGGCACAATTCCCCAGGCATTAGGTGGCTTTGGTCCTGTAGAGGATGAGCCCATCACTATTGCACCACGGCGTCGGTCCCTTGGTCTCGGCCGACCGACAAACCCACAGGTAGAGGAGAGCGTCAGTGTCACGTTGCTCCCCGAGAAAGAAGGCTTGTTCATGTTTCAACACCGAAATTATGAAGTCAAGTCTGCACGGAGAGGTAGCACGGTTATTCGGCGTTATAGCGACTTTGTCTGGCTATTGGACTGCCTTCAAAAGCGATTTCCTTTCCGGCAACTGCCTCTTCTTCCCCCCAAGCGGGTTTCAGGTATGCACAACGCTGGTTTAGCGCACCTAATTTCTTACTCACAATTCTGAAGTAAATGGCACTCACCTTTCAGCGGATTCATCCTCGTTCCTCGACAAGCGCCGGCACGGACTGGTGCGATTCACCAACGCCCTCGTTCGCCATCCCGTTCTTGGTCAAGAACAGCTTGTGATCATGTTCTTGACAGTTCCAACAGTAAGCTCCCCTTTGGGATTTTGGGTATCCTAATCGAGGCAGACAATAACTGTAAAAAACAGGAACTTTCGGTTTGGCGAAAACAGGCCACAATATCAGTCCAAGACGAGTTTACTGGCCGTGTCCTCCCGCCGGATCTTGAGGACTCCTTGCCCGCCACTCTCGACGAAACGTTTGAAACAGTGCGCAGCGGTGTCAAGCGTTCTGCAGAAATCTATATTAATCTTTGCACTTTGCTTGAGCGATTGGCTAAGCGCAACGATGGTCTGGCTGCTGACCACCTCCGGTTCTCCCTCGCGCTGCAGTCCTTGACGGAAGTCACGAAAGATACGTACGCAGTGGATACGAATGACATTCCGTCTCTAAATGCAGGTATCACAGCCACCGCTCGGCATCTCTCTGCCAGCCAAAGCCTGTTGGAGGATGAAGCACGTGGGTGGACGGAGGGAGTTCTAGAAGATCTAAAACGCCAACGTGATTGCTTGGTCAGCGTACGCGAGATGTTCGATCGGCGGGATCGGTATGCACGGAACAACATTGCGCAGCTGGAACGGCGCATTGAGACCAATGAGCAGAAGTTGCAGGACCTACGCGTCCGACCTTCGGGCACAGTAAAGCCCGGGGAGATCGAGAAAGTTGAGGATTCTATCTTCAAGGTGAGACTGCATATTTCAATGGTACCCACAGTCCTGGAGTAATACTAACAATTGATTATCTATTAGGACAAAGAATCCATTGTCCAACAGCATGCCCGGGGCGTTTTCATCACAGAATGCATCCGTGACGAACTCGTCCACTTCCAACAGAGCCAGTATCATATCAGCCGACTACATCAGGACTGGAGCCAGGAGCGTGTCAAGTACTCTGAATTGCAAGCTGAGAACTGGCGTGGCTTGAGCGACGAAGTCGAGAGAATGCCGACAACGGGCGTTTAGCTGGGCAGCATTGGGCCTCGTCACTTAGGTCGTACATCGTACATATGTACCAACCCACTGGCGGACTTGAAAATCTTCAAATCGTCAATTTTTTTGGAGGGTACGTGCGGGGCGCGCAGTATGCATGTGCATAATGTGCATCCCTTTGAATGTTTGCTTTTTTTCGTCTTTCTCTTCTCCATATTTCCCCGGAAATACTCCACATGTTTCACGATGTTGGGTTCTCAGCATCCAATTCCCCCCTAAAGTTTTGCGATGCGTCTGAACCTGTTTTTTTTTTTGCTTTTATACAATTCCCAATTTGATTGTATTCTGTTCAATCTGATATTTTATATGTATACTGCACATAGTACATATGTAAAGGAACATTGTCCCACATATCGACATACAAAGATACAACTAGTAGTACATATATGTACTTCCTACATAAGAAGCAGATACCATATGTACATTTATAAGGGTAAGTTATAAATGTATATTTGTACTGTATATTCCGTACATGTATACGGAGTCCACGGGTACTTCGTACTTAGTACAACATCAAAATGTGCCCCATTCCCCACCATAAATATGTACTGTAACGCCACTGACCCAATAAATCTCGATGATCCTTGACTTCGGCCTTGGCGCCTGACAACCTTGGAAGGCTGGCCGATCTTACATTACCAGGACCATTACCATACAGAACCGGATTGTTACCTGCATTTCGGGTGAAATGAGAGACACCCCCGTGGACATGTATGCAGTGCTTTATTTGATATAAACTTCTTTCGATCCTTTTTCTCTGTTTCTATATAATATACTCCTTTTCCCATAAAATATCCTCCAAATCTATTAGCGCACGTCCTCCTCCGCCAGCCAAGACCCAATTCCGCTTCCAACGTGGGTCTCGAAAGTCTCGGCTGACGAATCCCGCTGTTTCCAAGAATACTTCGTTCTGGGCAAATCTCCCAGAGCACGCGTTCACTCGCCTTCCTCTGCTTGGCCAAGAGCTTCCAAGACTCTGACCAAATTTCGCTCTTGTCGAACTTTTTTTCTTCTCTTTCCTTCTTCCCTTTACAATCCGAATCTGAGAATTCCTGAGGCCAAGCCTAGGTTCTTTTTTTTTTTTTCCTTACCAACGTCTTGCCCAGCTTCGCCTCCACCCACCCCAGTGGCATCCCCAAGCTCTTGGCTACAGTCTGCACCCCGCAGAATCTGCACTGTCGCCTACCTTCCAACCTGTCGGACGTGCGCCTGGATCGCGAAGCTTCAGCCCTACAAGTCTCGGCAACTCGGCATTTCGATCACCGATTCACCAAGGCATGAAGAGCTACGCGGACCAACGAAGTTCGAGGGCGGAAATCATCCGGTAAATCGCTCATTGCGGTACTTGCGGCATAAAGCCCAGGACACGGAATTCTATCAAATTTCCCGGATAATACAATTGGTGTTCAATCACCGACATCTGCACCATGGCATGGGATCACTTGGATATCGATAAGCCGCATTTGGCTTACATGATCCTGGGAGGCTTCACAGGCCTGTTCATGTTATGCTCTTTGTTTGTCAAGGAGAAGCTATACATCGGTGAAGCTACCGTAGCCACGCTCTGTGGTATTATTTTTGGCCCCCACGCGGCCAATCTATTCAACCCTCACGAATGGGGAAATATCGACAAGATCACACTCGAGTGCTCGCGAATTGTCCTGGTCGTGCAATGTTTTGCCGTAGGCGTTGAGTTGCCCAAGGCCTACATGGAACGGCATTGGAGGTCTGTTTCATTGCTGCTGATCCCCGTTATGACCTGGGGTTGGCTTATCACCAGTTTGTTTATCTGGTGGCTGGTTCCTCCTCTCAACTGGCTTGAGGCACTGGTGTGTTCTGCCTGTGTTACGGCTACCGATCCTGTCCTAGCATCGTCTGTTGTTGGTAAGGGAAAGTTCGCTAAGCGTGTCCCCAAGCATTTGCGTGACTTGTTGTCTGCAGAGTCCGGGTGTAACGATGGTATGGCTTTCCCATTCATTTATCTGTCATTCTACATCTATCACTATCGCCCCAATGTTGGAGAGGTGTGGCTGAACTGGTTCTGTATTACCGTTCTGTACGAGTGCATTTTGGGTGCTATTTTTGGCTTCACCATCGGCTACATTGCTCGCCATGCGATTAAATGGGCTGAGCGCAAGGGATTGATCGACCGTGAGAGTTTCCTCGTCTTCTACTTTGTTCTGGCTGTCTTCTGTGCTGGCTCGGGTGCTTTGCTGGGCATGGACGATCTGCTGATTGGATTCGCCTGTGGTGTTGGTTTCAGTAACGATGGCTGGTTTACGGAGAAGACAGAGGAATCTCATGTCTCTAACGTTATTGATCTTCTGCTCAACTTGGCATACTTCGTCTACTTCGGATCCATCGTTCCCTGGGAGGACTTCAACTCCCCCGAGCTTGGCCTTACTCCTTGGCGGCTGGTAGTGATTGCGATATTAGTCCTCTTGTTCCGACGTATTCCTATCATGCTCATGCTCAAACCGATAATACCGGACGTCAAAACCTGGCGAGAAGCTTTGTTCGCGGGACATTTCGGTCCTATTGGTGTCGGTGCCATTTTTGCCGCCATTCTCGCTCGAGCAGAGCTGGAGCACGACAATACACAACCATCACCCGAAAATGAACTCCCAATGCCAGGAACTAGCAATTACTACGTTGTCAGACTCATTTGGCCCATTACTACGTTCATGGTCATCACGTCCATTCTGGTACATGGTTCATCTATTGCAGTTTTCACTCTGGGTAAACGCATCAACACCTTGACTATCACCCTATCCTACACACAGGCCAACGAGGATGGACCTTCATGGATGAACCGTCTTCCTCGTGTGCAGTCAATCGCCAAGGGCTCCATGTCCTTCCGCAAGACGGATGACACGGATGCCTCATCGGACGAAAAGCTTCCTGAGTATCCTCCCGGTACCTTACCACCCATCGGCATGCCTGGCAACTTTCTCCGCCGGCAACGTGACGAGGAGGGAGATAGTGAGTCACAAAGCCTCGAGACTTCTCGTCGCAAGCCCTTGCGGAGACGTCGCCGTAAGCGTGCTGCCGGTGGTGGAGGTCCAATTAGCCAGTCTGCTATCATGCCTGCTCCTCGGCGTACCGAGGGTGAGGTTGAGACCGAAGCAGAAAAGAAAGAACTCGAAGAGCGTGATCAGGTTGAGCGTGGAGCTTCTCCACCTCATGCCGAGCGGGATCGCTTCGGCCGTGAGCCAGAGATAGAGGTTTATCAGGAGGGACACAACATGATCATCGAGGATGAAGAGGGCAATGTTCTCGCGACTGAGGATACCTCTCACATGTCTTCGGAAGAGAAGAGCGCTCACATCGAAGCGCAACGCAAGCGTCTTGAAAATGATAAATCTGGACAATTTGCAGCGTCTCGGAGTCAACCCCACACGAAGACCGAGGGAGAAGAGCTCAAGCACTCTATTGAGAAGAAGGCTGGTACGTCATACGGAAATGCCCTCAAGAAGTGGACCAACTGGACCGGACGCGGAAAGGATCAGGCTACGGAACAGGCAGAGAAACCCCCCAAGGCCGATTCAGCAAAACCCAAACCTCGTTCAGCTCATGCATACCAATTCGGCAATACCATTATTGTCGAGGATGAGGACGGTGAGGTGATCAAGAAGTACACCCTTCCTGGAGGCAAGAAGGGCGAGAAGGGTGATAAGACCCATAAGGAGCCCACCGTCCCTGGTGAAGCACCTGTCAAACGTGGCCTGACTCGCATGGGAACCTGGTTCGGCATGGAGGAAGAAGGCGAATCCTCCCAGGCTGCCCAAGGAAAGAACAAGGACGACGACTGGGCTGCCGACGACGGCATTCGATTCACTTTGGCCCAGGATCCCGACGTTCCCTCTCAAGGCATCGGCCACAAGGGCCGACGCATGAACAAGCAGGAATTCTTCGAGCAGATGAAGGGTCTTGACGCCAAGGCCCGCCGTGATCTGGTGCAGCAAACCGACGCACCAGCCCCAATTCAAGAAATGGCCCAGCGCGAAGCCAAGGCTGAGGCCAAGCAAGAGCGCCACCTTTCTGCTGCCGCCGCCGCTGCTGCCACCACCGGTGGCACTAGCGCCATCCCCGAAGAAGATACCGAAGCTCTGGAGTCCGAGTCCGTCACCGACAGCGATGTCAGCGACGACGAGCCTGGCTACCATCTCGGTTCCCCCAACGTGGCGGCCTCGCTCGCTAAGTTCTCGCGTGGCGGTACCGCCGCCCAAGCCCGCCGGAACAACCTCAGCCCTGCACCACCGCGTATCCGGGACCGTGCTCGTCGCGATTCCGACGACGATGGTACAGACCGTATCCCGCCCTCTCGTCTTCGTCAAGCTGCTGGTCTGACCGCGCCCCCGCGCCAGCTTGAAGATGATACAGGCGAGACCCCGGCCGAGCGTCGTCGCCGTCTAAACGCGTTGGGTGTTGAAGGTGACGATACTGAGGGGTCGGAGTCGGATGATAATGATAATGCTATTGCCGAGGAAGACTCGGAGGATGAGAATGACTCCAGCCAGACTATGGGCAAGAACGAGATTGCTGAAACGCAGAAACAATCTGACCAGTCTTCTCCGTCTGGATCTGGATCCGGCTCTCAGTCTGCAGCCCGACACATTCCGCGGGTTTCCTGGGGAGGCGAGAAGGGACGTGAACTTTAAGCGAGTTTGTTTCAAGCCATCTCGCTATCGGGAGTCAATCGGATAGAAATGTCTTAATTTGGCCTTCTGTATCCCATTCTCAGTCTCTGATCATCCTCGGTCATACACAGGAGACGCGATCGCATTCCTCCTGACTCTGAGTCAACAATTAGACATTTACCGATCCAGTTTCTCCATCCCTTCCCCCCTGCCCTTGTGTCTCGAAGTATATTCATGTATTTTCTCATCTCACCCGCTGTGCATATTAATTGCTCTTGCATGTAATGACCTTGATTGATCACTGATCGACTTGCTCATTTTTTATCGTGTTTATATGATTCCTTTTTGTTTGGCTCGCGGCTGTTTCTGCTTGAGCGAAGCGAGTTTTAACTATACAATGCATTGTTTAAATGGACATAAACCTTGTTTTTTCAATCTTCAAAGTGGTTCTTAGATCGTAGATATCTACAATCAGTAATCGATGATAAACAACATTAGGAGCAACTGGAGACACCATATAAAGATGTACTTCTATCCTACTATGTATCTACCATATTTACCAGTAAGAGAAACAACTTGATCTAATTAACAAAGATCGAGGTATCAAACGAATCAACTAGCTCCATATAAACAAGCCCAAGAAAAGAATAAAAAGAAAAGCATATCTAAACTAAGCGCAATCCATTCCACCCATCTTACTCCATAGTACTCTGCGGCCTCATAATCCCCCTCCCGAAGAACTCGCTGACAACCCCAAATCGATCCCGCGAGCGAGACAACTCCCCCTTGAACAAATCATGCTGATCCGCCGACTCAACCTGTCGTTGCCGGATAGCGCGCAGAGTTGCATTAGTCGGGGCGCATACGGGACACTGTGCGTCTTCGTCGACGTTGTTCAGACAGCGTTCGTGGAAGGAGTGCCTGCAGAGGAAGTGGACTGTTGGGAGGTCGAGTGTTCCGCCGCAAGATTGGCAGCGGCGGGATTGGAAGACTACCGGTTGAGTTGTCAAGTTGTCTAATTCTTGTTGTTTGGTTTCTGTTTCGGACTTGTAGCTTGTGATGAGGCGGCGGTTCTGGAGGGGGAGAGGTTAGTTTTGATATTCGCTGAATAGGAGGGGGTATGGGGGAGCTTACGGTGGTGATTTCTTTGCGTTCGCGGTCGATGTTATCGCTGAGATACTTCTTCACGCGACCCATTGTTACTACTGCGTTATTGCTGAGGGCTTGGATCACCTGCAATGGGGAGAGGAGGCCGTCTTGATTGATGCGCTGCAGGACTGCGTCTAGCTCGTCGCCTGCTTCTTCGAGGATTTTGGGACTCGAGGCAAAGTATGTCAATGCGTCGACGTAGAGTTGGGGCTCGTCGGGCCCGTACCGGCGTAGCGCTTTGATAGCGCCTTGTGTATCCTTTGCTGAAGTGAAGGAACGGAAAATGTCGAGACGGAGACCTTCTTGCTCGCGAACGAGGGTAGATCCTTCCCTGAAGTTTGACAGATCGGAGAGGAGAAGCACATTGGATGTGGAGATCGGGATCTAGGTCGGTTAGATATAAGAGGTGAGAAATAGATGATAGGATAACTCACGTCTTTCCCTTCGATTAGTTTCTTCGCTTTGGTCTCCCATTCCTGTCTTTCGGTTGCATCCTTCTTCCCCTTTGCTGTATCCAGGTACATCTCAAACAGGGTTGTGAAAAGATCAACTTTGGCATCCTGCTTCAAGTCCGGCTGCTGCACCAAAGTCTCGAGGAAATCGATGAATTCTTTGGGGTGATCCACAAATGCAGAGAAGGCTGTTCGTGGCTTGGGAATGTCATAATCTGGCGGAGAATCTTCAACCTTGTCTTCATTTGTCGCCGGTTCAGGGACTTCGGCCGGAGTTTGTGTTCCGGTGCCAACATGCATATACCGCAAAGGAAGAAGCGCCGCAAGACTTTGCACTGTGCTGGTTGTCTGTTCTTGGGGCTTTGATGGCTGTTCTACCTCCGTGCGTGGCCGGTACTGGCCGGAATAGTAAGCCTTGAAAAGCTCTGATGTTCGCTCAGGGCAATGCGTCAGTAATACTCGCGCGTACTTCATCAAATTGAGATAGGCCTAGCACGTATTAGCTTCCTTCCTCTAGATGATACGCAGTTGAGACATACCAGTTCAGCATCCAACCGCCAAATGTATTCCACTGCCTCCGCATACTTTTTAGAATCTTCGATTAGGATATCGATGACCATGTCGTTCTCGCCATGCTTTGTTGCAAGGTAGGCTGCCTGCTCATAGTATCCGCCTTGACGGCACATCGCAATGGCTGTTTCAAGGTCGAATTTCAGCTCACCAGGAGCTTTGATAAATGAGTCTAGCTTGCTTGTGTCTTTGAGCTTTGCGTAGCAGTTCAGAAGGAGCGTTGTATGATCAACCGTGGCCCGGCCATGGTCATGTAGCTCTTCAAGGTACTCAATTAAGTTGTGAATACGTTGGGTGTCCAAGTACTGCAGGAATCATTAGTAAGAGACCAATGCCGAATTCCGATCCTCACTGACCTTGCGAATGACCTGAGAAGGTTCAGTATTATCAATGGCCCGGAGATACTGCTGCATAGCGGTATCATAGTCCCCCCGCTGGTACAAAAAGTCACCATACTTGCGATAGATAGCATTCTGTTGTAACGGATCAATCCCAATCTTTTGCGCAAGGTTAATAGCAAGGATGTAGAGATTGCGCTCATATAAGATTTCGAGCTTTTGCTGGAGGGTCTTTTCCCGATAACGGAAGATCTAAAAGAGGTTAAAGGAAAGACCGACACAATATCATACCATCCACATACCTTTCCGTCTGTTGTAAGAAGAAACAAGTCACCCCATTCCATGAAAATACGTTTCATGGGTGACACCAGCGCTTCACTATGCGCGATGAACTTGAGATCAGTATCGAGGAGTGTGAACGTGGCCGTGCCAAAGATCTCCTCAGCCGGACTAGCAGTGTACTTCCTTAGCGGATCTGACTTGCTAGTCCCAGCCTTGGGCGGACAGACGAGAGCGACATAGTCACGGAAAGCATCAATGGACGTCTTCGGGCCCTCGAACGCATAGCTTGCACCACGACCCCGCGGACCGTACGTAAAGATCGCCTCCTCGCGAGCAATGAGAATATCCCCGCCCTCTTTGTCTAGCGTCATGCATCCTAAGCCGCAGCCTGTATCTTCCAAAACGCGCGCAGGCTGGCCTTGTCCTCGCCCGGCGATGACCAGAGTCAAGATGCGGCTCGTTGTCGAAATGTAGAGGGTTGTGACAGCGCCGATTTGCGTTTCTAGGCCGGTGATTGGTTCTTCAGACTCGAATACGATCCGTTGTCGTGCGCCACGGTCGTGGATTAGGTCGCCCCGGATGATCGTCACGGATCCGTTCGCGAAACCCACAGCTACCTGTGAGAGGTCGTCGACGGCTGCGAAAGCCGATATCTATACCATTGTAAGTAAGTATTGACCTCGTTTATTATTGCTTCGAATGCAAACGTACCGGGAACTGTCTCCTGGCATTTTGCACGGAGACCGTTGACAGACACCGCGGGCCGCCATCTTTCTTCTCTGTATCTAGCGCCCAGACCTTCAGAACCGGCTCATTAGAAAGATCCTCTGCGACGGTGACTAGCAGAGCGGTATCGGTTATCTGTCGCATGTGCGTAATGGAGCCGGTATCGTGAGCCTTGAACGATCGCACGATGCGGAAGGCCGAGGAGACGATGTGGACGAAGCCATCAGTAGTGCCAACGAAGATATTTGCAGAGCCGGTGCAGATACTCGAGAGATCGCTCTAGGGGCGACTGTTAGATATGGTGTGGGCTGGAGGAGAGGAAGGTCGAGGCCTTACATTGAAGATTGAGGAGCTGTCCTCTGGTAGCTTCACCGGCGACACGTCGATGAAGTTGAATGCTTTCCACTGTTCATCCTGTCAGCTGCGATGCATTAGTAGGGGATTCTAGCCTCTTACTGATGTCAGCGCCATCTCGGCTCGCCATTGATTGAGATGTGGAAGGTAACGATGCGGTTCGGAGCTCTCCCCGCTGGCGCTCGGGCCACTTGGTTCCTGACGTCGATCTACGGCCAGGCTTCGCCGCTGCAAATGATTGTCCACGGGTGTTTCTGGTGTAGTTTGTAGCTTTTGTCATGTCTAAATATGTAACCAGTTATGCAATTACCAAAATTAATATGTATTGCTAAATGAAAATGTACCAATATATGCTATGAGACCTCGAAACAACTTCGCTACCAAGCTGGAGCTTCCAACACGCTATGTATGATGGGAAGATGGAAAAATGGAAAGAACAAGAAGCGAAAGGGCTAGCCGTAATAGCATTAAGGGACTCTCGTTATTGAGAGAGGTCCATGTTCAAAGGGGAAGAGGCACACTGCACGCCAGAAGTAGGAATCACCTTGAGATTCTGGCTCGACTGACCGGTGTCCTTCATGAAATCAAAACTTTGCTGAAGCCAGCTACCAGCATCTGCGATTGCCTGACTGAGATTAAACGTCTCCATTCCCTGGTGAACACCTTGTCCATCCTGGCCTGTTGTTGGAGCCGATTCACTTAGGTTGAGGGGCAAGGAGGCACCCTCTGTGGCAGATTGGTAAGTTTGTTGATGATCTAACTGTTGAGCTACTGATTGTGGACTATCTTCATCTTCACCTGATTGGGATTCCGCAGTGTGATATTCGTTGTTGGGAGATGTTGGTTGACTCCTAGTAGAAGGGCAGGGGCTTCCAATATTGGCCATCCTTTTTCTCTTGGAGTCTCTCGTCGTAGGCGAGCCTGAGTCTGGCCGAGACGCACGCTGTCTCTTTTCTGTGCTAAAAACGTAAGGTGTAGCTGCATCAAGTATGAACTGGGTATTCATTGGTTGCGTCATATTTCTGTTGGTAGGTTTCAAACTCCGATCGTGACCAGCTTGCTCAGTGCTGAAATTGAAAGGTGTAGCAGCATCAAGCATGAATTGCGTGCTCATTGCGTGCATCCCGTCCTTGTTCATTGATCTAGAACTCCGCTCTAGATCACGTCGAATTGACTCTTCTAGACGGTAGAATGGAGTGAAATTTGCTGAGTGAAGCGAAGCATTGGGTGAATGCACTATGCGATCTGGATTCGGTGTATGTTGTTTGTAATATTCTGGACTATCCAGATCATCTTGAAAGGACTTCTGGGCATGTAAAAGGGCAGCCTGCGTCGAAAGTTGGGTATCAGGGCTTGGGGGTGAGTCTTGCCCTGAATTTTCTTTTGGTAAAGCTGTTGAATGCAATGATATTACCCGATCTGACAACCCCAAAGGTGCTGGCACTTGTTGAGCAGAAGGGAGATCATTGTACGTGTTCTGTTCGGTTGGCGCAGATGGAGCTGTGTTTTGGAATGTCGATGTATCATCCTCATTTTCAGCATCTTCTGTTGCGGTCTCTTCCTCGGTGACATCGCCATCTTCCCTTGCGACTTCTTCCGCCGCAACATTGTCCTCTATGAGGACTTCCTCATCTGCGAACCTAGTTTCTTTCGACAAAGTTTTCTGGCTTTTATCTTTTGTTGTAGAGTCCTCATTAGAAACTGCTACTTCTTCAGGAGCCAGGGGTGTAGGTTCAGCAGGATCCAATGCTTGATCTTGAGCCCTAGCAGGACTAGACCTGACGGATGCGGGATTGATTATGGATTTTTCTTTCAGAGGGCTATCCTCCTGCAAGAAAGTCTCTTCTTGCAGGATACTTTCATCATGCATAGGAGAATTCTTTTCCTGTTGACTCGAATTTTGTCGAAGCCACCTCCGATATTCAAATCTCGGCAGCTGAGAAGAGGAATTAACGATCCGGAGAGACGATTCCAGCGGCAAGTGAGATCGTTGATATTGTTGGAATGGCGATAATTTGGGCATACCAGGGGCTTTAGGTGAACTTGAGGCGGCCGAAGTCGACCGTGGGGATAGGTGTTTACTCGAATTCGCACGAACACTCTGCGCTGTCTTCGCTGGAACAGTTTTGATAGGAGGGTATTTCACTGGAGAGGCCGGCGTCTGTGGAACCTGTACTTGAACAGGGCGAAGCATCGGCCGACGGATCTTATCCGACTGACGAGAAGCAACGGATATTGTTGGTGAGCTCGGCGGTTCGAACTTTGTGAAGTTCATGAGCCTCCGATCCTTTTTCAGCCATTCCGCTGTCCTAGGCGGTATTATTGACTGGTCTTCAACTACCGATGATGGTGTTTCCCTTGATTGGGGCTCCTTTAATTTTGTGGAAGACCGTCGCAATGTTCCATTTTGTCCACCAGGCCCAGTGCACGGGGTGGGTTCCTTGGATTGCCTCCGTGATGATTTAGCAGGTGAAGAACGGGCTTCGGCTTGCACCGATGACATTGGGGAGTTGAATGACGTCGCAGGAATCTCTGGGCGATGACCACCAACAGATAGACCCTCTCGATACTTCGGAGCCCGCAAGTCAGTTTCCTGGACCACGCGCTCAGGGATATTTGTTTTGCGATTCGACAAAATCCGCGCTGATGTTCCCGCCCCATGCGTCCTGTTCTTCTTCCATGGATTTTTCCATCCATCATTCAATGGGCCTCGCAACGACGCGGAGAGAATGAACAGCGGTTTCCCCTGTAGATGAGACTCCGCCAACTTCTCGATCCGCTGACGCTTTGCAGCTCGGGCGATATCATCCAGCTCATCATCGGAGGCAAACAGGTCATCTGGATCTAGCTCGGAGGACGAAGGCACGCACGTTTCGAGGGAGACCGGGGAGACGGGCCGTGGATAGGGCATTGGGGTCGGGTTTCGGAGATTATTTGCTGGGAGGAGAAGCCGCGGTAGTTAAACACTGCGATGGAGGTGTTTTGGGCTGATGCTTGGAGGTTGTATTCATTTCTGGTATAGCGGTAGGCCGACCATATACGGTTGACAATTGACACCAGGCAGATGTATCTGCCAGAGATGAGTCTGCCTAACGCGAAAACCACTTAACGCGTTTGATGCCCCAGCAACGTGCTCACCCGTGGGTGGCGGTGGGGAAATGTTATGTCATCATCGTTACCCGATCGGACCAGCTAGAAGTCGATGTAAAAGACTTAGCGCTCGTTGGAATTGGAAACTAAACAGCACATATTACCTTTCTGTGATTCGCAACATCTAACCAGAAGCAAAAAGCGAAAAGTTGTCGAATAATAGCTTAAAATGTCAAAAGCAGTCAATTCTACTACAAGTACTCCGTACTCCGTGCAGCAATTTCGATCAAGACAAAATCATAGGGCAGCTAGCTATAGCTCTTCTAATTGACATACTTTGTATATAGCTCATAATCTAGCAGTCTACCTCAAACTATTACTATAAAAACAACTATAAAAGAAGGGAGAAGGTAAATGATATTCACACGAAGTAAAACTCTGGATAATCAAACACCGCACAGAAAAAAAGAATAGGATCTCACCCTCGACCGAAAACAGCAAGACTATATGAAAAGAGACACAAAAAAAAGGCCACACTCCATCAATCATCACGCCACAGCAAGGTACAAATAAAGCAAGAACGCTAGCAAGTGGGGAAATGATATGAGATGAGCAGGCAATTTGTCTATGACACAGAATCGAAGTCTCAGAGCAGGGTATCAAGGGCGGTACACGCATGTAGCGTGAGGGGGGAAATGGGAGGGAGCAGAGCTGGGCGAGGGGATGAGTGCGGGTGATTGGTGCAGATACACACACATGCTTCAATGAGATGGGGTTGGTTGCCTTGGATTGTTTATTCATGATACACGGGCGCGCGCGAATGGGAAACATGAGTTGGAGAAATGGGGGAACTAGATATGAAACATTCGACATTCAAACAAGGCAATAAGGGGGCAGTCATTAAATGGTCATCATCACGGAGTGCTCGGTACGCTCCTTCATTCGCATGGCTTGGGCTTCCAGAGAACGGGCCATCAGTTTCGTCACTGCGGATGGGTGTGAGAATGGTTCTGGTTTGTGTAGGGTTGGGAGGAGGGATGATAGAAACTAACCTGGCCAGACAGCAGCTCTTTCCAAGAGACTGGCTGTCGCAATCAATATTTTACATCCGTATCCCCCTTCCACGACACTAGGTAGTCGTTGCACGACACTCAGCGCAGACATGGAATTGCCATTTTGAACCTTGCGCTGCATTTTCATTTCAATACTCCCCAGGATCTCCTTGATCTTATCCACCAGCTTGCAATCCTCGTCTTCTAGTAACATGACTCCAGGTACTTGAGTCAAGTCGGTATCATCGCGGCCTAGGATACCAAGGTAGGGGCCCACGCGTTCTTGAACAGTTGTGATCCACTCCGCTAGTACCTGTGCACAATCGAAAGCGCACATCGCGCACTGGATGGGTAGTTCGCGCGACGAGAACTCGGCAAAGGTGTTACCCAGACGATCTGACATAGAGATGGAATCTGCTGCGTAGAACGCTGCTTTGCGCAGATGCTTTTCACGCTTTGATTGGCCAATCTTGTAGATGTTGGAGAGGGTCTGCATGGGCTCGCCTTGCGTCGGTGTCTTGGAGATGGCTAGATCTGATACTCCTAGGTCAGCGATGGAGTCTCGTCTCGCATCAAGTTGACCTGTGAGAGACGGGTCCACAACGTCGTTCATTGCAGAATCTGAATGCTGGAAAATTTCAGCGCCGCGTGCGAGCTCATCTGCCATGCCGTTCCAATCGCGTTGCCAGAATGCCTCTTTGCATCGGCCTAGGTTGACAAATAATCGAACATAGGCCAAATCTAGAAGGGGGATGCTATCTGCAGACAATGGTCCAGCCCCGAACGGATTCGGTCGCTCTAGGCTGTGGACAGGGTTGCTAGCCCATGCCGCTTGCCATGCCCGTAGAGCGGGCTCGATGTGGGATTGCATAGCCTCGGTCTCCTGGGTGGTCCATTGTCGACCCATGTGCCTTTGGCGGGTTTCCCAGATATAGTTGTGTAGCGAGTATATAAGAACCAAACAGCCGAAAGTACTTGGGCGATTTTCAGAATTAGACAGATCGTCCGAGTTGTAGAACAGGTTTGCCGATTGATTCTGTTCTCGTTGGCTGGCGGTCAGAAGGGACGTCAAAGCAGCAGAAAATGGCAAGGTCTTCTTCGAGGCTGTTTGGCCACCCATCTGCTTCCAGGCCTGAGGTGATTCCGCCGCCCAGAGATCCTCGTCACAGGGAAGGTCAAGGCGGATTTCCGAATTTGTGAGTGCAGGTGCATGGTTGTAGGCGGAGACGAGAAAGCTGGAAAGAACAAAGATGGCGTAGAGGGTACGCTTCCGTTCCTCTACAAGCTTCCAATTCAGCCAATCTCGGCGCTCCTTCGGTTGACTAAATGACGAGGACGCCCAGTTTTCTATGTCGCCGGGATAATCATTTGCGTTGGTACCAACAGTGAGATGATCTTGCGGCAGGTTCTTGGGATCCAGGTGGTGCGTTAATTCGGCTGCGCGTGCTAAGCTGACCAAAGCAGCACAGTGCGTGCTGGCAATGTCTGCCGATGTCTTGTCACCACAGGTGTGGCCGTATACCACGTTCAAGAGCATCGCCTGCACGAGCCAAAGCGGGGTATTATGTACTGAGCTATCGCGGGAGGAATTTGAACGATCGAGAGCAGCAGACATATCGGCCTTTCGTCGTTCTTCGAGGTACAACTGGATCATCTTTTTCGCGGCATCGAAGAGATCCTTGGAGGCAGCAGAATCGTGTTCGTACAGGGCACCGATAGCTGCCATAGATAGGATCAGACAACCGCCGCCTCCAGCGACACCGGTCGAGCTAAGATTGAGATGTCCGCTTGGCGTGCGCAGGTTGTTCGTGTACTGGGGGGCTTGGAAATTGAGGGTAGGAATATGGAGAAACGGATTGTGGGGATGGAAGTAGGTGATGTATGCCGAAATGTACCGCTGCAAGTCCGAGGTACTGGGCAGTTGACTGGAGCTGTTGAAGCCAGTCGAGCGGGCGAACAGTTCGCGACTGTTTAAAAGTCCACTTGCGGGCTGGGAATACTTGCGATGATTGAAGCCAGTGGGGGTCGACATGCTCGCTAATAGAGCCTGTCGTGTGGAGTCTGTAAATGTATCCGTTGAGACTGGTGAATGTTCATTTCGAAGGGCACTATTCGTGAAAGGAACGTTGAGAGGATTAGGAGGTTCTCCGTGTGTTGCCAGAGAGGATGAAAACATACTCTGCGAATGTCCTCCCATGATGGGCTGGCCGACCGAGGTCATAGATGGAGGGGTAGCGTACGTTTCAGCAAACGGATTCTGGGCCATTAGAGACTTGGGCGACACCGTCTCTGGGGGGATCCCCAAGTCATTCAACGTCGTCGGGGAAAAGTCGATCGCGAACTGATTGGCCGGGTGATGGGCAGGGAAAGGGTTGTGCCAACCGTTGGAGATGGGAATGCGATTAGGCCCATCCAGCATGGCCTCGCTGATTCCGCTCTGGCTACCGGTACTCATTGCTGATGGCGAGGACTCGTCGATAACCGAGTCGTTGCCATTTCCCATAACCACACCTGTGTCAAAGCCGTTCATCCAGTCAAAGTGCTGCATCTCATCATCCATCATGGGGTCCGCAGATTGTGGAAGTCCATTGTGATAGTGACCGAATGGAGATGAAGGCGAATCGCCAAAGCCTTGCGGGGATCCTGCAAAGTGTAATTGCGCTGGGTTGATAGTGCTACCGTGACCCATGAGCATGCCATCAATACCGGTATCGAAGCTCCCATACACGGGAGCAGTCCGAAGTCCTCCAGACATGTCCATGGGAAGACCGGAAGTTTCGATCTTCGCAAGCCCGTTCATCGAAGGGTGTCCAGAGCCGAATCCCCTATAATCCATGCTTGAGCCGACAGAAGAACTAAGGCTAGGGTGATATGCGTGACCCGATTGAGTGGGCGCAGATGACGGATTACCGGCACCGGGAATACCCAAAGCTGCCCCATCAACGTGGCTGATAGTGTTAGCCCTCGGGCGCATCGACGCAGATGAACTATTGGCGATGGAGTTCTTGCGAACCCGGTTAGCACCGGGTGCAGCGCCGGTGCTCTCACGGCGACCGTTTCTTGGTCGAGAAGATGGCGTGGTGGTCATGTGTAGCTTCTGCTGGTGTCGCAGGAGCAGATCGCGCCGAGCGAAACACCGGGCGCAGTCCGGACACTCGAATGGCTTTTCCTTTGTGTGGGAGCGCTCATGGCGTTTGAGGTGCTCCAATCGCGCGAACGAGCGACCGCAGGTGGTGCAGACGTGGGGCCGAGGCTTGTCTGTTTTAGGGGGTGGAATGTTGCCATTGGCACCCGTTTGGCCATTTAGGTCGGTCTGCTTCTTTGACTCCTTTGGAGCTACAGATATATGGGTAAGAATTGCACATCGGGAATCGTCTCAGCCAAACTCACCAGGCATATTTCCCGGAATTTCGTGGATACTGGCAAGGTCCACCACTTTTGGGCTATGGTCCCGATCTTGTCCAACCATAGCATCCAATAGCATTCTTTTCTTCAGGAACTCCTCACAGACCGGAGTGTTGATCACTGGTCTTGGAGGAGGGGGGGGCGTTGCAACGTGGGGGTAATTGCTAAGGGATAGAAGAGGTCTGCGTCAATCTTATGATTGAGCCAAGGTCGCGCGTCACGATATTTGAAGTTTCAAATTTGTACAATGTGTTGCATTAACGACTGTTCCATCCAAATGACATCAAGTCAGCATTTGTCTCATATGATGCGTAGAGGGTGCTATCGCAGCGACCCAAGGTACCGAAGCAGGCTATCAGGAACC